GTGGTTGAAGTAAATGAGCAAGGACAAAACAATGGGCAGAACAGGAGAGGGTCCCATAAAGGGATGTGAAACTGAAGATGACTGCAAAGAATACCAGGCATAAACAAAATATGGCAAGTGTTGCCCATCAAAGTCTCAGGCAAGGATCACAGTCAAATAAGGGCAATACGCACAGGTCAGAGGTGAGTTGACAAGTGAGGAGGTAGACATGTATCTGGAAGTAAACCTGAAAGATCTTTTATGGACACTATTGACAAGGTGCTTATCCAGTCAGCTCTGATACACTAAGCCTTTGGGAAATAAAACTAGAGATTATCGAAGATAGTAGCTATACCTCCGTGGTTTTGAACTAAACCCTAATGTGACGCTTGGTCATGGGAACTTTCAATCTCCTGTGGATCTCAGCCTAGCTCACAGGATAATCGGTTATGTTCCAAGGAGCTTTGAGCAAGCTCCGTGGACCCAGATCGATCCCAGAAGCGGACTGGAACTGCACCCAAACTTAATGTAGACCATTGACTGTCAGATTGATGATGCCAGTGCTTGGACTGGGGCTTTTCACACCAGGTGTGAGTAGCTGTAGAGTGTCGCGCCCTTCTATAGAGCGCCTATGCTAGTTGTGCAAGTGCCAAGAGTTCACATCATCTTGCACCCTTTAGGGCACCCACTTGACTATTGACTGTACACAAGCCACACGCCGGCCGGCTAGTGGTTTGGTAGGTGATTGTATTTTTTTTGCCTTTGTTTTGCCCGCGAAGTGTATTATTTGACTGAGACACCCTGTGCCCCTTACAGTACAGACATACGAGCGAAGAAAATCTTTGATGATGACAATGTCAGGAGCTGGGCAGCCGGGCTTGATCTGGTATCCAGCTGGCTTGCAACCTTCTTCTGTCACAAACCTGGCGCAGTGAGTTTAGCAAGCCTAAAGAGTAAATTCTCTGTATGACAACTCACTTCAGATAGTGCGTCACATATTTTTGTTGTTGCTTTCTCATTTTATCAGTCTGATCATGTCTTTTTCGTACAGCGTCTTCCTCTTGATGGGCTTTTGAAACATAGCCATTTTCTGCCCAGCGCTCACAGCGCTTTTTTTACCTCTTCATCTCAGAAGCAACTTCTTGTGCCCATCATCTTGTCAGCGAACTGGGAAAGGCACGAGTGCAGAAGATTAATGGGAATAAGACAATTGAAAGATGTAATACAAGAAGAGTAAATGAAAGGAGTAATGGCCGATGGGATCTTGCTTCCATGGAATTGATTATCTTGAAGAGAGGGAAGTACCTGCATTTATAGCTTTGTTGGGAACCCATCTTCATATTAATTTACAATTGCCCTGAGTGTATGCTTCGCTTAGAGTCCGCCACTCAGGATTCAGCTAGTCTCCATCAACTTTCTACTTGTGTCATCTTGTATGGTAGATTGGACGACCTGGGGCCATTTCGAGGGCTGTTCATCAGACATGGCCGTCAGACTTCCCGCGCAAAATAAAGAGGGGTGAGCAACTCAGGGTGCACGTGACTGATCACTGAGCGCGCCCTGAGTAGGCCCTGAGTGCTCACTGAGTACTGACCTGTGACAGAAAATACTCACTGAGCAAGCCCCTGAGTACCCTCATAAAAGTGGTGGCATCCGGAAGGGGAAAATTCCAGTGGCTCTAGAAAATCAAGTTCGTATAGTGACATATATACATCGCCATCTAAGCCAACCCTAAACAATTATACACATACTCCGTAGACACAAGAATAGCATACAATAATAGTATATAGTGCCACGCCAAGCGCCAAGCCACAAGCGCCACACGTCACGCGGCGCCTCACAAAGCGCCTGCCTTGAACCAGCCCCTTCTTTAGTAGCTTCATCCTCTGAAATAGACGGCAAAAGTCGCTGTTAGCAGAACATTCAAGAATACGAGTTGTTTCATCGTCAATATCGCTACCGCCAACGAGTCCCGATTATGGCTATTTGCATTACGTTCGGAACGCATGGTAAGTACCGCAGCCCGTTCCGTTCCTGTACCTGAACTCCGTGCTCTCCCACCGCGATGAGATCTATCCAATCTAGAGTACACCGTATAGACGACTACAGAGTATCTCGTGTTCTGATGGCATATGCTGATTGAATATGTACAGAGTTCACCTCTATGCTTGAGGGATATGAGAATGTCAAGGCGTATTGCTACAACTGTGAGTTGTTTATCCTTGTTTGGAGTATTCCGTATCGGAATCGGCGGTTAATGTATCTAGGTCAACATTGGAATGGTCACTGTTTGACTCGATGGTGAGTTATATTCCTAATAAGAAAGAGGAAATGGTCTTTTACTGACACATCATAGGCCCTTTTTCACCATTTGCTTCATTGTATGCATCTCTACTTCGTTGGATCTAGTAGCTTACTGACCTGGCCTCTCAAGCCCGTGATCCCTCTAGCAATACATAAGTACAAGGTTAGTACAGCCATACATCCGTCGAATCCAATGAACACCGTAGCTAACACCCTCCAGGAAGTCACATGCTACACATGTCGATTTACCCAGGACCTACGGTGCGTATCAACTACCTCGTCCCTATGATTCAAAAGTAACTAATTTTATCTAGTGACCGGCCTGATATCACTCCTGAGACAAGGCCTCCAGCGAATTTACCACCAGGCCCGTATCCGCCTCCGCAGGCTTACTATCCTCCGCCGCAAGCAACTGGCGCAGCACCGGCGCCGCAGGAGCAGCCTAATTACGGATACAAGTGAGGGAATGAGCGTGAAGTGATGGTCTAGTTATGTTTTATTTACATTTCATCATATGTTCTGTTTAATCTTCAGTTATGGGTTTCTCGGAGTTCTAGTTTGGGATACTAGTTTGGGATACCAGTCAATTTTATGTCGTTAAGGTATTCAAAGCAATCGAATTCATCTTGTACTTCTCCAAATGATCTATTATTATCTCGGTCCCATCGCAATAACTATCCACAAGCAAATTAGCAGCCTCAGAAACAGAGGGCATCCTTGTCTCCCGTGCCTCATTCTCTTCACGAAGCTTCGCAACCGTAATCTCCTTTCTCTCCTCAAAAAGCCTCAACATCAAACCAAAGGCATAACCCCTCGAAACTTCTCATCAAACTTCGCCATACCAGCATGAACCCTCGCAACCTCACCCACATTATCTCCATTCCCACAACGAAAACCTATCATGCTGTTTTAGATTCTCTCTCCAAACCTGCGAGGCACAAAACCTCTGCTCCTCAGGCCCCTTAAGCGCACATCTGGATTCCTTATCAAACTCCCAAAACGCCTGCACTGGCATTTTATCCCATTTCTCAGCCCATGCCTTCTTCTCATTCCTGGAATATCGTACCGTAGGGTACTTGACGAAATATCTATCCCACTGAATTCAAAACTCCATGCTCTCGAGGTCTCTTCCCAGTCTGTTACTGCCATTTTGATACTGCAGAGGATGCTAACGGGATGAGAGGCGAGTGGTTGCCGCATGAACTCGACTTTCCAGGCGGGATCGATGTGGATGTCTAGGTTTGCGATTAGGATGCCCCATTATTGGGAAGTCTTCTTTGTCAGTGATTAGAATGCGGAGGAGGTGGATTGTGAGAGTGGCTGTTCGGCAAACTTCGGTGTAGGTTATTATGTCGAACACAGGGTGGTTTTGGAAAGAGTGGGAGGAGGGGATTAGGTCGACGTTGTCTTTGATGGCTTTAAGGAACGTAGGAATAAATGGCGTACAGTAGGATGAATTTGCGGCTGTTTTGATTGCCGTAGATTGGATGGAAAGGGTTGGCCATTTTGGTTGATGGAGAGTGAGATGCTGGGTTGGTGTGATTTAGGATACTGGAGGAGACCCTGCATATGTTAACTTGGTACTCTATATGGGCTTACAAAAAGGGCGAGATCAGAGTTGGATGCATATCAGCATCTAAATAAATAATCATTAGCATATCTATCATTAACATACATATTAACATAAGCAACTAAACCAAACAAAAACCTACGCCCCGTCCTTCCTTTTACCCCCCATCCCATCCGCCCCCATACTCCCAACAACCTCTTCCGACTCCTCCCCCAGCCCAGAAATATCAGCAACAGGCTTCCTCCTCCCGCTCACCCCCATCACATCCCTCCCCATCAACCTCACGGTCCTAACAATACTCTCCCTTCCTTCCCAAAGTGGAAACACAACAACTCCACCCGTCGTCACAAACAGCCAAATGATCCCCACAACAATCCACCCCGTGAAGAATGGCTTGCTGAAGACGTACGACGACGCGTACATGGGGATTGGCCAGAGGATCAGGAAACAGAGGACCATGAAGATGGTGAGGGTGCGGGAATAGAGGGCAGCACGGTTGAGTTTGCGTTCTTCTTCTTCTGGGGTGAGTTGGAATTGGGGTTGGGTTTGGGTTTGGGAGGTTGTTGAGTTGATTTTGTCGGCGGTGTTGGGGTCGTTCGTGGGTGGGAGGGATTCGGGATCGACGTGTGCTGCTGCGAGGACTTCTGTGTCGTCGACTTGGCGGATTGCTTGCATGGATTTGTAGTCGTAGTTCTGGGAGCCGAGGGTATAGGTTAGAATTGGGGAGATGACCACGGGACTGAGAAGGGCGGCGACATTGCCAGCCAGCATGGGGTAACTGACTTTGTAAGCTTCTATTATCTCGGAACTGTGTTATGGCACTTACTTTTCTCCAGTAGTAGTAACGTTCAAATCACCGTACTGCCTCTTCGTAGTCACAAGCCAAGCAATAAGCGATACGGCCAGGCCAAGAACAGGCGAAACGCCAGCAGCAATCAAATTTTGGTCCTTCCAAAGCAGTGTCATGGCACCCGGAAACACGGCAGAGGAGATAATAACTCCCATTAGTAGGTAGAGATAACCCATTCCAATTCCTGCGTAGTAAAGACCCGTTGCAAACGCAGCCATGGCAAGAGCATATGCAATGCATGCCATGTGGGATATCCACACCAGTTTCTTACCTTTGGCATGGGGTTCGATATAGGCCTGGTAGATGTCGTAGGTCAGAATAGAAGAAACGGAGATCAGCTGTGCTGAGAATGCAGACGTCACGGCCATGAACATCATGAGGGTTGTCGCGACGGCACCGCTGTATCCCATTAACTTGACGGCGGCGAAGGGCAGCACGAGACCTGCAGTCACGTCTTCGCGGCTCAGACGTTGATTGCCTTCTAGGGCTAGCGCAGAGACTCCCATAGTGGTAGCGCAGAGCCATGGAATGGCAAACCAGCAGAGACCACCAAGGACGTATCCAGGGAAGGCATGAACGGGATGGGCGGCGATAGCCTTGTTATAGTATCCGTTGTCGAGGAAGACGGTTCTGTCACTTGGTCAGTACTTGCATTGAACAATAACATCTACTTGCTCACCCAAAGTTTCCAATGAGGTTAATGATCCAAAAGATACCACCCTCCTTAGACCGCATAGTCAAATAACTTCCCTCCGCATTGCCCTCAACCGGATTGAGCTTAGCAGCAGCAACCAACGCATCATATACCCTCCCGGGTGATCCCAAAGTCACATTTGTCGCGTACGCCGAGAATGCAAAAAGGAAGATGACCACCAGGATAACCACTGTATGCATGTAATCGGTGATGAAGGTCGCCTTGATTCCACCAAAGAGAGTATAAAGCACAACACCAATCGGAAGAAGGAAGCACGCTGCCACGGTGTGGACGCCCGTCAGGGCTGTCAAGACTGCGGAACCGCCGGTGAGCAACATGGCAGTGACCAAGATGTTGGTCATTAGACAAAAGATGATAAAGACGATGTGGACGGTCGTTCCGTATCGCGCATGGATGACTTCGAGGAAGGTATGGGCGTTGGGGGCTCGTCGTTTGAGTTCGATGGCCAGGGTCGTAAACAGGATGATCTGGACGGTTGCACCTGTGAGGATTAGCATTCTATCGGTTTATAAACAGGCGTTATAGATGCTCACCCGAAGCATAGTAGAACGGCCCTGAAATGCCATACTTGTATGTCACTGAAGTGGACTGAAGAAGAGTCGCAGCCCACGTCCAACTACTGACAACAGCAGCAGCAACCAAGCCTGATTTAACAGACCGACCGGCAGTCGAGAACATTTCAGATGTCTGGACTTCCTGCTGATATCTGCACCCTGTCAGCGCAATGCGCATATCGTTTGGAGTAGGACATACCTCTTAAGCGACCAAGTGATAAAGATCATCACCAAAGCAAACGCAAACCCCAGACCAAGGATAATACCATATCCAAAGCCCTGTGAGAGGGGCACATCGAACTTGACCTCATTCGACGCCATATTGTTCACTTCCAAAGCAGATCTCAATACCACTGAAGGAAGATCAAGATACAAATACCCCCTCCAGCCTCATCAAGAGAAGGAGCACTCCTCCGATCTCGCATCATCATCTTTACATCTCCCGACTATATACGGGTCCCGTCCCTGCCCTGTCGAGATAGGAAATCACACAAGACAAATCAACACCGTACTCCTGATAAGGAACCACGTTTTGTAATAGGGCAAGCAGGCAAGCATCATAAGGGTCTAGCGCAACCCCAGAGAGCCACCACCAATGAGCTCCTTCTCTCATCTGCCCATCATTAGGATGTCGTTTGGAAGTTTGGAGGCTTGTCATTGGTCGAAAAAGGGCTTGTTTCGTTTCTTATCTTTGATGACTGCTTATCATCGCGGCGATTGGTCCCGGCGGGGGGTTGTCGAGATAAGCGATTGACGAACCGGGGGCGAGGAGATTATGGATTTCTATCGGGAGCAATTAGCTCAGGCTTGTATGTAAGTGTTTTGTGGGCTTTCTCCATGGTCGTGTTGCCGTCATTGCTTTGTTGGTGGGGAATACTACATAAACTTATTCCGAAGCTAAGGCGACAAAATATATAGAGTAAGCTGTCTCCGGTATCTCCGACGGCATCTTCACTTAGCTTCGTACCAATGTTCAGTGGGACATACATGTATTGCTATGCTGTTGATGACACTCCTCAGATGGGAGATATTTGGTTGAGCTGGGGAAATTCCGAGCCGTGTACGTGAAGGGATATATAGTATGGTTTCGTGCAAGTAACTATCGCAATACTAGGTCGTCGTTCAAACATGGTCCATACCTTGCCCAGGACAGACCTTTTGGATACTATAACGTCATTCCATTGGAGAAACAGAGACTATTATACAATGCACTCTCCATCCCAACTCCCCATACTGGTAACACAACAAAGCAATTGATTGCTATAACCGACATCAAAAAGCACTCCAGACCCATGCTGCAGATGGATAAGGTACACTCGTGTTTCGCGAAAAGTCAAAATAAATCGATTGCGAATTGGTGACCGCGTTCGAAGTTTTCTGATATAAAATAGCGACGAAGAGACAAAAAAGGGGTATAGGAAATTCAATGGTGGAGGAAGTAGAGGATGTTCTGTCGGTGGATGTTCGTTCGTCTGGGACCTCGCAATGACTGGATCGGGCCAGGTCAGGTCAAAAACCCAGCCATCTGCTACCAACAATTCGCGGAATCGCTAGGCAAACTGCAAGGCGAACATTGATTTCAGACGAACCGAATCGATTTGCTGATTATAACACGCTCACGACGAGAACTTGCGAGTGATTTTAGCAATAACTATTGCAACGTGGTCAATTAACCCGAATCCTCAAAAATGCAACCCAACCAATCCACAAAATAAAATCTTACCATGCAACCCCACAACCGAGAAGATAAATCCAAGACTAAGAACCAACACGACGACAGGGTCAACCCTCAACCCAGGGCTCTCATCCGTGTAAAGCTTCAGCATCGTGCCCGAAGAGCCACCGGCACCTGCGGCGCGAGTCGAGCTGGGTCTGGCATTGCGCAGGGACTCCTTGTGGTCTGCAGCCGCGCGACGACGCAGAGCCGCGCGAGGACCACCGGGGGGAGTGGGCGAGGCAGGACGGTTGATGGCCGAGGCAGATCCAGAGGCACCGGGGCCAGAGCCAGCGGACTTGGTGTCGGGGCCGGATTCAGCGCCGGAGGTCAGGGGAGAGGCGGGACGGGGAGAGGCCTGGTTGAATTGGTTAGACTATTGTAACTTTCTAAAGAATCTAAACACGGAAGTGTGGGTGATGATGGGAGGAGAGACGACTGAGGTCGATCTCACCTCCCTGGGGTGATCTGGTCGCACTCACCATTATGTCGAAAGAGAGAGTAAAGGATGAAAAGAGTGTGGATTGAAGATGGCAATTGTTACGGTGGAGAAATTGAATAGAAAATGGCCGGTAGGAAAGGAAGAGAGAGGAGGTTGAAGATAGAAAGAAAGTCGAATTGATTGGGGAAATGAAGTTGAAAGTTGCCAGAAAGAGGCCACGCTCACGGTTTCCGTATGGTCAGGTATTGTCACGGATGGCTACCCCGGGGCTTATAGAGCCAATTAGAGACCGGAACTTTTGTATTTAATACTACGATAATACTGCCGTATAAATCCCAAGATCCAGATCAGATTAACGTATAAAAACGAACATCTTTCCAAAATAGAGTTGTTTATTTGTAATCCTCAAGCCTTGTGAATATGTGCATCTTAAAGCCGATTGCGATTTTGCTCTCGCGACAAAATAGCCCAAAATGACTCAAGTACGCTCAGGTCGACTTCTATGTCTATCGTGTCTACCCAGCTCGTTCGTATCATTTGTCTATTTGCTAACCAGTAAAGTAAGTTTGTATACATGACAAAATATATGCAAATTCGTGACTTAGAGCGTAACCAGTCAGGCTTAAAGGAAAGAACAAGAAAGTAAAAAAGGTAGAGGGAGTGATTTCGTGTCCCCAAAGACTGCCAGTTCTTTGTAGAGGAAAGGTTGCGAAAAGAATAGTATAGAAAAGATGAACCAGAAAATTAAAAGGCAAAAATCAACATGAAATGAGTAAGAACAACGCTCGAAAAAAGGTATCATATAGTGGAAAAAGGTGGTCCCAGAATCCATTCCGAAATGTAGAACAAGGGGTATCTGTTTGCTGCTCAAAGAATTCGCTTAATCAATCATCATTCGCGTAGGCATTTGACCGGCGACATTGGTGGACAACTCGGTCGTTTTCTCTTCTTCGCGAGTCTTCTTTCGGTTGATGTGAGGCTTCAAGCCTTTGTTGAAGTTGGCCGTGCACAAGCAAGCGTTGATGATGGTCAAAACAATCAGAACGAGGGTGATGATGGCGAAGAACGTGAGGGATCGCCGAGCGGGGAGGTATTCCTTGAAGAAGGAGGGCTGGTACATTCGGACGAGCTTGAATAGGAAATACGCCATGGCAGCGAAGTAGAGGAGCTAAAACGTCAGTCAGGATGATAGTGATCGGAGCGAAGATATCCCAAAGGCACTTACAATGGTGATAATCATTCCCACAGTACTCTCTCGTCGAACAAAGACCGCCGCACACACCAGAATCAAGATTGTCACAGGAATAGCTGCCAGCGTGAGGGCAAACTCGGAATCCTGCCTGCCTGTCACGATGACCATGAATTGGACTGTAAAACCGAGGAAGAAGAAAAAGTCAAATTTGAGCAATGCGATGTAGATCTAAGATTGGGTCAGTGCGATATTTCCTCCAGCTAAAGTTGATCAACGAACCTGGTATGTGAGATACCGACGCTTCATCCGCAGGTCAGCGCTGATATGCTTGTAGATGGACCACGCGAACTCATCGTACAGTTTCCACGCAACGATGAGCATCAAACCAGTCCCCATGGCCACGACACATGGGATAATGATGAGGAACGGTTCTGTTTCCGGCCATACCAGTGGGCTGATGACTTGGTTGACGACGAGGACATTGTTAACCGCTTCTTTGATCTGTTGGACTTGCACAGCGCCATAGATCAGGAGACCAATATTACAGACGCATAACCCGATGATTTGAATAGTATTCTTCATGCGCAGCGCATCGTACACGAGAACCAGCTCGTAGATGAAACCGAAGCAATACAGGGCCAAGAACGTCGGAATAGCTTTAGATGCGGTGACACCGTCGGCTTCTGGTTTGAGTTGGAGCTGAAAATTGGCGAAGACATAACTATCAGGCACCATTTAGTTTTGATCCATAATAATAGATAGATAGATAAAAAAAAAAATCGATCGGGAAAACGTACCACTCGAGAGCCAAGGTGATGATAGTCTGAACAAGCGTGACGATGGCAAAGGACCACGTCCAGAGCGAATTTGGAACGTACATCTTGCGAGCGCGCTCACGAGGCGGAACGTTGACATAGCCTTCTCTCGGTCGAAACCCGCCAGCAGTATCTCCCCGAAACGAAGGATCAAAAGACCCTCCGAGGAGGGAAGCTCGCGAGTTGTGAGAGTAAATCTTGGCGAGCGGCTCCAAGATGGAGCCTGTGTCCGCCAGAGGATCTTCTTTGGAATACAATATGGCGGTTTCACCACCGGGCGGCGGTGTGCGTAACGGAAAATTCCGTAGGTTTGAAAAAAGGGAGTGAATGAAAGAAACGAAGGGTCTTGTCGTGTGCGACAGACGGGACCGCCGGAAGAGCCAACTAACAGGGGACTACCGTTGGATCGCCGGTTATTGAAGGGCTGGCTGGATGAAGAGCGCCTTCAGGAGGTCAGATTGTCGCGATTGTTTGACGCTGCAAAGGTATCTGAGACAATGACAGGTCCACGCTTGTCTGTCCCTATTCACAGAACAAGCTCTCTTTTTTCTTGGGAATGTGGGAAACCCCAGAGAATGCGGAGAGAAGGGATCACTTTTGCCTCTCAGACCCGGGACCTTTGCTTATCTCCCCTTCCCTGCTTCTTTTTATTCTGCTTTTATTGTCCGAAATTCAGCCTCTGGTCGGTTTTCTTAGCTGCCGATCAGGACAGGAATGCCAAGAGCGCGTGAAACGGTGTGGTCGTCTGGCAATTTCAGGACTCGATGGGAAAAGCACTGAGCCAACGATCAAACGCTCCAGTTTGTTGGTGATGATTTGGACGGAGGCTTGGTGTACAGAGTAAGGCCGAGGACGCACATGCAGACAGACACACAGGGAGCGAGGGATTCCGGAAATAGGAACAACGTAGGGTGCGTGGACGATCGAGTACGAAACGAGCGATTCGAACGAGGCCGTAGGTAAAGGAAAACGAAGGACTGACAATATGATAGAATGAATGTGTGAAAAGTACACAAAGTAAGAAAAGGGAAAAAAAGAGAAAGAGAAATCGTAAGGCAGAAGAAAAAAAAAAAGAGCGAGCGATTGACGAAAGACGGAGAAATTGGCCAGAGAGGAGTTGACCACCGCGCGGGATTAGCAATTGCCTAGCCGGTTCAGGCTATATATCGTTTTACTCTATACAGTACAAGAAGGTTGAGCCTCTCGCGAATGGGATTGAATAATAAAGTGAGAGACGACAACTACCGAGTTCTCGACTGGAATTCCACCCCGCTGGAACCAGAAAACCGTCAAGTTCCCTGAGAAGGGACTGGCATAACTCTTTGTGTTGTACCTGTCGCATCCACGGTTGACTCGCAACAAAGCCAAGAAACCCGTAATCAAATATCGTTTCTCCTGAGTGGATCCAGCCCTGGCACGCCGCGACGGGAAATTGATGGACATTCATCCAGACTTACTGTCCAGGCCAGAACTCTCAGAGAGTTTGGGTGTGGCCATTAGCTTCTCAACATGGAGATTTGCGTGTACATTGGAGTTCTGGATGGAGTAGGATTAGAGGTCTGGACTTTTGTAGTAAACCCTTCCAGGAGAAGTAATCGGAATAACACTGCGACATAACAAATTAGCGGCACAGCGGCACTGATAAACAAATAAAAAATCCTATATAATAGTATATTAATGCTGCTGCTGCCGTTCCGTGCCAAAATGATGACTCGGTATTAATGTTCATCTATGAGTCCTACTCGGATGCACTCTCTTTGCGGGGGCTTTGTTTTCCTGACACTTGCACTAAGGGGCCCTAATAAATCGTGTGCTATTTACGGCCCGACACCTTGCATGGAAGGAATCGAGCCAGGACGCTCCGTACTATTGCCCTGATATACCCTCCATATCTCGACTTTTCAGCGAGTATGATCTGCCAAAAAGATCTCCATCGATCTCTACAACTCGATGTATGTATTCTGCGTACCATACGAGTACGAGTCGTGAACACAACTATTGATCCCTCATTGGGAAAGGAGTCAGGCGTCGAGCCGACCGTCTAAAACAGAACTAACTTAAAACAGCAATCTTCCAGAAACAGAAATAGGAAGGCGGTGAAATCACAGCCGCACTATGACACAAAAACAAAATTTCCCTTCCCCTCGGCTTCTTCTTCTCTTTTTCTCTCCAAGCGCCGTCCCCATCAATGCTGCGTTTCTTTGCTACACACGACAAGACATTGTCTTGTCCTCGGGAGCCGAGGTCTGAGTTATGCTCAGCTCTCCCCTCCCGAGTACCTTGCAAATGAGAAATTCGGAGGAATCTTCAACCCAAACCCAGTAACCCGCTTGACCCCTCAGGGAAGAAGCCGGTACTGCCCGTGAGGGCCTGGTGTGAATTCACTTCCCACACCTGCAACCGGCATCAGAAACATCGGGGCTTAAAACACCCCATGGGAGAGTCGTTGCGAAGATTGTGTGTGCGGTTCGGCCGTGCGACACTTAAGTGCAATACGCAGCATACCGTGTTCTCTCTTCCTCCCTTTTAGGAGGAGGCGGGGGATGGTATCATTCGATTCCGATTATTCTGGTGGGGATGGCGCTTCATCTCTTTTCTCAGGTCAGTAATACTTCCCTCCCCTTGAATACGTTGTGAGGGGAGCTCTGGAAAGGACTTGGTGGACCTTGGCTAATTGGTAAGGTTCTTGAGGGCCTGTTGAGGGTTTCTCTTAGGGCAGTTTGGTCGATTCGTCGCTGTTCGTGTGCTGGATGGTTTGGGATAACACCATACTGGTTGATGGTAGCTGGGCTGTTAGGATAGCTATGATTCACAATGCAACTTTTGGCGCCTAGCATTTCTTACTATGCTTTTCTCTGCCTACGTAGTACGGAGGTTCACGTAATACCACTAGACTAACCCCAGTCATGCTTGGTATATTGAAAACACTAAATAAACCGCTCGAACAAAAAACTATGAAAACCCTTGTCCAATGGACATGAGAAAATATCAGAAAAAATCGTCGCACACCCCCATCATTAATATAGGGCACTTTCGTTGTTTTTATCGTAATCGTGTTACTCCTCGTCGCCAATCTATAACACGTTAGCTATCATTGCTCAACACCCAGGATCTCGAGGGAAAAACTCACCTTGGGAGCAAGGTAGAATCTCAAGTGACCGCTTCCGAGACCATATTCGACAAGCAGAGGGACCTCCTGGGACAGACACAGGGACACCGAACTAGACAGATTTGTAGCCTTGCAGAAGTTGACGAGGTATTTGAGAGAGAAAGTAAGAGCGACAGGTTCGGAGAGCGCAATCGAGACGTTCTGCTCGGGCTTTTCAACGTTGGTGTGTTGACGGACGGTCACGGAACCGCTGCCAATGTCACCTTGGCAGGAGAACTTGACACCTTCCTTGGTAGCCTCAATAACGACTATAGCAGTTAGCAAGGTCTGCTACATGGAGTAAAACAAAAAAATAAATAGAGAAAAAAAAAAAAAAAAAACGTACCCGACTCAGAAAGCTGGTTCAAGTCCCTACAAATCCGCTGGAACTCCGCCGACGGCATCTCAACTGTAGCTGCGTATTCTGTTTCGGGAATAGCCAGGTGCTCCTGGTCAATATCCATCAACTTGATATCATACTCGCTTATCCGGTCGGTCTCCGGGCTCTCGAACATGAGGTTAACCGCATCGGGGGTGTCCTCGGCCTTGAGAGTTAGAATGTCTTCGTTCTGGGCGGCCCGCAGAACCTTGGTCAACGAGACCAGGTTGATCCCCAGTGCGATGTTGCGGTCGCACCGGTAGGGGGAGAAACCCTCGGCGCGGAGCAGCATGGAGACCAGGGCAACGTGGGAGTTGTCCATGGCCTGGAGGGCAATCCCGGAGTCATTGCAGTCGAAGTTGCAGTCCTGGACGAGGTCTTTGATGGCGTCGGCGACCTGTTGTTCAATTGTAAGTATTATTGACTTTTTGGCAATTCCAGAGTAGACGCTGGAGTAAACGTACGCGCTTGAGGAGACTAGCTTGTTCAAGGCGTGCTTCTAACACTGTAAAACAGTTAGAATCTTGCTAACACCCAGAAACAACGAGAACACTCACTCTTGAATATGAGTTCCGGTAAACCACAAGAGGGGTGTAGCGAGAATGTGGGAATTAATTGACGTCAGATGAATGCTGGAATGGAGCTGTTGTACAGTTATTAATCGATATCTTTTGGTGAATTATAGGTCTGGAGAGGATAACGCACAGTAGAAGAAGTTGAAGTTATAAAAGTGTAAAGATTGAAGAAAGGAAATGAGGTGAATTCGCGTTCGAGGGTTTGGTGGGGACCGAAACGCGTCCAGTCGCGTTGCGCCTGAGGCTGATATGACCGCTTGGGGTAGTTTAATGCCTTGGGCATTCACTATCCCCTTGCCAGGGCCTTCTTAATAAAACAGTTTGACAATGACTTCGATTCACTGGCATCCGTAATGATCTATGAATGCAAGATACCCAGCTATTTTACACGATATACACAAGGAAATTGGGCAAGGTTTCGCTCAATGAGTGCAAAAGAAAAAGGAAAGCAAGCGACTAAAACAAGGCAAAAGCAATGTAATCCATAAAGAAACTCCTAGAATGTACAAGAATGCAAATTGACAAAAAAGAAAGAAGAAGTTGGATGGAAGAATATAGACATAAATAGAAGAGAAATGGGAATGTAAATGAAAACCAGCTAAACACCAGCGACGCCAGTCCGTTCTATACATGCGGGTATCAATCAGCAAATTTTGGTCAATGGCTTCATATGGCACAGAAACCCAAGAAAATATAACATAGGGAGTGGATAGTAAGAACGTAGATGAGCAAGACATCGGAATCAGATACTTGTGACCCGCTTCGAGGCTGCCGTATGGGGTCTCTGCTTGATGACCATTTCAAGCTCCCTCAGCATACTAGTGTTGGCAGTGGATCGATCTTGTGCAGCCGCTTGTTTTGCTCGATCTTCTTTGACGCGTGCAATACGTTCTTCCCTGCTGATAGAGGACCGTTTATTGCTACGGGATGGAAGTGCCACGGCTTCAAAGATTTCCTCTTCCTCGGGAGCATCTGTGACGCTTATATCCAGACGAGAACCTTCGCCTGTTAATGCCTTGAGCGCATCCGATGGGCTTCCTTCAACCGCTGTAACACCGCTAAGGCTAGGCGTCGGCGACAACGGTGCCAACGTACTCGACGGCCGTGAGTAGCGGTCTGCGAGAGATTGTCTATCGAAGCTGTTGACGAGGGCAGACTTTCCGGCTTCCCACTCTTGGAGGAGGCCCCGTATGTCTGTCCCGACCGAGTCGTACTGCGCGATAAGCGTAGCCTCCAGTTCACCGGTATCGGCTTCATCAAGGTTGGAATGGGACTCTTCACGAATCACATGCATTTTAGCGTGCAAAGCCCGGATTCCTTGCGAAAGAGTGTTGAGTCTTCGATATTGCGCTTTAAGTGCGTCCTTGTTGGGGGAGGCTGTGGGTAGAGGTGAAGGTGGGATAACTTCACGGTCTTCCTCACTGAGGATATTGGTCATCCTGCGGATGTTCTTTGATGTCACATCTGCCAAATCCCGCATCTGCTCCACAGCTGTGCTCCATCTTTCAATGTCAGAACCGCCACCATCGGCACTGAGAGCCAGCAGGCAGCACAAGACACTTTTCCTGATGCCATAGAGTCTTCCGAAGAGAGTTCGAAGGGCGCGCAGCGAATATTGGTCATCAGTCGAGCGTTCAGCTAAGCTGGATTTGGCTTCAGCAAGTTCATCCAGCGAGATATCGTAGATATCGTAATATCTAGCAAGGTTGACATCGTCCGTGAGCGGCTGTAGAATATGTAGCGACCGGATATATCGTTCCAACATTGAGTACAAACACTCAGAGACCGTCCGACGGAGTCGAAGACACCGTCGAATTTGTGCCTGGTCCTCGAGTCTGCTCACCGGAGGTAAGGGCGTACTTATGCGATAACCCCTGGAGACAAGTTCGACTTCTTGTATGAAAACCACTGATGCTGAGGCAGCCGAATCGAACCCCTGCGCGTTGCTGATGAAGTTCGCAGCCGCATCAACCGCTTGATGGCGCAGATATTTGAGCCACTGCCGTTTCGCAAAAGCATAGAACAGAACCCCGAGGACCGGCACCAAGACCATAAGAATGCTCACTTTCCGGGGGTTTATGCCGGTGCCTGATCGAGGCCGGCTCCAGTGTAATAACCATGCAATCGAAAAGGAAGTCGCACCGGTGACAATGGCACCTTGTAAACCGAACGTTGTGGAAAGCGATGGGAGTTCTGCAGGTTGCGCATGCGACAGCACATCTGCGGCGGAGGTGTATGATGGAGCGCTATGTTCGTTCAACAACTGTGACGCGACGATCACATAACCGAACTGTTCGAGGAACCTTGCGTTGTCGCTTTGTCCGATGCGAGAATTCAAAGTGGACTATAAGGAAGAGATGACATCGGTCAGTTCGCATATTCTAGTTGAAGATAAATAGCAAAAGCAAGCCATACCGCGCAGGCATCATAGAACCTCCCCAATGCTTCACTTCGTTGCGAGACTTTGGAATCTAGCTGGTTCGGAAGCTTATCGCGGATTCTCTCTTGAAATTTCGAGGCCCCTCGAGGGGCAAAGTCCATTGTCGCATCTGCAGTATCGCTATCCTCATTCTCTGTAAGCTCAACAGGCCAATTGTTGTCGCTTTCACCCTCTCCTATATTACCATCCCAATATCAGTCTCTGATATCCCAAAGAACCTATTGCAGTCAAGAAGGAACTCACCTTGGAGGTAGTCTGCCAAGGGCGAGTTCTCATACACAAGAGATTCCATGACGTTTGTGCATTCCGTTTTGACCCAGCGATAAGCACGATAAAACGCAGAGCAACTGTCAAGAGCTTGCGAACCGTAATGGCGAAACGAAGGTGGAATTAAAGAACGAATCGGACGTTTTAGAAATTCAAGTTGGTTACTGATGGTCCATCCCGCACTGGCCCGACGGCGTATCAGTTTCAGGAGAAGGGCGTGGAGGTAGATTCGGGGAGGCGGTTTGGTAGCGAGGAAGGGGGCTGCCGCAACGAACACTGGAGAAGAAGAGATGACGCGATTTTAGCAAGACGTGCAGGCAGGCAGACAGATAAATATCAACGAATAAAATAAGGTAATATAAGGAGTTTCAGTCCCTGGCAGTGTCTTGTATACACACCTAGCAAGATGGACTCAGAACGAAATGATGAGAAGAGGGCCACGTTGAAGATCTGGCCATATAATAACTACGGATAAGTAATAATAGTCGTACTCGTACGGACTCCGTAGTAATCGTCGTTTCCGGGGAAGGGGGTATTAAAGAGAGACAGAATAATGAGGCTGAGCCACACTATTTGTGGCGACCCACGGAAAAGGAAAGCGAGTGCTATGATTATTGATTCGACATATGCAAAGGAGAGTGTGTGTATGCAAGTAAAACGAGGGTGTGTGAGATATGTTATACTTTATGGGTTGAACACTTTGGATTATCAAGTTGGATAATGGTCTGATCCGATCATGGGCATTTCATTCTTTTTAATGCTTTACGGAACCCGGAGTTATCACCGAATGCAAACTCCATACCGAGGAGATCGTTCTATTTATGCCCACTCTGAATGCATATTGAACAGAAATTTCATTTCACATGGGCCGTTATCCGTTGGATTAACCGTCAACGAATCCCTTTCCCCGCGTGGTACCTGGATCCCGAGGATGTTTCCACGGAGGTTATCCCAACTAGGAGGATCTGAATATTGTGACCGGCCAGGAACCAGATCAAGTAAACAGATTCTAGTACAGTTTTTAAACCATAATGCTGTCAGACTTTGAATATTTCATATCTGACGATATTTTTACACTCCGATGCATCTCACCTGTCACCCCAGGTATGCTGATCATCTACAGCACGTCTGCTGAGCCTAGTACGATTAGGGGAAACGACGGCGTTCCGAGGAGCCTCACCTCATACACTGCCACCCAGTATTTTATAGATGTTGGCGCCACATTAATGTTCCAAACATCGCTCATCACTGAAAACTAGTAACCGTGATGGGAGAGCCAGCATCCCTGTTCTATACGGCTGCCAGCATCGTGTTACCTATCTTTGGAATCCTATACTACAACTCACTATATGGAAGTCGGCTACCTACGTGTACTCGGTATAGCCATGCTTGGAATAGCTGAGAAACTTACGGCCACATTGTTTGTCCATATAGAACCTCCTGGTATACATCTACCCTGGCACAATGAGAGCACGGCCAGCCAATACTAAATATCTGACAACGTATAGGCACCCAGCAGCTTCTTTGGATGTCATGACAAACAAAGCATGGCTAGAATGGTTACAGCCCTGTGTAGAGGGACGTTCAGCTTCAATGACCCTTTCAAACAAACATCCGGCACCGTGCCAGTTGACCTTTGATCCTTACCAATGGCCCTCCTAGCCCTCGACTACCACGATCCCTACTACAATCGTTTCTCCGGAATTGCTTACGTTTTCCTCGATGCGTTTTTTGAAGCCGGCCTCATAGCCATATTGGCAGTTCTCTTCGTTGCTTTTATCATCGCAACCATTGCAGGGCTTCTGGGGTTCAATTATGCGTACTCGAGTCCAGGCCGAACAAAGAAGAAACAGACGAGCTACGAGAATGGCCCCTCGTTGAGTTGGGATTAAAAGCTATGCCTTTTACTCAAGATGGAGATCTTGAACGATATGTTGGAACAGCGCCGTGGGAGAGCGGAGCGGCTGGTCAGACGGACGAGGTCTAGGTATGGGTAGCCCTCTTTCCTTTTTTGACCCTATGCTGACCTGATCTCCTAAGGTATAATCGGGGCAAGGCTGCTAACGAAGACACATAACATATTTCAATAGACTCTTTTCTCAGTAAATGCTCGCGGGTCAAGCCCGTTTGTCGGTTGAGATAGCGAAACTGGATAGAAGGTTAGCACTCAAAACAGTGTGATAAAGGTAGAGGAAGTGGTATTTGTGCTTGAGGGGCTGAGAAATCCTGGTGCTGATTCCCTGTTGGAGTCATTGTAGTTTTGCTAGAACGTATAAAACAGTTGATGGCCTATATATCCCGAGCATCCAAGGTTTATATATCCGTAGAGAACAAGCGAGCGAATCAAAAGACCAGATTCACCGATTCAGCACCATGCACTGCCTAAGCACTGGGAGCTAGTCTTGATACAAATAATGCCTAATCAAAATAAAACAGAAATGGACATATCCAAGATGATGTAGAATGTCGCATCGCAGTCATGTGATTGAAAATAATGCCTTGGTGCCTCAGACCCCACCTGCAGTTGCACCGGCAACCATCGCCTGTCAACATCGCGTTTTTGAAAGACGAACGTGATCGACCTCGTTCCTTGGATCAAATGAATACCTAAACGCTTTATCTATGATCAACCCTCTGGCCTAGTTAGCTTGACTCAGTTGTCCTCGATTGTGTCTATTATCCTCCTCCTACTCACATACAGCACACTCTTCAGAGGAAAAAGCGGTCTACATGGACTAGAGAAAGACTAACTGCCCACCGCTCAAGATGTCCGGTATCCTGGGGGAGGCTGGGACGCCTTGTCCATCCAGATCGAGCAATAGACACGACAATTTCGACAGGTTATGGCAAGATGGATTGGATACTTCCGACGATACCGCTAACCTCGACTTCACAACCGAAATCAAAGCATCTGCTCTTACAAAAGCGAAACCCAAACGGAGGACTGAGGCAGTTCCGTCTTTCCAAATTCATGAAAATAACGGCGAGAGACCGGTGCCATCGATGAACAAACCAAAAACAACGTTGGGAGCCTCTAATCGCAAATCCTCCTTGCTTACCCAGCCCGCGCAGAGGTTTCGACCGAAAGTCAGTTTCGCCACGACTCCATCGTCTACGAATTCGCGACATCTGGGGCAGTCTGATTCTCAGAAAAAGAGTGCAGAGACGGACGCGATGAGGAACAAGAAACTGCTCATGCAGATCAACGGGAAGGAGCGAGGCATTGAGCAAAACGCTGCCTTGAAAAAGGATGTCCGCCGTGAAACCATCTACATACCCACAGAAGATACGACAGTCGCGAGCGTGTTCATGGGTCTATTTAGTCCACTGAAATCGCAGACGACGAATACTATCAATTACCAAATCCCCAAAGACCCCGAGATCGACAGTTTAGAGGCGCGCATCGCGAGAAAACGACATGCGAAAAGAACGATGGCAGGCTCTGCACGGAAAACACCGTTGCAGCCAAGCACCAAAGTTGCCCAAGAAGGGGCTATTCAAGTTGATATTGCCGGGAAGAATGGTGGAAAAGAGAACACCCCACCTGGATCTGTTCTTGACGGCAAGGACAAAAGCTCTAAGCGTGGCATGCCTGTGTTTGAGCCACCAAAGCCCAAGTCAGCCGGAAACTTTTCAAAATCTGGAGGGAGTCGAACAGATGGCCTACATACAGCAACTCGGCCCAGGCCTCAAATGAGGGCAGCACTGGGTGACAAGAGCAACACAAGCCCAGCACCAATCAACGGGAGCCAGAAAAAGGACTTTGTCAAACCAAAAATGGCAGGCCATGAGCGCACCCGGTCTAGTGCGTTGAAGCCAACTACGTTGAACTCTCTCAACCGTTCCAAGAACACGATGCCCCCCAAACTTGCTGTATCAAGCACCAAAGCGAAGAAACTAAACGAGCAGTTCCCGCTACTTGCAGAAAACATCTCTAACCCGGCATTGTACGAAGATAACTGGCTCGCACATCAAGAGGAAGTAATAGCCCAATCGCTCAACGAAGTGTTCGAACAAACGGATGACCACACAAGTTCCGATGACCCTGCTGCCCTCCGACACGAATTTCTCGATCGTTACCAGAACAATTCATTTACACTGCTCTACAAGCGAGTCCAGGTGTCACTAATGAACGGTGCCATGAGCATCCCCAAGAACGTTCTCGCGCGAGAGTCGCGGTTGAGACAGGACCTCGGCTTGAAGCGGAGATTTCTAGACATTTGGACGAAGACCTATGATTTGCGGGCTTTGCGAGCTGCACTGGAGACTGTTATTGGCCGAAGAATTGCCAACGATGACGATGACGGACGTGCATACACGACAACAAGCAAAGAAAAGATCTTGAAGAGGCGAATAGAGACCTTTCTGGAAGCCTTCCTGCTGCGCAATGAGGACATGGTGCAGCGACTGGAGACGCCGAGCAAAGAAGCGGACGCGACCGGCCACGCATATCGCCGCACGGCCCTTCGCAGCATCATGATCGTTGTCCTGCTGGACAAGACTAGGGTGCACTCCGGCACGACCCTTCCTCGCCGTCTGTTTGTAACGTCATCGCTGTTGAAGTCTTCCGCCGCTGTGCTTCAGACCCTGGCGCGTTTGTTGTTACCGACATCAGGCGACATCATTAAATCGCTCGGACACCTAGACTGCCAAGTATCGTACGAGCAGCAGCAAATCGAGGAATATGATTACCACATCAAAAACCTCGCCGTGGATGTGAGAGACGGCGTGAGGTTAACCCGAATTGCCGAGCTGTTACTCAACTGTTATGGCGGCCTTGATGGAGAACCAACCACCACTGTGACCCTGCCAGACGGAGGGGCTTTTTCGCATTTGAATGAGGAGCAATGGTCACTTCTACCACACCTGAAGCTTCCGTGTACGAGCCGAGCGGTTAAGCTGTACAATGTGCAGGTTGCGCTCAGCGCATTGGCATCCAACAGCGGGACTAATGTGCTAATCCATGGTGTAGCTGCAGAGGACATAGTCGACGGCCACCGGGAAAAAACCATTGCGCTTCTGTGGAGGCTGGTCAGCAAATGGGGACTTCCTGGGTTAGTGGACTGGAAAGATGTTCAACAAGAGATTGGGCGACTCAAGCGGAAAGCCATTTCACAGCTCGGGTACAAACAGACTACGGAGACAGAATCGAACGAATCAAGTGATGGATATGAGCTGCTGCTGAAGCAATGGGTGTTTCTCTTGGCACAGCTCAAAGGCATTCACATGGATAACTTCGATACAAACTTTGCGGATGGTCGGATCTACGAGAGCATTCTCGACGAGTACCAGGGCTATATAATCGGCCAAGACGCTGAACGCAGCGGAGGTGATACAATGGCCTCTCGTCTTCAGGCTCTGGGATGCAGCTCAGAATTCGGTAAGCCCGCGGTCTGTACTCTGTAGCACCAAAGCAGTCATAGCTAACAATCGCAGCGGCTTTGGTCACACCAACATCCACCGCAACATCGCATATTGTCAACAGTGACTTCATCCTCGGTGCAGTCGCATTCCTGTGCTCACGACTTCTGTCCGCCTCCAAACGAGCCCGGGCGGCGACTGTTATACAGTAAGCTTGGCGGCGGATTCACCCCGTCGCGATACCCAGCGATATTGCCAGCCAGAGCACCACTGTTGCACAAACTGAGAAGTCGATTGTTTGGGCCAAGGGCGTTATTGTCAAGGGACGGCGGCAAATGAAGCAGCAGCGTCACCGGCCGGTCCGGGCGCTAATACGAGACGCAACCCAGGTTCATTTTGAATGTGGCGTTTGTATGATTATCCTATTCTTTCAGGTGTTCGGCGTGGAGTGTATTGCATATTCTTACAGCAGTATTTGCGTTAATTTTCGAATTCATATTAGCATCAGCTGAGCAAAGTCCTCTGCAATTGACCATCTAAAACACACTTCGCATCCCACGACCCTCTTGGAGTTACTCCTTTAGGCACTATATGCATCTATGAAGATAAATCGATGGAGGCGTGTGTGATCGATGATGAAATATGAATAATAGCTCTCTTATCATGACCTCATGTTCATCTGACGTGGGGGTCAGTTACATTCGATACGCTATCTATATTTCCAGTGTAAACCTCAATACACCACCAGCACGAATAAATCCAAAGTAGCATACCATAGTACCACCATCCACCCAATTTTACACAACATAACCCGAAAAAATCCAACTAACGGACGGCTCGAACCTACTCACACAACTATACAGGGATAAAAAAGTATATATGATCTCACCTTTGAGATACTACTACTGTGTACCACGGTTCCATCGAGTCTGACATGAGCATAACCACAGTTCACCCGCCAAGCACGAAGGCCCATCGAATCCGCTGAAGAATAAATCGCTTCTTCGCCAAGACCTTTCCTCTTGAATAATAAGGTCAGCGGATCGACGGTGCATTTTCTTCCATACTTGTGCTAGACAGTGCTATCTATCCAGATCCGGGAAGTCCGGAGAGTGAGCCTTGGCGCTAGGTTACCAGGAATAGAGACATAGTATGGCATAGCATAGCATAGCAGAGCACAGCCATAGATAGTACGAACACAAACACAATAAATAATGATGCCTACCATAGTCATACTCATACTACTAGACCGATCTTGGCAGCATAACATAAAACATTCCATAGCACACCCACTAGCACCGCATAGTTTCGTACACACCCGCCAAGCTTTATCCTCTTGGCTCAATTCTTGGCTCCTTGGCGGAAGTTCAGATTTCCCTCTTTAATCCTCTTGGCTCGGGCTAGGCTGTGCTGTTGCTTTTCCCTTGCGCCCGCCGTGTTCCCCTTTCTCTTCTTCCCCGTGGGAATGTATGTAGCATTTCCCAGCGGGAACCTACCTTGCCGGGCTTGCTTACTCTGGTCCGGGGCTATTCGTCGATCAGGAGATCATGATGTACGAGAATGGGGTATTGTGCGAGGGAGTGTGGGATTAGGTTGTTGTGTTGACGTCTTGGCGGTTTGTAGTGTGTGGTGCTGTGCTGTTCTGAGCTGAGGTTTGTACTTTGTATACTTGTGTGGGTGATTTGTGTGAGGTAAGGGAATATTGTAAATATTACTGACTGGTATTGATGGTAACTGATGACTGTACAAGTAATTGGTAAATAGCAATACCCTGTACAAAGTGACTAATTGCAAGATAAAGAATGAAAAATAAAATAAAAAAAGGGTAAAAAGAATAAAAACCGGATAAATTTCCACATACAGAAGCGAAAAACGCAAGATCCAACTCGCTGGAACAGAAATCAGAAACTCAGAAACATGTCGAGTGAACTGTCCATGCCTATCCGATACCCGAGATGTCAAGTCCATACTTTCCCAATCAGGCGCCTCATGCAGCAATCCCAAACACCTGAACTCTCCAGTCGCGGTGGGGAGAACGACATGGCAGGTGACCACTTACTAAGAAATATTAGAGAAGGGAACTAAATGCCTCATACTTTGGTGGTTGCATGCGCGATGCCCGAGTTTGCTCACCGGGAGCCCGACCGGCCTTGCACCTCTCGAAACGAAACAGAGAAGAGTACGGAGTACGCTACAGATCCCCCACTGACAATTCACCTGGAGAATTGTACATGGAATGGGGAAAGCTCTTGCATACGGAGTACGGAGAGCATGCAATAGGTGTACTTGTACGGAGTAGAGAGCATATGAACGGACGGAGAGCAGCTTCCCTGCTATTGTACTGCGTCTCCCGCGGAGTACGCATACGGGACACGGCTCTCGTGCCAGATGGCTGAAAGGCCCCTCCCCTCGTTGCCATCGGAAATCAGGTGAAAGCGAGCAATTGTCGGTGTCCGAGCTTTTCCGTTGAAGGCGATTTGCACGCTGTCTTCCTACCATGTGTTCGTAGTGAAACTGCCAGATACAAGCAAGGACCCAGAGGAGATAGCAATATCAGATCGAAACCAACACTGGCAGTTACCAGGATATCCCTGACTCAGTCGAAGCTTATCCCAGCCTCAACATCTCAATAGAACCAAGCCTTTCGATGATGTTTTGTCGCGTCGTGAAATGCATCCCATCCATCCCACTGGAATAGGACAAAGTCGGCAAAAACCCAAGACCCCGCTTAGCTGGCGAAACTAGCCAACCATTGCGATCCAAGTCACAGTGTCTGTGTTTGTGTTTGTATGTATGTGTCTATCATTGTTATTCTTGGTCATGGCTGTTCGGCCATCGGCACCCTTGACCGCTTGTCATTCATCATCGGGCAGTGTCTTCGTCAGCCTTGGGGCGGCGAGTCAGTTGCATCCGTCAGTTGAATGGACGGGTTGAAGGATGATGGTTTGGGGGCCGGGAGCATGGTCTGGTGTCATGTTTATCCTGGATCATGGGTCCGATTCCTTTTTTTACTCTTGCAGTTCTGGTGGCTACGAGAGAATGTACTCCATACACCATACTCCGTACAGTTCATGCCCAAGTTTTGTTTCGGAGGACTGGATTGACAGATCTGCGCTGTTGTTGCTCTCTTGGACGACTTTCGCGATATATCCTTCCTGCGTATTCTGTAATTTGCGTATTACCATTACACCGGAGAATAAACATCGATTTTGCTCATCACTCACTGTAGAAAGCCTTTATGACTTAATCGTTAGTTTGGATTATTTGCATTAGATGGGCTGAGATCGATCTGCTTGTTTCGGTCGTTTTTGCGTTCGATCTATTGAAGCACAAGCCATCTATAGGGTGCTCCGTAGTATGGGGGATTGGCCTCGACTCCGTACGAAGTAGAGTATGGGGTTACTGCACATTCCATACAATGTCAGATCTGATCTATATTCTTTATTTCAGGAGCCAGGAATGCTGAAAGACAGGGGATTCGTCCAAGAAATTTCGATGCGTTGTCGAGAACTTTGCTCGCAGAAGTGTCAGGAGAGCAATGTAAGGGTTTGCATTCCTTCCTTAGGACGGAGACATGTTCCTACAAGCAGCACTTCTGAGAATGATGCCAAGTGAGATAGTCAATTACTGAAAGCAGAATACACAATGGACCAGAATGCTTGGGGTCTGAATAGCCATCAGGGTCTTGGTTTTGCTTTTGCTGCGAGTTTGGAATAAGCAAAGTGATATGTATGTAAAGCGGTCCATTCCCATTAGTTATGGATTCATTACCATCGACAGATGGAATTTATCTCTTCTAATAATACCGGCATCATCGGTACTGCATAATTTGTAGGCTGTTATCTTTGCAAGCAGTCGGCACGCATGCTATCTTCACCTGCCAAGATCTAAACATTCCAAATCCGGACACAACTGCAGGCAAGGGAAATCAGCCAAGGATGCCAAGAGAAGCAGCGGTTGAGCGACAAGAACCAAGCATTCAACACCAATACAGAGGAAGCATGAGAGCAGATCAAGTGTAATTCGGTACAATGGACTAGAAATGAAGAGGGTCAATTGCAAAAGTCTAATCCAATTGAGATACACGCGCTCTACGCGCATGGCTCTTGGCCTATCACTAAAGCATATTCCTTCACAAGGCTCTTCAAAAATTTTGTGCGATAGAGTTTCTCGCCCTCCTTTCCCAGTATTTTCTTCTCGGCTGTCTCAGTGGTAGTAGACCTGCCGGTAATACGTTATTTTGTAAGACTCACTTGGAAGTAATCTCTGTGTGCTGCTATTGGTGTCATTGGTGCCAACCATGAACAACCCTGTGCCGTTTTATCCTGGCGGTAGCGAAAATCCAACCATCCATGGTTGGGGAGGTGGGCTCCGTACTTTCCTTCTCCGTAAGTACTCCGGAGCCCGCGTATTTTGGGGTAATATGCAGTCTTATTAAGGGGAAACGGGGGGAGACCATTCGCCAGTCAGACGGGTTATTATTATTGTATGTCTTTAACTGGTCCTTTGGGTGAAGCGAACAGCCCGTCCGTAGTTGTATGTCCCGGATCTCTACAGAGTACTAGAACAAAATGCCTCATAGTCATCTCCGACAGCCCATGTTCTAGGAGAATTTCCACCAACAACAAGAACATCTTGCTGCCTTTGCCTTTTGACCACGCTCTACAGGCTACCAGCCTTGCAGTTCTATTTTTTACTTGTACTCCTATTTCTTGCTTTGTCTTCTCCCTGCCATGCATTATTACCGTTTCCTTGCACCCTGTACGGGGCACGGTTACTAACTTAACTTACTCAGCTGTAATGTACTGTAATGTCCCATGTAGCCGCAGGAACCGAAATCGCATCTGGCCAATTAAGAGGGCCAATATGGGTCACTGGCCCGAGCGTCACACACAGACGGACTGCAGAAAACGACGAGAAAAACTGTAATTTGAATTTTATTTGTGTGGCGCAATTCTGATGACGGTACGGAGTAATATTTGACTAAGTGACTTGACCACGAGGTTTTTGTAAATTACAGAGTACACCGTACACGCCTAACCTCTTTTTTTTTTTTTTTTTTTTCTTATTAAATGACTTGAAAATTACATACAGTAAACCTCAGCCTTTGTGGTTAACGAGCATATACTAAATCTGATTCCTTCCTCTCGCTTTCTTTCCTTTTGCTTTCTGTCTCTCTTTTCCTCTTTCCTCTTTCTCTTCTTCCTTTCCTCTCTCCTCTCTCCTCTCTCCTCTCTACACAATCCACTTCTGCCAACACATCCATAAGCTGTTCTTTGGGCACTCCTTCGACGCGTCTCTTCCTGGCGCTCGTTGAGTCGCCATTCCTCTTTTTTTCTTTTTTCTTTTTTTATTTTCTTACACAGGACAAAAAAGAGCCGTGCTTCGCCTACTCTTGGCGGGCATACTCGACTTTCTTGTCACTTCCCTGCCCTTACTTTGCCTCTCCCTCCTGCGCAACTACGCCATGTGCTGTATATCATGACAATCGTCGTCCTCTATGGGACATTCTTTTTATAATACTTCCTCTTCTTCCGTCCTCTGCGTCGATCGGTTTTGGATTTTAATCCTCGATCGATATTGAGAGAACATTTTTTTGTTATCTTTATTTGTACAAAGATACTATTTCCGCCATCCGCGCCTCCCATTCACCACCACCACCACCACCTTCGTCATACTTCACCTTTTCACCTTATTCGAGTCTTCTCTTTTCCTCTTTGGTCTATTACCTTTCTGTTCTAATTGTTTATTTTTCTTTTTTTAATATCTCTCGGCTTATGCTCCGACCGATTTAATTGTCGTGACGCGAGTCGACTCGATACTGAAGGAATGGCACACTTCCGCGGTGGTGACAGGCCTTTTTCCTCAATACACAAAATTGTCAAGATGCTTCTCTCACCACACTCGTCCAACAAGCCAGCAAGCCAAGATACAACAGATATGGCTGAGGACGTCGACGAACCTCCCGATCATCGCTTCCTGCCTTCCTCGCCAATGCACGCCCACGATGACGATACCCTCGTCTACGTCAAGTCACCTCCCGTCCCAGAGTCGCTCCTCACCCGTGCTTTGAAGAACAGCCCGGAACTCTCGCCCACAGAACCTCAACCTTCCTACGGTCACCGCGTCTCCTTCCGTTCCTACCCGCAGAGCAATGTCAGTGGCGTTTCGACAGCCGAATTGACCAGTGATGGCGGCATGACGACCAGCCCATCGCTTTCCAACACTCCCAGCCCTCCCGCTCCTTCGCACTTGACCGGCAGACGATCTTCAACGACAACGAATAAAAACGCTGCTGCTGATCCCAGTGAATGTACCGTTGAGGCTAATCTCGGGCGCAAGAGGTGCATTAGCTTTGCATGTGGTCGCAAGACCGAGGGGCAGCAGAAGCCTCAACAGCCACAATCCCCTACACCGCCAAAGCCGATCACAGAGAATAAGGAATCTGAGCCTATACCCACCGAGCCAATGAAGCGGAAGACGACCCTTACCTTTGCGTGTCCCTCGAAAAGTCCCGAGCCCGCACGTGAACGCTCGCCAGTTCGCAAGACAGCGTTCCGGTCGAGGCCCCGATGCTCGCCTGCCCCTACCGCCCGTAGGGCCTCTCAGCCAGAGAAGGAGCCACCAGCACCGATTACCATTCCCCAGGCAGAATCCCCTCAGGAGTCGACGCCGACCGACCGGAGAGGAGTTCCCACCCGGGGTCTGGGCAAGTTTGAAGAGTCAGAGGCGACCCGTTTCCACGAGTTTGCTAGCTCTGTCGAGGAAGATGACGAATGGGTTGCCAAGGCTGGTGAATATACCAATAAGATCACCTTGAGCGATTGTATGAAAAAGGAGATCGCGATTAGGAAACTGGGTGAAGAGGCGGAGCAAGAGGCCCTGGAAGACGAAGATTTTGACGACGAGGAGGACGATGACGACGATTCTGCAGACGAAGACGAAGATGATGCGGATACGGATGATGGAAACGAGACTGACAACGAGGCTGGTTTTGCGGATTCAGACGACAGTGACGCTGGCTCGGACTATGAGTTCTGGGCCACGACCACTACTACAGCTGCGACCAGCCCACAAACCATCGACATCCCTCGTCAACCTTTGGATCGTAGAGTGTCGAACGCCTCGTACGACTCGCCATTTGATAACGAAAAACGAAACTGGCCGCCGGCTCTGACAGGGAAGCCTGGTCGACGATCTTCCAAGACACCTAGGATGCGACCTGGCACCCCGAACCTCCCCGATAGCACAGACTTTGTGTGTGGTACATTGGACGAGGATCGTCCCTTGGAGGCTGCATACAAGTCCTGCATGGAGCAGCGTCGTCTGTCCAAGCAAGTCGTCATCCCCCAGGATATTGACCCGAGCTTCCCCACCTCTGATCCTGAAGATGAAGATGAGGATGAGGAAGATGAGGTGGAAGAATCGGTAGTGGACGAAGCCCCTCGGGGCCGTTCCAGCGCCACGCAGAGCCAGAAAACGTCACCTCGTCTCTCTCCCTCCAAGCGTATGGTTTCACCACCTCCGAAGCGTATGGTATCGCCGCCCCCTCGTCAGGGTCGCTCCTCGCCTAAACGTCTTCGCTCCCCGCCTCCTCCAACCATGAAACAATTAAAGCTGCCGTCCCCCATTGACCGGAGACCCTCAGAAGAGGCCCCGATTATGCACCCGCAGGGCGTCAACATCAGCGAATTGGTTCAACGGCCATCCGTGACGCGGACCAAGTCGCTTCCTCGAACACCGAACCCTTTCTTCGCCAGCTTAGAGGAATGGCGTCCCCGGTGGACGGGCATTGATGATTCTTCGGATGAATCGTCTCGCACGCGTGAAGTGCACACTCGTGGGCCCATCGATATTGTCGAGGGTCTCGAGAAGAAGCGTCAGAAACGAAAGGAAAAGTTCTGGCGTCAACACTGCCGCAGAGCTGCCAAAGAGCAAATGGTGCGGCGACCGATTCCCGGAAAAGGCGCTGAACGGATGAAGGAGCTTGGCCTCGAAGTTGCTGAGAGGTGCAGAGCTTATGGCGTTGGAGAAGACGCCCAGCTCGTCCTATCTGTTTAAGCCCCCTCTTTCCGAACAGGAATTTGAGTCCTTCTTTTGTACATAGAATTTTCTTTTTTACCATTTTTGTCAAAACAAAAATTTTCACGATTACCCTCGCTTTATTTTATTGTGCATTGCTATTGTTACTTTGGTCATATATCCCTTATCGCTGACCTTTTCTTGCGATTCAATCTTTCTTGTTCAGAGAGGATATTTTGCTTGCATTTACAAGGCGATCGTTTTCGTTTTACTATACATATTTGCTTATATTTCCCATTTGTGTCTTTAGAGTACCCTTTTTGTTATTTCTCGATCTTTACCGGGCCCTTGTTTGCTGGATCTTGCTGGGCTGTAGATATACCCCTCTTCGCTTGAATGAATTACAGATACCCCTAACTTATGATAATTTCCTAGTAAAACATCCACTACCCTACATCAATAATAGTATTGAAGGACGGAGTAGTGTATAGTAGTTGCCACTCGGTCTGCTTTTTCGGTTAAGTCCAAACGAGCAAGCGGTCGGGCAAGCGAATCGGACCGTCAACGTCAACCCATCCTCAGCACCCTCCGCAACCTGGCTTCTTTTTGCCTTTCTTTTTGCCAGCACTCCATTTACTCCTGGAACCTCTCAGTGTTTATATTTGATACTAATCACCTCTGTTTTTTTACTTGAGCCCTTCTTTATTTTCGAGTCCAGAGCTCACAATGTGGATTATCAACTGGTGTAAGTAGTGCGCCTGGATTTATTCAGCTGGTCTTTGTTGTCTTGTCCTGATTGCGACTCGGGACGTAATAATCCATTCCTATTTTACTGCTACGATCGGATTTCAATTTGATGAGTTCGTTATGCTGATTTTCTGAATCCGTCGATCAGTCTACGACATTTTGGCCTCGCTGGGTCTACTCAACAAGCACGCCAAGCTTCTCTTCCTCGGTCTTGATAATGCCGGAAAGACGACTTTGTTGCATATGTTGAAGGTGAGTTTGCTCCTCTTAACTTGGAAGGTTATGGTATATGGATGCTAATGGGGAATAGAACGATCGCGTTGCAATCCTGCAGCCCACCGCGCACCCTAGTACGTACCTTTCGCTTCCTAGGACTTGATGGATGGGATATTTGAAAGGAAGAAAGCACAGGACTGACAACGTTCAGCATCGGAGGAACTCGCCATCGGAAATAACCGGTTTACGACGTTCGATCTTGGTGGTCACCAGCAAGGTGAGTTCATACCCTCCTCCCTCCAGCACAACCTCAATACTGATGACATACAGCCCGCCGTCTCTGGAGGGACTACTTCCCCGAAGTCAGCGGTATTGTCTTCCTGGTCGACTCCTGTGACCACGAGCGGTTCCTCGAGTCCAAGGCCGAGCTGGACGCTCTCCTGTCCATGGAGGAGCTCACCAAGGTCCCCTTCCTTGTTCTCGGAAACAAGATCGACCACCCCCGCGCCGTGAGCGAGGATGAGCTGAGGCATCAGTTGGGTCTGTACCAGACTACTGGTAAGGGTAAGGTGCCGCTGGAGGGAATCCGGCCGATTGAGGTGTTTATGTGTAGTGTCGTCATGAGACAGGGTACGTTCTCTCTTTTTCTCGGCTTTGAATTATCGGAGACTCTTAGGCTAATATGTTCGCTATACAGGATACGGGGAAGGTATCAGATGGCTCTCTCAATACGTCTAAGCGATTCCGATGATTTCCTCCCCTGATACCATACCGTGCCATATATCCTAACCTTCCATACTCTCAACCCAACAAAATAAGCCAAGCCAAGCCAAGCCAATATACAACGTACGACGTACGCTGTACGTAACCCCCGCAGTTTTCAACAGCGTTCTCGAGATTCTCGTTTCCTGAGGGGGGGGGGGGTTGGTTGCCTCGCTCTTCCTGCTTTCTCCTTTTCCCGTTTGCTTTGGTAAATGACCAGATTAGCCTTGTTCAGGATTTGTTTTTAGAGCATGTATGTCAATATGCTAGCTTTTTTTTTTTTTTTTTTTTATTAATAGGGAGTCCCTTATTCTCTTCTGATTTATTTAGAAATATAAGCGTAATATCGGTTCGAGTCTCCTCCCTTTCTACACTTGCCATTAGAGACGAGTGCCATACTGTGGTATCTACATGAAAGAATTCGTCGGAACAGAATTATCACAGGATACAGGAATGCAGAACTAAATATCCCTCGCCTCACCTTATCTCCCAACGATGTATGCTATGCTAGGACAAGTTCGGATATGTACTTGTACGTGCTGCATGCAATCCGTATACATACGTAGCCAAGCGAAGCCAAACAGAAAAAATCAATACAAATATCGAGTTCCGAGTTTCGAGTCCCGAGTACAATGGCATTATACGAGACCAAGCAAGCAATAATCCCCGGCCCCATACCCTCTATACCCCTCATACCCCATATATAGTCGAGCGAATCATATCAGTACAGTTGATAATTGCCGACGTCATTTCTAAGGACAACGAATATGATTTCGTTGAAAAAGGAATTGGGCTATTTCAGGCGTATGCATGTAGAAGTGCTTGCTGTACTGAAGACACAAGAGACAAAAGACATGTTCCTTGCGTTTTAATTTGGCATTGCACTCACAGGAAGATTAAATAGAATGAAAAAGGCAAACGGAAGAGAGAAACACCAGATGCAACCCGTCGCTTTTCCCTTCCTCCTGTCTCAAAATGAATCCGGGACAACAAGAGGGAAAATGAAGGGGGACGAAAAAAAAAAAGACAGAAAAGAAAGAAACAAGAAAAAAAAAAAAAATGATCAAGGATAAATGAAAATAGAGAAAAAGAAAAGACCAACCCCTTCAAGTAGCAGAATAATAGTGGTACCGTTCCAGATGATAAGAGGAAAAAGGGAAAACAAGCACTCCGCTCAAAACAGTTCAACGTCGCTGGAATTTCACATGAGGGGGGAGGGAGGGGGGAATCTCGGCGTATCCTCTTCTCTTTTTCTTTTTATGTTCACGAAACTTCCGGTGGCTGTCGTGGGAGTCTGCTCTCAAACGTCGTCTAATACATGGGGTCCCTTTCAAATGTCGCCGTTCGTGTCGCTAAACTGTGTGGACTCGCGTGTGGTGGATGCTGTGTGATAGATATCGCTGATATGTTCTATCGCCGCCCGAACCTGCTGCACATGGAAAAAAAGAAAAGCTCGTACGAATTCTTACTTCTTTTGCTTTCGCGGAGGAGTGATGGGCCTGCCGAAGCTCATGCCCCCGTGGACGTACTTTTGTTTCTTTTCTGCTGGTTTCAAGATCTGTCAAAATTGTTTAGCGATCTGTCCCAACTGACCAGTCAAGCGATTATGACATACCTGGAACGAACAAAGCAAGCTCTCATCGACGCTCATCATCGCACCAGCATTGTCAAATTCTCCACAGTAGTTGGGAGCGCTGAACAATGTTACGAGTTGTCGCTTCGAGAAGAACTCATAACCATCCTCGACGACTTGATGGGCGCGGCATATCAAATCCATATCGTGTTTCTGCAGAAATCGTGAGACGACGTCGGGACCGAAGGTGAACGACACACCGCGGTCGTTTTCGCTCCAACCGGTGATATCCTTGTCGGGGTCGGACCAGAGGAGATCGCAGAGAAGACCGCAGTCAGGAATCTATATCGGTTATTGGTTAGCGGATCAAGCCTTGAGCTTCAAGGAGCCAGGCGAAAGGAAATTCAGTTTCTCTTCCTTGTATTTGGAAGAAAACTTGGGTATTGTGCAATAGAAATGTACAGGGAAGAAACTTACATCAGTAGGACGCATGACACGGCGGATCTGTTCCATCGAGTTCAAGTCGGGACTGAGACCACCGTGCATGGTGAAGATCTTCTCATCGATAATGGCCGCAATGGGCAAGCAGTTGAAGCAATCGGTGAATGTCTTCCAGAGCTTGATGTTGTACCTCCGCTTGCACTCATCGTAGAAACCGTAAATTCGGTTGATGGAGGCGCACTCATGGTTACCACGGAGAACGAAGAAGTTTTCGGGGTACTTGATCTTGTACGCGAGGAGAAGGCAGATGGTTTCGAGGGACTGCTTGCCACGGTCGACGTAATCACCGAGGAAAAGGTAGTTGGCTTCCGGCGGGAAGCCACCGTATTCGAAGAGACGCAGAAGATCATAATATTGGCCGTGGATATCACCGCAAATCTAGTCGCACGGACCCATTCCGTTAGCAAGTCCACAGCCACTCTAACCCGGAGTAGACGGGAAAAGGGGGTGTGGAAGAAATAGAACATTGATTATGTACCTTGATGGGTGCTTCCAACTCCAGCAGGATGGGTTGAGAGATAAAGATTTCTCTCGCCTTAGTGCAGAGAAAACGAATCTCTGATTCCAAGAGTTGAACCTGCTTTCCAGGCCGGCTACCCCTCACCTCCAAGAGACGGTCAATGATCGAGTCCAAATCCACTTCCTGGTCAGCCATGGCGAAATGGTTCTAATGGGACGACAAAAAAAAGGACTAGAAAATGGAAAACAAAAAAAAAACTATGATAATAAAACAGAGGCGACTAGCGACGGAGGAAAAATCGGCGTGGAGCGCACGGAAATGGTATGACAGATGACGCGGTGCCTATAAACTATCAAAGAAGGGGTTAGAAACAATCAGGAGCGACGGAGTAGGAAGGAAAGCGATAGCAACGCCAATCGTACAGATTTTTCTCGTCTCCTTCCAATGCGATTAGGGGAGCAGAGACGGGATTGCACAACTTACCAAACAAGGATTCTGGAGGAAGAATGCAAATAGAAGAATTCAAGCCCAAGGCCCTGAAAAAAGAAACGAAAAAAAAAAGAGAAAGAAAAAAAAAATTGGGATCTGGCAAGTTACGCCAGACGACGAGATGATAAAAACCAGCCTTTAGCAAATGCAGATAGATGCAAAAAAGGGAATTCTTTTGTTATGAAAATTTCTCGTCGACGGTGGGGATGCGCCGATGACCAGGACGGTGTGTTGTTGCCGGGTGTGGCTCCCGCCCGGTCTGCGATGAATCCGGTGAAAAAGCCTCGATATGGAGGAGAGAATGAAGAGCGACAAAGGGTGTCAAGAAAAAAAGGAGTCGCTGTTGTAGTCGTCGTCGGTGGTGGTGGGAGAGTTGGCGACGATGAGTTGATGACAACGGACAACGGGGACGCGATGGACCTCGACGACGGCGGCACCGATGGCGGTGGACGAGAATCGGGAGGTAAGTTCTTTGGAGTGGCGAGAAGGGAAGGAGGGGAGATGACAGTAAGAGCAGTGATAGCAGTACTGGTGGTGGTGTTGGTTATTGCTGTTGTGATGATGGAGATAAGAGGTGGTAGTGGTGGTGGAAGGAAGAAGGAAAGCGAGTCGGCAATCAAGGGATTCCCTTACTTTTTCCCTCCCCAAGTGGGTGAAATTTTTTCTTTTGTTTTTCTTTTCCCCCTCGGAGGTTGCGAGTAAGAACAGAAAATCACTTACTGTGGTTCTGAAAAAGCTCACCAGAACAGATAAACACAGGCAGACGACAAGAAATCAGGCTCGATCTCGGAATCCGAAGAGAAAAAGCAAGAAAAGGAAAAGGGTGAAAAAAGCGAGAAGAACGAGGAGGGAAAAGTGAAGTTGGGGTGGCGCTGGATTGGGCGGGCGGTGGAGAGTAATCCACCACCAGGCTCATCAACAGTAGTGAAGAAATATCTGCAGCATTGACTAAAAAGGAGAAACAGAAAGCAGATAAAGAGAAGAATATTTTAGATATCTGATGAGAAAAGTTCAATATATCTGCAGAATTACAGGAGCACGTCGGGCACTCGATAACAGAACGCGCAATCCGCCTACATCCCAACGGTTTTGCTAACAGCGAGGCTAAATACTTATACTCGTAGAACGACGGTGCTTCATCAACATGCATATCTCGCATTCCACTATATAAGCGTTACTCTTCCATCATCTCGTCGCATACAGTCATATCCGAACTCAAAATCCGGCCGTTTTCCCATCCGTGTAGAAACAAAAGACATCCACCCACAGTCCTCAAAACAAGACAAGCGTCATTAAGAGCGGGAGTCAAAAAGTCGAAGAAATTGAAGATGAAAAAGGAAAAAAGAAAGAAAAAAACAAACGCCTCGCCAATAGTTAAATCACCCATAACGCCTCAGTATCTGCCTCCCAATAAATATCAATACAAAACAGTCTAAAAAGACGGGGAATATCAACAATAACGGTCTTTCATGATGCCTCCCATTAATTGGACCAGCCTGAAATGGTCAAAAGAGATAGAAAAGGAAAGTCATAATGATCATCCACCCAGCTGGCATCTGGATGTTGGTATAATGAAGAAAAAAAAAATTAAAATGCACAGGTAGTCTTCCGTCACCAGTAGACATCTCCCTGGATCGGGAAGAGGGATAGAAATCCAAAAGGAAAAATAATTGATGGCCAAACGCAGAGGCCCGTGCTTTTTTCTTCTTTCTCCTCCTTCCTTTTTATGTGCGATCACCACCAATGATAATCTGGTTACTGCAAGCTCTTGGGATAGTATTCGTGGGAATCCTCGTGGATGAGTCCAGAGGTGTCCCAGTGCGTGGCACACTGGCTTCTTTTGGTCTGCTTTCCCAGGTACGATCACCAAGCGCGTTGAGCCAAACCTCCTGACGAAGAGCCTCGAGCTGGCGTATATAATGGTCCCCATCCATGCTCCAATCAGCACCATGGCGCGTCGGTTGCGGCGTTTGCGTCGTTGTGCCCGCATCACCAGGCCTATCGGGGTTCGATTGAATTTGGTGAGTTCCGCCCTGGGAACCACCATCAGATTTCCATTGACGGTCTGAGGTTGCCGCAAAGCGCGTTTCATCGGGTATCTGGACATGCTGGATGGTGGAAAGCACAGGAGTCACAGTCATACCTGAATCGCTTTTGCCATCTTTGACTGGCTTCTCCTTGGGGGCTTTAGGCATATCGACGATTCGTCGTCGGTTGGCCCTCCTTCGTCGCGGAGGTCCAACGTCGCATGCGCTGCCTCGCACATCCGGCGCTTGGCCCGGCCGAGCAGCCGGGACAGGCCCTTGTTGTGCCACAACAGTGCCAGGGGACTTGCTCACAACCGTCGATTGGTCCGCGACAGGCGTTCGGATGACTGGGGCGCCCTCCGGCTCCGCCACTCGTTCAACCAAGTGTTTCCTCTCCGTGTATCCGGGACCGGTCCCATCGATAATGATGTCGACCGAGTAACCCGGCGTACGGCGGAACAGGTTGAAAATAACGACACGGTTGCCGGAATATGTCTTCACAAACGGATTTCCTGATATCCAGATCTCCCGTATTTCAGGGAGACAGGTGAGTCGGGCAATCTCCATCGGATCGGTCAGCAGGTTGTCCCGCAGATCCAATCGTTCCAACGAAAGAAGACGCTCGATTCCAGCAAGCGAGCGGAGACGGTTGCCACGGAGGTTGAGAGCTGTGATTGCGGGAAGAGGGTTTCGGGACAAGGAGTGCAAGGATTCAATCATACAATGCGACAAGTTTAGGGCTCGCAACGCGACCAGGGATGCTAGACTGTCGGGAACGTCGGTAAAGAGATTCGATGAGAGATCCAGAGAATGCAAAGTATTCGCTACAGGGGCAAGACTGGTGGTGCTGATGGTTGTTAGGGAATTATCCGGCAGTCCCAGGTGCCGAAGGAATCGCCATTTTGACGAGGGGAGAGTGGCGGAGAGTAGAAGATTGGAGGAGCTCGAGTTTCGACAATGACCTGAGTTCTCGCTAGAATTAGAACTACCAGAACCGGTGCGCCTAATCCGTGAATGCCGGGCATGACGCTGGATCGAGTGCCTCGAACTGGCAGGACGGGTTGGCGAATTGCTCTCGGTGCGGGAGCGGTCCTGAGAGCCTTCTGACCCAACCCGGAGCATAGAGGCCGCCTGCGGACTTGTGCTCGATCCAAGGGCCGTCTCAGCGACCGGAGAGTTTGGTACAGAAAGGGATCCAGACCACTCAGGACGGACCATCTGGGAGTGACCATTTCCACTGGAACTCAGCGTCGGGGAGTGTCCCTGGGCTTTGGATGACCGACGACGGCGCTTGTCGATATCGTCCAATACAATGCGAGTGAGCAGGTCCGCAGGGTCTTCGAGGTTGGCTCTCTTGATCGTCAGGGTTCGCAGTTGCTCCGACAATCGGTCCCAGCCAAAGAAGGAGCGGTAGTCTATATCAATGATTTCTAGCGCACTCAGGTTTTTGAAGGAATGGAGTGGCACAGCCGTGTCAAAGGGAAATTCTTCGTAACCGCGGATTAGACGGGCGCGGTGGTCAGGGGCTAAACGCAAACAGGGTATCTTGGTAAAAGCAGAGTATAGGTACTTGAGGTCCGCTTCGAGGGCAGCCTTGACTTTCTCGGATTTGGTCGAGGAGTCTTTGGAAATTCCGAAAGACGACCAGAGGGCACTCATACCAGACATGACACTACGGACACTTGATACTGAGTGGATGGAGTCTCTATCACCTCTGGATCGTTGGGGTTTGTTCAGAAAGGAGACGTAGGATTGGGACACATCGTTATGGATGTTCTCCAGTCGAACACTCATGGGACCGACGGAGATCGAGAGATCCTCGAAGCGGGAAAGTAGGTAGAACAGATGATGGGGGGTCAGGGTAAGTTTTGCAGGCTTGATGCCTTGAGAGCCAAGCTTCAATGTCCCAAAAGACAAGGCTGATGCCAGAGTCGAGGAGGTCGAGGAGAGGGCGCTCCCCGAGCTGGAGGTTGTGGAGACATGAGCGGATTGTGTGCGTCTCAGCTGCAGGGCATTGGCCAGCGCCTTTTCATGGGTGCGGACGAAGCTGGCGAGATTCTAAGAGCAAGAAACCAACCCATCAGTATACCGAACCAGCACGAATGTATTATCAAGGGAACCAACCTTTATGAAGAGTTGTCCGTCCTCAGTGTTTAGTTTCTCCATTCCGGATGGTGCTTTCACCCGAGAGGAACTAAATCTCAAAGGCGGATGGGGTGTTCTTTAGTCAGGCGAACTGGCTGGAAAGATAACGCTCAAGAACTGGTAGAGAAGGGCGTCGACATCTTGTAAGGAGACAATCGAAAGAGGACGAGCAGGAAAGAGAGGTGACAGAAGAAAGGTGGCAATCAATCGGATTTGCGACGCGATGTGACCTGCAGTGGAAAGAACACAAGAGACCAGGGGTTAGCAAATGGACTTCTTTTTCCTTTGGATAATCCAACTTTTGTTGTACCAGAATCACCCAATACTGTCCTCCGTAGAGAAGTCGGTTGTCCCACGATGGATCAGAAGAAAAAGACTCAGGGGGAGAGAAAAGGAACATACCAGACAAGGTATCAGTTTATATATATATCTGTAGTTGTATGCAGCGAGGTGACTGGTCAGGGATGAAGCGGTTCGCACGGCGTGCTGAATGGCCGGAGATCTTCCAAATTCGGATGAAATCTCTTTACTTTCTGAGTCGATAGAAATTCTCGAAGAAACGGTGTGAAAAGAGAGAGAGTCAGTGGAATGGAGCGGAAATGCGATGAATGAATAGAAGGATAGGATAGGAGGAAAACGGATCAAAATAATAATAATAATAACAGGCCGCCTGGGGGGCGTAGGAAGGAATGATAACAGCGGACCAGAAGATGTGACCCAGCAATGGTGGCACGGGGGGAGTCCCAGAGTGGAGCTACTGATAATAGAGCCTGTATTTTATTTTACAGCTGCAATACCACCCGAGGCGCTGCTGTATCAAAAAAAAAAAAAAAAAAACATCGAATCAGCTGAGGAGAGGGTCCTCCGATGATGGATCATTCTGATCTTAATTAATATGCATTTTACTAACATTAAGGATTATGATCATGAATTATATAAATGTCTTTTCTCACTTGATTCCTGACTCGATTTCTCCCTCGTACAGATCATCCCGATTCTGTGCTCGAGCGAAGAGAGAGAAAAAGGCTGTGAAGACATACATGCAAACCACAGCACCGCTATACCAAAATGGGTTGGTGGCAACTATGTCGGAAGGGTTTAGCGTGGATTAGCGCTACTGTGACTCTTTTCTTCCTTTCTATCCTATCTACAGTATGCACAGAACGATGCTTCAAATTATACTCCGATACCATCCAATTAAGGAAGAGAAATTACTGGCATGCTGGGATGGACCCAATTGATGGAAAGAAAGTTCTCTGTCGTGGGCTTCTGGTTTGTCATATCAGCTACTGAAACGGTACGCCTTCTTAGTGCATCCAGTAAGCGTCATTCTTTGGGTCTTGGAAAAGTAAAGTGTGGGTGGGCCCAGAGATAAATGTTCGGAGTACCCTGCGCGAAGTCTACATACTCTACGCAACTCATAAGTGATATCCCATCAATCGGAGTCTTCAATGTCCATTGGTGACATTATTTCCCTTGCTGCGGGGGGACAGAAGGTAAATACTACCACGTGACCCAACGAGTCGACCACCCTTTGTCGTACAGGATAGAAGTTCGGGAAGGGAAGGAAAAATGAGGTTGACGCATAGACCAGGAGATTACGGTTTGCTTTTGATTTCAACGGCGACCGTGCGTATGTGCATTGACGGGAAACAATCGACAGTCAACATTCTTCGTACACTGGACCACGGACATTTAACGGCTCTTAACAATAGAATATAAACCCCCTGATACACTTGAGTATCTTGGAATCCAAACTCGGCAAGAATGATCCCATCATGGTGGGATCTGAATGGTCACTCTGATAGATCGACACTGCAGAGGGAGGGAGTAGTCGTAAATCCTTGCTTGCGTAACTGTACAGAGTACGGAGGGCTGTACATTTATCACTAACTATGCACAAGTAGAGTTCAGGATGTATTAGAAGTGACGAGGCGATCGAAGGCCATAGAAAAGTACTGCAGTTCCATTTAATCCAAGGTGTCTATGGTATACACGTACTCCAGCGTACAGTATACAAAGTACAGGCCCGAGGGAATGGATACTATTCATGGCGAACTATTTGAATCCTGACCTCACGGAACAGATGCCGTATCTGCTCTATACTACGAAGTACAATTGTCCTCTTATTTGTGCTTGTATTATGTATATACTCTACCCCTGGTTCGAATCCCAACTTTACCCCGCCTGTTATTCTCGGTGCTGATCAAACATTTTGCGCGGGGTAAGCGAAGTCAAGTAAGACGGCCCCTGATACAGACCACACTTATACAACGCTGTAGAAAAACGTCTTACAACGAAAAAGGAACGTAGGAATGGCAATGGTACGATGGACAACAAAAAGACCATGCATTAACCCGACTGCTGTATATCCCGACTAGCGTTCAGGCCAACTCCCTTAGCACCGGAGAACATGCCACTAGAGGCTTGATGAAACGGTGCCGCAGTTAACTACATGGGAATCTCGAGGGGCTTGGTGTTACCTATGAAGAACACTGCGCGTAAGCACGTTCTATTATTCTGTGTTGTGATATCGAGACTCATGGACAGATGTACAATTACGAATATGCATTTTTGCTTTTCGTGTCGTTGCTTGTTTTCAATTGAGCGACTGTCATCACCAACACTACTGGCTTCTGTCAATCAAGAGTACCATTGCTAGACGGTCGTAGAGTAACTATTCGGAGTAAGTTTCCTGACCTACCAACGAAGGAAAGAATGAAGGTCTTTATTTTGCGCGATAAGCGCTGGAAGGGATGAAAAATTTGGAACCCTCTCCATTTTTAACCTAATCTTTAAACGTTTCCATTTTTGACTTGATTTTCATATGTACCCATGTTCGTCAATTAGCGCTCTGGATAAATTTGTATTAATTTCCTGGCCTGTAGCGGGTTTTCTTTCAGCTAACCATGTACAAAAACTAATATTAGACGACATGCAGGGAGAAAAAAATCGGAGAAAAACCACACAAACAAACCATCACCTGATAACACTCAAGAGACGATGATCCCATTAGCATAATATCATTGCAAGCATAAACGCATCTTATTGGCTGTATGTACCACTGTAAAGTTACGGTAACAATGGGAGCCGCAGATCTTTCGTTGACTGGTCCGTGGGACTGCTGGGATCTCCGAGGACCGGGAGTGGATTGGATTGGATTATCTAAGCGCCCTGCACGGACAGTGGTGGGCGATCAGTGAAAATGATCAATGTCAGGTGAGTCTTGGCTTTTGTCATTGCCTAGAGTGACACTTTGAGGAATTCCCCATTCATCCCTATACATATTGGTTTGGAGTCAGCGGTTTGGAAGAATGAGGGAAGACTTTAACCTCCGTGTGCACGGCATTGACGCTAATTGTGATAATTTGTGGGCTTTATCCGATTCATACAGTGCGCTGCTGTACGGCATACTCGTACATGCATTCGTATAAATTAAACTCCTACTTTGTATTTGTTCTCCAGAATCATACAATTCCTACTGCAAGATTAACCTATAGATTTGAACCAACTCGTCTACAGGATCGTACCAAGGATATCAAACCTTTTGATCCATGGATGTCGCCGATTTTCCCGACACGGTGGTATGAACGGAAAACATAACATGGTATGATATCGATACAAAATGAGATGATGTCGCGATCTATGGTTCCGTCCACCATCCGCTCATACCCTATTTACACCGTATTTTACTGTCGCTCCATGCGCCCTTCTATGGACGTCATCCGAACCACAATATGGTGGATGTTTCCGGTGGTCACAAAAACATGGCGGGGTAATTGTATGATCGGGTATGTTCGTGTCTTTGTAGAATTAACGAGATCTATGATGCCAGTGTTTCCCTTTCTGGATGGAGGGGCAGTCGCCTCGACAGATAACGTAGATAATAGCGTATCAACAGAGTTGTGTCAGTGTCAGTGCCGGTGCCGAGTGTCAGTACATACAGTAGTAGAGGCGGTGTGAGTGATTGATAGTGGAGAACGCCGAATCGTCTGATATCGATAAGACGCGAATATCATGACGCCGCTTTCCGCCTGATCGCAGTTAAGCCATGACTCGAAAAACGCGACTACGCAGCATAATTGGTAGGGCTATTCTTTCTATGGCGGTGTATATAATGAGGCTTACAATAAGGCTATATGTATAGATAATGAATACATTTTTTTTGTGATGACTGGGGATGCTGATGAGGTCATTTGATATACAAAGCGTGGTGGCTTGGATCACACGAGGCCCGCCATTTTAACATTTATTTTGAGCCTCCAAATGTGTCAATGCGAGCACGTACATACGGAGTACAAGTACGGAGAAAAACAAAGAGCAACGCATACCAGAATAACCGACAAGTTTCAAGTCATTGAAAGGGTGCGCCATCGAATCAACTTGAAACGGCAATAATTTACCCAGAATCCTCTTAACAAACTCTGGTAAATACGAGTAATGCGAGTAGCGCGATGCATCCAGCCCAAATAGTTTTGCAGTTGACCCTATCAAATTATCCACTGACATGTCGGTCATTGCGTCCCATCACCTGCACGCTGCAGTACTAGCGCTATGGGCTAGTATTACGCTACTGTACAAAGCACGGTTCAACTCAACCAAACCCCTTTGGGAAAATCATTTGTATCTGGGCGGCTGTTGGTAACTTGGTGGTGGGCGGGTGAGTTGAGGGTTGCGCGTGTGGCTGCTGCAATGCGACATGCTTTTTTCTTTCTTTCTTTTTTTTTTTTTTTTTTTTTTTTTTAATAAAAAAATCTGTGCTGCTGGTTTCTATTTCTGTTATGGTGTGCTGCAATAAACTCTACGAATGCTTGTATGAGGGATATTGCCATGTGTGTGTTCTTTGTCTGTCTGATTCGTGGTAGTATTCATAGTGCCTGCAAGACAGGCCGGCTCTCATAGTTATGACATACGGTACAGCATTGCAATTATCGAATACATCGAATCCCTGTGCCTTTTCACGCTAACATATGGAGTACAATTGAAGCACTTTAGCAATCTTCAAGCCATCCATGCCCAGACCGGTTTCCTTCCTCCAGTGATGCAATTCGTTTCCTATTCATAACCCGATGCATTTAGACTACTCGCTATTATCGTTCAATATCAACATAAAATTCTATGGAGCCCCACTAATGTTAATCGTGGGGTAGTCATGTACTGTTATTGGCCAATTATACTGAACATCCATTTAGGGACATGAGAACCTTCAAATCCATCCAGATTTCACTGCAAGAAATCGAATATCTGTGTCAAGCTCCCAAGAAGCAATGTCTACCTTTATTCCTGGTGTATGCAATGTCAATCTCACTTAATCCTTGGCATACTCCGGGCTTCCGATGACCAGGGGAGCACGGCCAATGAGTGATTGCACGAGCACAATTATCTCCGTGGTCGACTTGACAACGATGTTTGAGTGACAATTAGGATCCAATGAGACTTGGTCGGAGAGAGCATCGGAAGCTTGCCTTGGGCTAGAACGCGTAGGGCTTACTCGTCTCGGAATGCCACATGCAGTAAGCCATCGACTCGGCTGCATCGAGGTCACCTTCTCAATTTCCCGTATTGCGAGGGTATCCGTCATCCATCTCTTTGTTCGTCTTCACCGATATAGACGTGAAAGTTTGCTGCTCTTTTGTAATCAATTCGGAGTGTTCTATACCAAGCCTCTTCCAAGCGCTAAAACAGTTTGATACCAGTCGGAGCACCGAGTACTCGGTCTGCTAGTTTGACTTCGGCCGATGCACGCGTGGATGCCACCATCAGCGTATCTGACTTCGCCGAATACTAGTTGCATTGTCCCGCTTTTAACCCTTGCGTCCTGGCTGTCTGTTCACTGCAACTGCTTTTATTCGCGTTGTTGATGTTTCACAAAACCGTCGGTGAGCGCGCATGTGTGGCTAGTGTTTATACAAGCCACATATATCCGTCCTGAAATGTGGCTTAACGGATTCCAAGCTGACAAGCGCATGACGTCGGTGCCTTTCAACCTCAATCCAGTTCCCATATTCCCAACTCTCTCTCTTATTCTGATTTCTTTCTACAATTGTATTACAATGCAGCAATAATAATGGCACCGGCGGAGAAATTGGCGAATGCTCGCAATCCCTACGATCCCTTCGCCCTACCAGACTACGACAACGACTTCATCGACCCCGATGATCTACGACAATTCGAGAAAGCGTTAAGCGCCCCCGAAGCCTCTCCCCTGGTCGCTATAAATGACTGGCGACCTATTAACCAACGAGTCCGGAAATCGAACAATAAACGCAGGAAGCCTCGGCGGAGCACGGATGAGACCAGGGAAGGGGTTCTCTACACGCTGTTGAAGTGGCCGTTTCTCTTCACCGTATTTGCCTGGATCTCCGTGCTTAGCCTGATATATGTCTTGACGCGGTGGTATATTTTTATATATGAACACTGGATTACGTGGAGGGGGAAGAGGCAACGACTACGACACGAGTTGTCCACGAAGGCGAATTATGCGGATTGGTTAAAGGCCGCGCAGGCGCTTGATGCGCATTTGGGCAATGCAAGATGGAAGGAGGTGGATGAATACGCATACTACGACCATCTTACGATCAACAAGGTCGTCGCACAGTTGAAGAAGTCAAGGAAGGAGGCGGAATGGGAGATGCACAATGGGAAGACGAGCACGGGCGAGTCTGCAATTGAAGAGTTGTGCATTCTTCTGGAAGCGTGTGTCAAGAACAACTTTTCTGGGGTTGAGAACCCGCGGTTGTACAGTGAAACGTATTCCGGGACCAAGGATCTGGTGCAGGAATACGTTGACGAGGTTAATGCCTGTATCAAGCTAGTGGAGGACAGCCAGCAGGTCACGAGTGATGAGAAGTACCAGCACTTTAAGCATTTGAACACGAATCTTGGTCGCACTGCGCTTTGCTTGTCAGGGGGAGCTACATTTGCGTACTACCATTTCGGTGTGGTTAAGGCATTGCTTGAGAATGGTGTTCTTCCAGAGATCATCACAGGAACCTCAGGAGGCGCATTGGTCGCTGGCTTGGTTGCTACAAGGACAGATGAGGAATTGAAACAACTTCTGGTTCCCGCTTTGGCTCATCGCATTAGGGCGTGCCACGAAAATTTCCCGACTTGGTTCCGGCGCTGGTGGCGCACCGGTGCACGGTTCGATACTCTGGACTGGGCTCGTCAATGCAGCTGGTTCTGCAGAGGTTCTACTACGTTTCGCGAAGCGTATGAAAGGACAGGGCGTGTATTAAATGTGAGCTGTGTGCCGTCTGACCCTCACTCGCCTACAATTCTCGCAAACTATCTCACGTCGCCCGATTGCGTCATTTGGAGTGCCGTGCTAGCTTCTGCGGCAGTTCCTGGTATCTTGAATCCTGTTGTCTTGATGACCAAGAAACGTGACGGTACTCTTGCACCGTATTCTTTTGGGCACAAGTGGAAAGATGGCAGTCTACGAACTGATATACCAATCAAAGCATTGAACTTGCATTTCAATGTCAACTTTACCATCGTTTCGCAGGTGAGAAATCCAGTTGGTTGTCAAACTGAGACGTGTCTAACATTTGAATAGGTCAATCCCCACATCAATCTCTTTTTCTTCAGCTCTCGGGGATCAGTTGGGCGACCAGTCACTCATCGAAAGGGTCGCGGGTGGCGCGGTGGCTTTCTAGGCTCTGCTATTGAACAGTATATTAAGCTGGACCTAAACAAATGGCTTAGAGTTCTCCGGCACCTCGAGCTACTGCCGCGCCCCATGGGCCAGGACTGGAGTGAGATCTGGCTCCAGAAGTTCAATGGCACCGTCACCATTTGGCCGAAGAGCATTCCCTCCGACTTCTATCATATCCTTTCCGATCCCAGCGTCGAGCGCCTGGCACGCCTGATCCACGTGGGCCAACAAAGCGCCTTTCCAAAGATTCAATTTATTAAAAACCGATTGAAAATTGAGGGCGAGATCGTCAAGGGAATTCGGCAGCATTCTCGCAACGAGGACCAGCTAATGTCCCCTCTCCTTCATCGCCGCCAAACATCAAACGAGCAAGAACCGGCCGATTTGATGGTCAACCATGTCAACCGCAAAATTACAGAGCGACGGTCCAACTACAAGGATGAATCCCGGTATGTTGAAACGTCGGAAAGCGGCTCGACTGGTTCTTCTCGTATTCCAAGTCCTACGCCCCGTCGCGGAAGTAGACAGTTAATTGAAGAGATGCGACGGCAATCTGCCGTTTTCTTTGACGATGCTATTTATGGAGAAGAAGATGCTCCAGCTGAGTAGAATTGCGAGCTGAATTTTGGCTTGGACAAATTCGTTGGCGAAAGCTCAAGTGATTGTCGTGCTTCGTTTATATACATCGTGCATAGGATACCATAGCATTAGCGTTGAGTTTCATATATCTTAGTTATAATAGTTGGGTTATCCGTCTAGGAGTGCATATTCGGTCGACTGTGATTTTAAAGTGTACTGGAAACGAGATGAAAATCCGAGCTTAGGGTTGCCTCGGATTTCACGGATTTCGATGATGATATCCGAGATGTTCCCCACATTTAACCAAAAAGGTCGGGGTATTTATACCGAGCATATGGACCTGTAATCAATCAAGCGTATACAACCAGCATCTTGAATAACTCACAAAGCACTAACAGTACCACACACCATGCCCAAACCCTCCTTCGACTCGCTCCCCCTCCAAAAAAAGGGCCCTCCAGGCAACGCCTGGGGCCTCTTCGGTCCCTCCGATGAATGCGGCATGCTCAACCTTCTAACCCCAGATAAGACCCGCGTCGCCGCCGCAGAAATACAAAAAGGGATCCGGATATCCACAGACTGGCCGCTAGACGCGATGGCGAGACCGTGCTTTGGACGCGCGCCATTCAAGCAGACAATTAAGAACAAGGCGCCGAGGGAGGTGAATGATGATACATTGGAGTTTAATACGCAGAGTAGTTCGCAATGGGATGGATTCCGGCATTATGCGTATCAAGATGCGAGGGTTTATTTTGGAGGGAGGACGTTGGGGGATGTGCTTGGGGGGGCGGGGATTGGGATTCACGGTGCCATCTCCTCCCGTAGATGAGTGATATGAGATGTATGTATACTGACAGTGCATAGCATGGGCTGAAAATGGAGGGATTGTCGGCCGTGGTGTCCTCCTTGACTACGCCTCCTGGGCCGACGCAAAGAACATCCCAATCGACTACTTCACACCCACAACCATAACAGTCCCAACCCTCAAACAAATCGCAGCGTCCCAAGGCACAGACCTCCAAGAAGGCGACATCCTCTTTATCCGCTCCGGCTGGACCCGCGCCTACGCCCAACTCTCAGACACCCAAGCCCAAGCCCTAGCCGACATCCCCGTGCCCCCGGCCATCGGGCTCGAATCGTCGGAGGAGACGCTACGGTGGCTCTGGGAGACGGGATTTGCGGCTGTGGCGGGAGATATGCCGAGTATGGAGGCGTGGCCGTGTCAGGATAAGAGATTTTGGCTGCATGAGTGGTTGTTGGCGGGGTGGGGGATGCCGATTGGGGAGTTGTTTGATTTGGAGAGGCTGAGCGAGGTTTGTAGGGGGGAGGGGAGGTGGTCGTTTTTCTTTAGCAGTGTTCCTTTGAAGGTGAGATTTCTTCTCTTTTATTGGTGTTGATGTGCTGATGAAATAGGTACCTGGGGGCGTTGCTAGTCCTCCGAATGGGGTTGCTATCCTATAGCCTACTACCAGATATGGCGGCGTCCATATAAATATCTGAATATATTGAATCAACCTTCAAACGCATGCTTCACCTTTGAAAGCTCTTTAGTAATCATATGATGATGCTTCGACACATCCTTAAGCACATCCTCTGCAGACTTACATTCCCCCATCCAACACTTCCTCACAGCCTCCCTCCACCCCTCATGCGCAATATTATCCAACGGAAACACACTCTCTGAATAAAGCCTCCTAATCTCATCATCCTCCTTCTCCTCGTATGGCATCCTCCCAACTAGTATTTCATAGAGCGTCGACCCAAGCGCAAATATATCACTCCGCACACTGTTCGGCTCCCCACCCCGAGGCATATAATGCGTAGCCCCCTCAATAACCATCGCATCGGAGCCATGCAGCGACGAGCCCCCGAAATCACTTAACCGGATATTTTCCTTTTCATCAACAAGAAACTGCCTCGCCGACAGATCCGAATGGATAATATCTTTCTGATGAATAAACGCAACCGCCTCAATCGCCTGCCTCGCAACCCCATACCGGAATCCATCATTCACCTTCCCAGTGCCTCCATCCCTCCTCAGAAACGTCTGCAAGTCCCCGTGTGGCTCATACCGTAGATCAATATACTCCTCGCAGCACCGCAGACATCTTGCTATGTGCTTGTGTTCGCCGAGATGGTGGTAGATGCGGGATTCAATGTCGAGAGCTTGGACGTTGGTGGGGTTTGATTTGTCCGTTGGGAGTTTGCGGACGACTTTGTCGTTCAGTTTGTGGGTTGTTGTGAAGCGGCCGACATTGATTATGTTGTCGCGGGTTGGGTGTTGGAGGTTGTCGTAATCGGGGTGGGTGTCGTGCTGCGTTGTTTGAATTAGTTTGAATGATTGATATTGTATTTGAGTGTACTTACTAGGTGCATCTCATAGCCAGACATATTGAATGTTTCTGTTTGAATGGGGCGTTCTTTTGGTTGTTGTTAGTTATTCTTATCTGTGGTGGAATTGTGTTGTTGCTTCATGATGAGGTATGAATCTTGGCGCTGGATGTACCGGACTTCATTGGTAGAGTACTGTTTTCATGTCGGGTCGTATTAATTTACTGATAACTGAATACTTAGTATAGTGAGGTTAGCTTTGATTGTCCAGACATTTCCGCCCTGGGGGTAGAGAGTGGTGGTTTATTGTCGCGGCATAGTCCTGCGTCACCATCCCAGAGGTGTTGGTTGGCGGCTGTTTTGATGTCCGAGGCGATGCTGCTCCAGTTGGCGGCTGTTTGTCCGTGGAGGGTGGTTGCTAGGTCATGGGCCTGATCGAGGACGTAGTATAGCAATTGTAAACGTCGTTAGATGCTGCCCGATTCGGGGTACGAGGGGTTTGAATTGAATTATGTCACAGCATGCTGAAACAAGGAAAGGTTCTTATATGAAGGAAGCATTCTTCGTGACCCAAGCTGGATCATTATACTTGTAGACAGAAAGCAATGCTCTAATACCAAACATCACAATGCTACCCAGACCAATTCCAAAAGTGTCGCTCCAACGCTCAATTCGCCGTATCCCAAACTGGACAATAGCCACCACTTCCCGAGGCGAATCCGCCGCGAAAAGCTTCCGCCAATACCTCAAAGAGCTCCAAGACGAAAACGACGTGCTCACCATAACCAAAGAAGTTGATTCTCACCTCGAGTTAGGGGCTATAACCCGCAAAGTCTACGAGAATGACGGTAAAGCTCCTTTATTTGAGAAATTTAAGGGCTACGATAGATCCAAAGACAATGGCCTCTTCCGTGTCCTTGGGGCACCAGTTGGCCTGAGCAAAGTTCCTAGACACAAACTTGGTCGGATTGCAAAGTCACTGGGACTTCCATCTACTGCATCGGAGTAGGAGATCATCCAGAAGATCAGCGATGCGAAAAAAGAAGCCGTCTATACCATCGAAAGAAGTCTCTTCAGGACCCGTGAAAGAATACAAGTTATTCGGCGATGGATATTGATTTGACTGCATTGCCCGTCCCGTTGCTCCACTGCCATGACGGCAGCAAATTCATGCAGACCTTCGGCATGCACACCGTTTAAACCCCAGACGGCCGTTGGACAAATTGGTCCATCACGCGCGGCATGGTCCACGGGAAACGGTCACTCATCGGCCCCGTCATCCCAAAGCAAGATATCGGTGTCATCCACCAGAGGTGGAAAGACGAGAAACAAGATATGCCTTGGGCGTTGTGTTTCGGTGTACTCTCCGCTGCGATTATGGTTAGCGGGATGCCAATACCTAAATGGACGAATGAGACGGATTTAATCGGTGCGTTGTCAGGGGAACCTGTTAAGGTTGTGAAATGCGAAACGAATGATATTCGCGTTCCGGGTAATGCGGAGATCGTGCTTGAAGGTGTTGTTTCGAATACGGAGACTGCGCCTGGGGGGGCTGGTGGCGGAGTACCATGGGTTTGTGTTTCCGGGGAGGAGTAGGGAGTGTCCTGTTTTCAGGGTTGATGCTGTTACTTATCGGGAGCACCCTGTTTTACCGGTTTGTGTTGCAGGGCGGGCTACTGAGGAGAATCATACTGTTTGGGGTGTTATGATAACAGCCGAAGTTTTGACTATCTGTCAGAATGCTGGTCTTCCGGTTAAAATGGCTCGGTGTCCGTTTGAATCCCACTGTCTTTGGTTTGTCTTGCAGGTCGATCTCACGCAGCTTAAAGCATCGAAGACAAGCATGAATGATTTCTGCGCGAAAGTCGGGCATGTCGTTTTCGGCTCTAAGCCTGGGTGGTATATCCCCAAAATCTACCTGGTCGGGGAGGACGTTGATCCTACTGACTTGAAAAATGTGATCTGGGCTGAAGCTACGCGGTGTCAAACCGGTGTGAATGAGTTTCTTTCGAGGAATATGGAAACATCCCACTGATTCCGTACGTGGGACATGGGGTTAAACCCGAGACGGAGAGCGGACATCATCGGAAGGTGGTGAGATGTTGCATGTTTGCTAGTGAGTTTGGAGATGGGGAGTTGCATTTGGAAGATGGGTTTTTTCGAGGATCGCTTCCTCCGGGTGTATAGAAAAGAGTGGAAGAGAACTGGAAGGAGTATGGGTTTGATAGCTGATGGGAAGTTTGCAAGAGATTTGTATTCAAATATTGTGGGTATTGGCTATATAACTAGCCATTTCGCAGTCACGTCTTTGGCGGACTTGAAGTCACCGTTAAGTGAGTAGATAATCTGCAATGCAGCAGCTGCTTCGCGAGAAAAGTCCTCCACGAATTGCGTATTCGTAACCACCGCGCCAGCACCAGCATCCTGCATAACCGTATCGTTCCCCTTCCCAACCCCAGGAGCCTTCCGATACGCATCCTGAATTTGTCCCCCCAATTCCAACACCAGATGATACCCCTCGACAGCCAAATGCGTCAACCCAAGCATATGCCACACACGAGCAAAATTAAACTCCATCTCCTGCCTCTGCTGAAGACTCCCCTCCCTCTCACGCACACGCCGGTACTCATGCATAAACGCAAGACCCTGCATGATAAGATAATGTCTATTCTCCGACTGCCGCTTAAGCGAGTGATGGATGTAGCACAGCGCAATAGACAACAGCGTAGCCGGATTCTCATCATCCAACGCATACGCCCGGTAAAAGTAATTCAGCGCCGGGAAGAAACTATTCCCCGAGTATAGGATATGCCCGTACAGCACGAGCAGCGCGACATCCATTTCCTCGGCCGGGATTGCCTCACCGGTTTCGTCGCGGGTGGTGAGCGATGCGCGCTCTTGGTAGACGGATTCGCGGACTGCCTTGCCATGTCTGACTTGTGGGTTGTTGTCTGGGAGGGTGTAGTCTATTGCTTTGATTTGGCGCAGCATGAATTTCATGTTTGGGGAGGAATGGAACAGGGAGCGGTGCGGGTCGCCAGAGAGGTGGCTAAGCATGGAGAAGAGGCGGTAGGTGTCTGTTACAAATTGGTATTCCTTGATAAACCAGCGGGCTTCGTTGGCGAGTGTTTCTTCGTCTTGGACGCGAAGGGCACATGCTATTTTTGTTAGTAGGTTGGAAATTACGACAAGGGTGAGATTGAACTGACTGAACCAGCAGACGTGGATTAAGCGTGTCTTGGGCTTGGAATTGTACCAGACACTTGCGTCTGCCGCGGCTCCGAGAGACTCGTATGCTTCTCCGGGTTCGCCCTGTTCTGCTACGAGTAGGGCATATTGGAGGAATATATCGAGCCAATCGTCGAAGGAAATTCCGTGGTAGTCAGTGGGTATAACATCCTGCAGCGGTTCGTCTGGGACATTTCCTGTAATCCTGTGTTAAAGCAATACCATCATTACTATGAATGGTTCTTACCTAGAGACTCCTGGAGACGGCCTGCCATTTCAGCCATTTCGTCCATGAGTGTCCGACCTTGAGACCTCCCAGCCTTCTTCTGCGCCTCTCTAGAATAACCCATAAAGACCTGTCGTTGCAGCGGGTAGAATACCCGATTTGACCGGAACTCGCGCAGCAAAGCGTCAGCAATATCCAGCCAGTCTTCCGTGGCTTCCAATTTGCCCTCTTTAACCAGCGGATGAAACACCTGCATTTTCGAAAACAAGTACTGGACATGCTCTGTCCGGTCACCTTCTCCGGTCTCCTCTTCATCCTGCTTCCTACCAATCGGCGCAGCAGTAAGTGTCGCAGCGACACCTTCGGCTTCTGGGGTTTCCTCTTCATATTCTTTTACAACCGGGGCTTCTTCTGGTGCCATCTCTGCCGTTTTGAATTCCTTTGCCAGCTGCTCAAGTCTGGTGTCTTTTCTGCGACGATTATTTCTCATCTCCTGCCTCTCGAGAAGGACCGTCTCGTTAACGTATTTTAGAGCCTGTTCGGTCAGCCCGATACTCTCGTATAATTTGGCTAGCTGTGCGCGCGAGTCCACGTTTCTGGTGTCATGTTCTGCGACTGTGATGTAACAGTTCTCTGCATCTTCGAGGTTACCGAGGCGCATGTAGCAATCTCCCATCGCCATGAAGAAACTGACGTCTGCATACTCGCCAGTATGTTGGAGAGGCGTGTAGAAGCGAAGAGCTTCCTCATACAAGGTGACTTCTTTGAGAGCGTCTGCGACTTCTCGGAAGAGGTCTCCATAATCGTAAAGTCGAGCTCCTTCTGCATTGTCTTCTGGGTTTAGCCATTCAAAGTGATGCAATGCTTCGTCTTTGTGATCGTATCCCATTCTTAAGCGGAAGAGACCAAGTTTGATTCGGAGTTCGATAGGAAGACCAAGTCCATAGGAGTCTCGTGGCCATTGCTTTGGAATGTAGCCATCGGTTTTGATACGCCGAGGAGAATCATTGGAATCCCATTCTCGATCGTCTTCGTGGAAGTCCTCCCACATTGTATCATCACTGCGCCCAAGAAGCCATCTGCACAACGACTTGATCGCTCCAAGACCTTCACCGTGCCGGCCTAGGTAGGTAAACAATTCTGCGTAGATATTGACGTCTGACCAGGAAAATTCGGGGGCCTCGTCTGGGTTTACGGTCGTGTAGTACCCAACACTATCGGACCAATAGTCAAACGCCGTTTGTACATTGCCCAGATCAATGTACGTTTCCGCAAGGTGACGAAGCGCTCTGACGTTGTGCGGGGACCCTTTAAGGACGCGTTCATAGTCTGTTGCAGCCCGGCCATTATGCCCCAGCTCGCGATAAAGTGCCGCTCTCTGGAACCGAGCATTCAAATTATGCTGGTCGATATCGACTACTCGACTATAACAGTAGAGAGCATCATTCAGGGCTGTCTGCCTATCATCTCCTGCACGCTCCAGGACCATTCGCGCGACCTTGGCCCAGACTGATGGGTCTTTTGGTCGCGTGTGAGCGCCACTGAAAAGCGCGGTCAGCGCTTTGTCCTTTTCACCCTCTGCTAGGAAGATTTCGGATAGCAAAGAGTGAGCGGCGAACATTTCGGGGTTGATCTGGATCGCGCGCTTCACCAGCTCGGTTGCACGCTCGTAGTCTCCGTCAATGAACGCAGATGTAGCCTCCGAATGTAGCATTTTGAACTCATGACTAGGTTCTAAAGGCCTGCGCGGTCCTCTCTTGATACCCTTACCACCCCTGGCACCATACCGGCCTGAGAACTTGCCGGTACCCCTGCGACGACGTCTTCGAAAGTCGTCTTCATCATCATCGTCCGCAGCTTCCTCTGCCATATCGGGCGATTCTTCATCCTCCCTAGTGCCTTGTCAGCGTGAAACGTAGAAAGGTTCCATAACTGCGACTTACGAGTCCTCATCCCCGGAAAGTTCGTATTCCTCTTCCGAGTCATCCCCGCCCTGGTAATCCCCGACGTAGTATTCATCTTCGACGACCGGTTGTTCCGAGAATTGTGAAGGATCGGGAAGTGTACCTCCGTAAAGTCTGGGATCCAGCAACGATGTGTCGAACTCCTCTTCCGCGGCAGGTTGTTGGCTATCCTGCACTGCGTACTGGACCTCGTCTGTAAGAGGATGCTCCGGGTAGTTCCAATCTGAATGATCCATATTGACGCGTCTTATACTTTGTCACCACCAATGAGACAACATATAATAATAGAAACAGCTCTAATCACATTTGACGACTGTCTGCGTCAAGTGCTGTCCATAGCAGACTGCAGGTGGCCTATCACAGCATTGCGTAGTTTGTTTTCTATCCCTGCTGATAAAGTAAATTCCAATATAATATGATTTTATTCTAAGCACGATATTAGCAGAATTCGTCGTAATTCTCCTATGCAGTACGTACCGGCAAGGCACGAGAACGTGGATGTGCCCGGAGAAAAAAGAAAAAAAAAAAAAAAAAAAGAAAAAAGTCAATGGTGTCGCGAACAAAGACTATTCATTAGAATAGCATAGACTAAAGAAACTATTCGGCGATAGACAAGCAGCTAAATAGACAAGAACTAGAACTAATGCTGGGTCAAGGTTTGGAGTGGTCCAGTGACCTCTGAGTTGCCGAATCGGGCCAAGTCTCAATCCGATCCTTCGCTTCTTGTTCTTCTGGTCTCTTCTCTTCTCTTTCTCCTCTCTCCATCTCATCCATCGCATCTCTTCCCATCCTTTTTTGCTCTTTTTTCTTTTCTTCTCCTTATTTTTCTTATTCTTTTGATGCTTCAGATCTTCTGCTTGCTGTGTTTGACACACTTCCGCAGTTGATTCTGACATCCTTTCGTTAAAAAGCAATTGCAAGAAAAAAAAAAAAAAAAAGAACGGAAAAAAGAAACGGCCACACAAGGTCTCTCCTAATTACACACCACTCACGCACACAACAACGCCTTCGTGGCCACCACCGACTTGCCCTCCCAGATTATCTTTGCCAGTCGATTCAGGTCGTGCAGCCACTGGACTGGTCTGTGCCTCCCCTCTTCCCCAATCTCGAATCTTACCTAGAGCTGTTGTGGTTGGGATATTCGGAGTTTCTGTACTCGAGAGATATCTTCTTTTTGGTTATCCTTTGCGCCGTTTGGAATTCGCTTCCGACCTTCATTTTATTCCATTTCGAAAATACAGCATTTTTGTTTGTCAACCTAGGGTGTCGTTCGGTATAAACTTTCTACTCGATTTCGCACACACAACGACGCAAACTCAGCAGGAACTGCAGGTGTTTTGCAGTAATATTGTATCGATATTTATTATACCTTGGGGCCGGTTCCGAAAAGAAAGGACACACGATTATCCCGATCGATCAACCCTTTTTCCCGTTCCGATTGAATCCCATCGATATCCGTCTTCATGGCCAGTCATATCATTGGTAACCGCAACAGTACTCCTGACGCGTCCAATTCAACCCTTCGTCCGCCGTCGTCCGCTCGCAACCTGGGTTCTCATCAGCTGCGAGCATCCGCCGATATGTCCGGCTTCCCCTCACCTTTGTCCTCCCGCAGTATGCGTCCGTCATCGGAGGTTTTCTACAATCAGCAATCCCACAATCAGAACAATAATGAGGATGCGCTAGACCGTGCGGGGCAGCAGTGGCTTTCCGACATTGACCAGTATGAGACTACATTGGAAGAGATGGCGGCAGCTACATTGGATCAGGATTTCAAGGATGAGCTCAGTGCCATTGAACAGTGGTTCCGGGTCCTCAGCGAGGCCGAAAGGACTGCTGCTCTGTACGCTCTGCTGCAGCAGACCACCCAGGTGCAGATTCGTTTCTTCATTCAGGTTCTGCAGCAGATGGCAAAGAGCCATCCTATGTCTGGTTTATTGTCGCCAGCCAACTTTGGCGAAAAGGGTGAGTCAATACTACTTCCTACATATTTGGACAGATGACTGATAACTTCTGCAGATGCCATGTCCAACCGCCTGAATGACGCTATGTCGAAGTTGAACGTCGACAGTTCACGTAACTCCCTTGGTCGTCCTCCGCCTTCCCCAGGTGCCAAGCGCAACTCGGGTCTCGATTCCTCCACCATCAATGCGATGTTCCCGGATGCTGCTGCGGCCATTGCACGGAAGAAGGCCGAGTTCACCCAGCAGACTGGTAATGCTCCTCCCTCGAACCGTAACAGTGCTGTTTTTGGGGACCGTACGTCGTTTGTCGCGCCTACGATTTCCGCCCCTGACAACAACGAGGGCTTGGGCCAGCCGCCCTCTTCTCCTTGGACTCAGCGTGGTGGCTCTGACCAGCCGCCAATTGCTCGCCCCAAATCATCGTCCGGTCAGCAGCAGCCCATGGGGCAATTCAGCCAGCCGTCCGCGTCTTCTGGCTTGCGATCTCCACTGCCCACCACCCAGACTGCCACGATTCCTGCCCCTGACATCGAAGCGCCTTTGCTGTCACCTTACAATGTTGGAAACGCTAGCTGGGCATCCATGACCAACACTCCCATGACTGCCACTTTTGGCGGTCAGCCACAGCAGCAGCCACAGCAGCAAGCCGATATGGTGGCTAACGCCACCGCAATGAAGCTCGCTGCTTTATCTACGGTGAACAATCGCATTGCATTGGATGATGCCCGCAAATACCGTCGTGCTCGCTCCAACGATGGACAAGGAAAGAACACTAATGCCAGTAACAGCCAGAACATGTCGCAAGGCCTTACCAGCCCCGGTCTTCCGGGACCAAATGTCGTCTCTGGGCAATTTTTGAACCCTCAGCAGCTTGCTGCATTGCAGGCCCAACAGCAAGCTGCCATGGCAGGGCGACGTTCGCGCCCTACATCTCCTGGAATCGCCATGCAGGGTGGCACTCTCGGTCCTATGGGATTCACGTCGCCGCAGAACAATGGATTTTTGACAGCCTATGATCCCAACAGCGCCCTCCTTGGTAACGGATTAGGTGCTCTTGGAATTGGACAGTTTGGCCTTGGTGGTCACGAAGGATATCTATCCGACCACTCCGAGGTTACTCGCGGTCGTTCACCACGCGGTCGCCGGGGTAGCTCGAAGCCGCCGGAGGACCCCACTGACCCGACCCTCTTGAAGGACATCCCCAGCTGGCTGAGGTCTCTGCGTTTGCATAAATATACCGACCACTTGAAGGATCTCAAGTGGACCGAGCTGGTTGAACTCGACGACAAGGCATTAGAAGAGCGTGGTGTAAACGCCCTGGGTGCTCGAAACAAAATGCTCAAGGTAAGATCCTTGATGGCCATTAGAAACGAACAAAAACTGACAGTATCATGATAGGTCTTTGAACAAGTCCGCGAGGCCAAAGCGGATGGAAAATTCGAGAACACTGCGTGATTGAATGCATATATCCATTTCTCTTCTCTTCTCAGTGGTTTCCTTGAACGTTTTTACTGCATTAATTGACAAGTTGTCTTTGGACATAAGTGGCAGGATCCGATAATTCTCCATGAGCGATTTGATTGGAACCTTGACAAAGTAATTGTTTAGTAATTGATTCGAGTTTCTGTTTTCTGCTCTTTTGGTTACTTCATGACGAAAAGGATAAACCTTTGTACTTACTACTTGTCTCTCTTATCTATGTGATTTTTTCGACTATATTGGACTTTTCTGTCAGTTGCCGTTGACTGGTGATGATCTCAATGTACTGGATATGGGGGGGGGGACCAGGCCATGTCTATGCCGTGATGCTACAATTGATATAAGTGAAGATGTCTGGAAGGTATAGTAATTGATTTGGATCAATGTATGAAGTGTTCTGTCCGTAAATTGTATTCTAGTATGCGCTAGGTAGTGTAGTTGAATGCTGTGGCCTGATTGGTCCGTTCCGGCCGCCAACTTCATAATTCCCGACGACACTGCAGCTCCGGCGTTGCAGTCGACCACATTTCCTCGCTCATTATCTATACATACTGCTATTTCACAGGAAGACATACAGAACAAATTGTATTATCACTATTCTGATATCACGCGCGCATACGTTCGACCAACCAGACCGCAAAATTGCTCAACTCAAACAGATTATCTCGAGAGCTACGAAACACAGAAACCAAATATAAGGATCCAACCCAAAAGAACCAAGAATCCAAAATGCCACCAACGAAACAAGAAATATCCCTCTTAATCAACCCCCTCGTTCCTGAATCTGTCCAACACAACAACCGCGTACGTCCCCGTGCAACCCCCCAATCCCCAAACCACCCCAACTAACCACCTCTCTCTTCTTACAAACAGATCCTTTCAAACCTCCACTCCATAACCTCCTTCCTCCTCGGCCTCTCCGCAGGAATTCTCGCCCTCCAATCCTCCACCGGTTTCGCATTCTACTTCCTCGGTACGGTCACCGTCTCCGGCTTCTTCCACATCCTTCTTCTGTATCGATCTGGCGGAAAGGGTGCTGGGTTATTCTTTCCGGGTGCTGGGGGTGGAGAGATTGAGGATATTGGTATAGGTGGGCGGATAGGGAAGACGCAGGGGAGTGGAAAGGTGCTGAGGAAGGGGGCTTGGAGGGATGTTTGGTTTGGGGGTGGGGTGCTTGGGGAGGCGCTTTCGGGGTTTATTTTGGGGTGGTCGGGTCTTGGGGGTGTTTTGAGGTGATTGCCATTTAGGGAAAGAAGGGATATAGGAGGTTGTTTTTGGTAATGGGGTTACCTTTGAGGTGGTGGTTTGAGTGGCCCGGGTGGTGTACTATTATTACTGGCACTTGGTGTTTTTGACTACGATACTGGGATTTATTGGTTCGATAATGATACTGGTGCCATGCATTTTTATGTGCTTTTCAATATAATCGACTTACCATGTGGACATGAACTGCTCGCTCATCCAGACACAGCGCCATAGGCCTTTATCGGCGACGAAACACGAGCATAGCTACTGTTGGATATCTTGGGCAAGTGATAGTAGAGCGCCTTGTTATCGAATATTGATAAGTGAATATACTAGCTTGATGTTCATGTGCCGTTTATAGTCAGGCCATTCTTTTGCCGGGCCAGGCATCTTTAGGAGCATGGCTTTTTCTATTCACTTCTCTCGAGTTGCCCTCTTCATCCTCCTGTATAGTACATGATCGTATTTCATTAGCACCATTGCCTCCTCCATCTAGATCCATCCCACCAAAATTTTTCCATTGTCATGTTGTCAAATCCTCGAGAATACTTTGTCTAAGCTCTTTAGCAATATAACATGCGAGCATAACACAGGGGAAAGGAAAACACCCTACACCCAGTTCTAGAGGACAGATAAAAGCTTTGGACATACCAAGAATCCTTGTTCGACAGACAGTCAAACTCGGTTGACATAAATCTCACCAAAACTCGAGATGTCGTATTTTTGATTGTACTATTGCGGTACTCCGTTTAATTACATTTTTGCAGCAATGATGCTATTCCAAAAATGCGATGCAGAGTTCATGCGCTTATCATCGCGCTGTTGCTAGATTCCGAGGGAGCCAAGGCATGGGCGCAGACCGCGTTTCGAGGCTTCCCACAAAGACCTTCGTGAAGCAATACATCGCCGTGGCAGTTGGTGACAACTTTATGATGGACATATTTGTGACTCAAGCATTTTCGAAGCATGGGCTTCATGCATTCACAGCGATTTATCTGACGGATAGCGGATGGTTGGACGAGACATATGGGGAAAACAGGGCAACTCTGGGGTTCCTAGAGACCACAACACAACAGTCAGCAGCCCCCCCCCCTCCCTAAAGATATTGATTAAGCGATACGGCCCTCTGCCTTTTCGGGATTGTTTTCTTGTCGGTATAGTACATAGAAATTAAGCCCTAGTTGCGAAGTTTCAACGTTATTCGAAGTTGAACGCATCGTTGGGAAAAGCAGGCAAACAGTGTTAACCCCATTTTATTGAGCAACACATTCCAGACTAAGGATTGCGTCTTACAAAGACTCAAGCAAGGCCAAGTGGCAACGATTGAAGACATTATGGGCACCGGAGAAGGTAATCGCTTGCAGAATCAGCCAATTTCGATATGCTATTGTCACCCGCACATACCTGGTAGGCATCTCACCTTTACTTTGGGATATAGATCCTTCTTGACTTACATCTCTACAGCAGAAACTAGAGATATCATTTTCGAACATGGGTGGACACCAGCGATCTGGAACCGAAATCGATGACAGTGTATAGAGTACTAGGCTATTATGGCCTGTCCCGATTGCACGCCTGCCCATCATCATACAATTCAGTGGTAGGTCTGAGTGAGGTTAAAAAGTCTTGTATTATATCACGCATAGCAGTGGAAACAATGTTCGAAGAGACTACGAAACTCCGCATGAAAGTACATATGGCAATAAGTGAACCATAAATGACGAGGCCCAATTAACAAAAACAACTTTATACTCCATCAGGGGATGCAGATACTGTCAATAGCTCCTTGGTTATGCTCATGAAGAAACTGTGAGTAACGATCCCCAAAGACCAAGTAGCGTCTTCACAGAATATCTGTCCAGGATTGGGAAATTTCTTTTACTCCAAAAAATGGAACACGCTCACGCTAAGTCCACAAATCCGTGTGCGATGCTCCGTTAGTTTTTTTGCCTTCTTCTGTTTTCAAATCACGCATAAAGGAGTCGTATACGATCCACACCTATTCAGACGATGCTACAAAGCCTTTGGCAGGTGACACTGCCACAGAGACCTATTGAGTTGGTGACAGCAAATACAGGTAGAGGAAGCATCTTGGATGGTACGCGAGGCCCAGCCAAGTGTGATCAGACTGTCATCGTCGAGAGATGTCAGGTCCTCTTTAGGGGTTTTCTCCAAAGACGATATCAGAATAATGTTTGTCTGATAAAATTGCGGACAAAATAAAGGAAGTGTTAGACCTGCAATGGGCACTCATCTCGATTCTAGCAATGTCCGACGCTGCGGTCGTGCCAGAATTGCTCTTGATACCGGTACTCCGGCAGAGGAGTTGAACCCAACAAGCATTCAAATTGCGCTCAAGCGAAGCACTTCACGTTTCGAAAAAGAGCACGTGAGGTTGCTGGTATGATTCCACGTTGTTTTCTAAAGGTATGAAGAGCCGGACAGCGTCCTTGGCCGTCGCTCGGGTTTTTCGCCATGGGGGTCATGGGTCTGTTATGCATGGTTAGCTTTCAAGGTTAAAGGCATAGCCCGATACTTGTGCAACAAAACCGATAGAAAGAAGTTCAAACAACGACGTGCACGGCCTAAGCTCGTATATTTGATGGGGAGAATTGGGAAGTGCCGGAGGAAGTGTTGCAGCAGCTTGGTTGTTGGAAGATGAACTGACGTGAGTGAAAGAATAAAAGGGTATATCTTGACGATGGTAGAGGCTCCAAGATACATGGTAAGATGTTCACTAAAGGAGGCTCATCAAGGTATGTGACTTTACTACGACCAGGGCGCAAGATTTAAGAGAGAAAGTCTATTATGTACTCCGAAGGAGATACTCGAGCCAAGTCTATCTATATACAAGCAAAACCAACCAAGGCCATCCAAACAGGGGTATACCTAGCAGAACATTAAAACAACGTATGCAAGCCATGGTGGAATCCAAAATCGCTCAAAAGTAAAATAGAAGAGAAGATATGCACATCAATAAAAAGCAACCATAAGAGATGATAAAAGATTAGACCGACCTCCACCAGGGAACCAATCGATCATGCATCTTCACCACCATTTTTGTTGTATGGTTCACTTTCGGGTGTATTTGCCAATGCGCTCTGCAGCGCACTAGTCAAATCAATATGGAAGAATGGCCGGTTGATGCCCTGCACCATCGCCACCTTGCGCGGCCCTTGGCTTTGGTACGCCTTGCTGGACTTGAGGTCCTTTTGCAGCTTGTCGTCGCGGGAGCTGCTGCTGCTACCGTCGGACGACTCCTCGATATCACGACTGGTCTCATGTGTTGTAGTATGGGACTGGTTCTTGAGACCCTGCTCGGGGTCTTCTCCCTTCGGAGGAGGCGGATTGATATGCTGGTTGTTGATGATCTCGGCGTGCGCGGCGGCGGAGGAACTGCCTTCAATCTCGGCCACACTGAAGATGGGTTTCCAGCGGTGGAAACCGTTGTCAGAGGCAGGGGTGGGGAAACCAAAACCGGCAGAGGCAAGAGCACGCTTGGTCCAACGGTTGTTGATGTGGGCAAAGTGCCACTGGACGCGCTCAGGGGCGGCGTACATGTCGAGTTGGTTGCGGACGTCGATGAGGTTCTGGATTGAGGTCACGTCGACGTTGTTGACAGATGAGAAATCAAGAATAACGGCGCGAAGAAGGGGTAGGTGCTTTTCGTCATCTGCCACAATGCCCTTGCGTGGGCCTGGGTCGTTCCATGGGCGGTCACCGGGCTTCGAGTAGGCGAAGGGGTTTGTGCGGCGAGTTTGCGAGAAAATGGTCCGGACCAGGTTATCAGTGTAGTGGTTGGCGTTGGGGTAATTGAATCCTTCGGAGAATCGGTAAATGAAGATACCAGGGAATGGTTGCTCCACATTGACCTCCGGGTTCGATCCGTCGTTATGGCTGATGGGGAGGAAAATCGAACGGTGCAGCTGGTCCTGATCCTCGGAAGAACGGTTGTTGACGGGACCATACTTCCCTTGCTCATCCACGAGGTGGTCGCCAATAACAGAGTGAATAGACACCCTGCCCATGAATTGGCCGCGGGCCTTGGCCACGCGGAACAGCAGAACGGCAGCCGAAATACAGATAGTGCAGTAGATACCGTCCTCAATAGTGGCGAAGACGGAGACAAACACACCGACGAAGAAGATAATAACATCCAAGGGTGAAACGCGCCAGAACTGGTAAACTGTGTTGGGAGGGGTAATTAGGTCACCAACGGCGTGAATGATGACACCGGCCAGAGACGATTTGGGGATGTAGAAGAAAACAGCCGTCAGGGCGTAGATAGCGATAAGGACAAGAATGGCCGTGATGCAACCAGCAAGGGGAGTCCGGACACCGGCCTTGGACTTGATGGCGGTACGCGAGAAGGAACCAGTGGCGGGGTAGGCACCGAGGAAAGGACCAAGCAGGTTGGACACACCGATGGCAACCATCTCCTGGGAAGGATCGATGGTGTAGTTGTTGACACGACCAAAGGACTTGGAAATGGCAATGTGTTCGATTAAAAGGACAATGACGGCAGCGGGAAGTTCGTTGGCGAAGGCCTTGATGATTCTGGTGTTGATAACCGGGACAGCGGCATTCTGGAAACCTCGTGGCACTTCGCCAATAACCTGGAACAGAGGATCATCTTTCCGGTGCAGGTTGACTGCAGCACTGATCATGGTGTAGAACAGAATGACAAAGACGGTACGCAGGGTGGCGGCAAAGAAGAAGATCTTGGCCCGTTGAGGGTACTTTTTAGCGCCGTAGCTGCAAGCGAAACGGATGATATATAACATGGCAAGAGCGGTAACACCCATGGCGGCGTCGATCTTCGCGCTGGGAAGGTACTTCAAAGTGTCAATGATAACTTCGTAGGTAGCACCTCGAGTGCTGAAATCCGCGGTCTGTCCAAGCAAGCTCTTGACCTGGCCGGCGATAATGTTGAGAGCGGAGCCGGTCATGAAGGCTGAAATGGCGGGAAGAGGAATGAAGTCAACGATAAAACCCAGTCGGGCCAGACCCAAGAAACAGACGATTGCACCGCAGAGGATGGCCATGGCGGAAGCGATGATATGGCCCTCAATATCGGGTTCAATTTCCTTAGCCTTGATGACGACGGAACCAACGACAGTAGACAAGACAGCAACGGGACCGATGGTGATATCCTTGGAGGTAGCGAAGAACCAGTAGATCAAGACACCCATGAAGGACGAGTAGAGACCGAACTGCACATCCAACTCGGCCAGTTTGGCGTAGGCCATACCCTGGGGAATGACAACACAACCGACCGTGATACCTGCGACCAAGTCTCCGATAAACCATTGCCAGTTATACCGGGTAATCCATGACAAGAAAGGGAAGAGGCTGTAGACATAGAGACCAAGGGCACGCAACGAGGGGGTGTGCTCTTTGATCCATTCGTAAGATGTAGGTTCGGGTTCGAGGTAGGAGTAGGTTTCCATAGTGCCAACCGAAAAGGTCGACTCGCCCCGGGTGACGGCGTCTTGGTCGGCATTGAGAGGGTCACGGTAGGCGACCTGAATCCCAAGGCCTTTTGCCAGGCCATGGCCGACCTTGGTCTTGAGGTCTTCTTTAGACATGGTGAAAGATGAGGTTGGGAGCAAGGCTCAGCCTGGCTCAATCGACCTCTATATAAGGTAGAGGGTAAAGAAAGCCCTTTCCAGAAGGGATAGGCACGAAAGTGGTGAATCAATCGTATATAATCGAGACAAAAAGAGTATATACCAGTGGCTGAAGATATGTTCAAATAAATCCCATGGCGAGATCGCGAAAGAAAAAAAAAATAAACTAGTGGAAGTAATCAATCGGAGGCCAAGTCCGATGTCGTGATCTCGAGCTGGTATGGCAGCACCGGGGGTATTTCTGTACAGGGGTGTAGTACTTTTGAATTGAAGGTAATAGAAACGATGTAATATCCAAATAAAATGAAAAAATAACCAGCGTGTTCTTGCGTGGGTGGCGTTGGGTACCCTAGACTCCGATGTTTTGCCGCGGACTATGCTGCGCAGACAATGGATAGAAGATAAACCAAGAGGAAGAAAGGAAAAACAGAGAAACAGAGCAGTTTTTGAACGAGCCGTTGAACTGGTCAAAAATAAAGCAGAGGTACGTATGCGGATGACAAGTTGATAGCAGTAATGGATCGTCAGGATAGAATTAGTAGCAACAAGTCTGGGATTTGCCGCAGGTTCTGGACCCGATGACGACGGCGTGGGCCGTGGTTGTTATTTTATCTCGGGACAGTCCCGTAGTACAGCATCCATAATTTTTTTTTGTACCCATTGTATTCTCTACTCTGTAGTCTATACATTCAATGCTCTACTTGTACTAGATACATACTACTTGAGTATGTACAGCATATGTATGTCTACTCAGTGTATGGCGCATAACTGCGTGTATAACTGTCATTCTCTGTCCGTAAACGCCAAGCCACTATCTCCAGCTCCAGACCCGCTAGGGCAAGGGCTCGTCCACCCACCAATAAAATATGACCCGGCTCCGCGCTACCCCACAAGCCTCGTGCAGTGACCCTCCACCTTTAATCCCTATTCACCAATCATAATTCTGTCAGAACACGCCATCGCTTTGACTGATGGTGAAACCTGCGAACGGCTGCCGGCGGGGCGTTCTTGAAGATTGCCTGTTTGGGAAGTCTTGTTCCTTTTTGCTATCGAGCACGTCCGGGGTAGCTGAGCTTAGTTGGTTTAAAGTATATATAAATGTGTTGGTCACGACTCTATAATGATCAAATTCTACTTATTTCTCCGTATACTTTTAGTTACTATTTTTATATTCAACTCCATATTGAATAACTAATGGAGATGCATTTCTCCGGCATCACACAATATGTACCCCACTCTAACACCATCCAGATCAAAATCACATCATCCATCTTATCGCTGCTTGGCCTACTCTTTTGAGTTGACTTGCCGTACTTCAGGTTGACAGGAACTCAACTTTAATTCTCGCATTGACACTGCCAATCTCGTTGAGACCTCTCTTTTCGTCCTCCCTTACATATAACTGGGTGCTTCGTGCTTTGTCCATAATCTACGAAGTTCCAAGGAACGAATCCTGCCATGTCATTCTTGGCCCCATGATCACCTATAGAGTTACGCTTATTTGCTTTTCCAAACTCATGGGCTCGTATAGAGGAGTTGGGTAACCAATGAGGCTATGTTTAAATTAATCATTAGCTTGGCTCGTTATCACACGAGCGCAAGTACTTGTACAAGAAGCAATGAATATTCAAGTATCTCCACGGAGTATGGATGTCATAGTACACTATACAAAGGTACGATACATACTTGCTTAATGTGCTCCATGGAGTAGCTTAATTACGTGCAGGGTCGTACGATCTGACCAAGGCTCTGGACTCGACTCGACTGAGAAATATCCCTCATGCAAGACAAGTACTCGACCATCCTGAATCCTGTACACCGGAGGGAAGTGAAACGATTTACCGTCTTCTAGATCTGGTCACTTGCACGTAGTAGCCTTGCGGCTGAAGCGGTTCAAGTGTTTAGATGGGCGACATGGTTACATCGGCTGTGGTGATAGTATCAGCTGAGCTTATTATGTCGTGCTACTGGTTCTGTCCATGTGATTTAACAACGCATTTGAACCTCAGTCGAATGTGTGCGGACTCGGCCAGGGGACGCTCCAATACTGCATAGGAAGACACAATGCGTTCCAGTAAGCTGCAGACATTAAATGGAGACAAGCGTACGGGCACAGGGCTTGGTTAGGACGTGCAAAACTTGATCTCCATGACCGGAGTAACCCGCCAACAGTGCACAGACCCAGAGTAACACCGTTTGTGTTTGAGAGCCAGTTGATATAAATTTGTACAAATGTATCTCTGACTAGCCTCGGTATCTAGTCTGAGACGCATTGATCTCAACATGAAACCGCAGATCGAATTTTGCATTAGACCTAGTTTTAGGGTTATATCTGAGACAGCAGCTTTATCAAATTCAGCATAGCACCTACGTCCATTCGGTTCACTCATTCCGGCTTGAGGGCGCTGTTTCAAGGCATATGCAAAGCAATTCTATTGATCCGCTCACAGTATAGCACTTGTTTGGACTTCTGCCACTCGGCACTGTTTCAAGGCAAACCAATGCAATCCAATTGATTGATCTATAAACATCGACACGCTCCGACCCATATCATTCCCATTCAAACAATTAACGAAATTCCCACCGTGTTCTCGTTCATCTCATCACCTCCAGCCCCATTCCCATGCAACCCAATGAGCAACCGCATTATGCAAGGGAATAAATTAAAACAAAAGGAAAAAGAAAGTTCATAACAGGAATGGGGGAAGAAAGAAAAGAGGAAAAAAGATTCCATTATCATCTCCCAAGTCTCATGAGCGAAACGCCAGCCAGCAAAAGCAAATCATAAGCAGAGAAAGAAAAAAATAAACCCAGAAAATCACCAGGGCTGAAATGGTATCATAAAATTTTCATCATTTGCCCCAGCAGCGTCAACTTCATAAATTCTGTCCCAAATTTGAGTCGTTTACTGAGATGCACACTGCACCCGCTCGGCACCCGCAGGAACATCGTCGTCATCCTCATCCATGCCAGCAGCAGCACCCTGTGCCCGGGCCTGCGAGTACTCGCTCGAGTCAACGTTCTCAGGCTCAAAGTCTTCCACCATAGCGTCGGCAGGAGCGTGAGTTTGCTCCATACGGGGAGGCAAAACCTGCTCCAAAAGGTGAAGGTTCTGCAGCTGGTCCTTCTCGGGGAACTTCACGTCAAACTGAATGTAGAGGTTACCATGGTCGTGGTGACGGAACGAAGGCATACCCTGGCCCTGAACCACCTTGATGGAGCCTGAAGATGTCTGTTAGCATTGTATTTTCCTTCACATACAGCTTTACGCAAACTTACCAGGAGTGACAACCTCGCCAGGAGCGATGTTCACATTCAACCACCGGTCGTCGAGGTGCTCAACGGAGAAGCTGCCTCCACCAAGAGCCGTAAGAAGATCAATCTCAACTTGGTAGAAAAGGTCGTCCTCTTTGCGCTGGAACCGCGGGTGAGGCTTGGTCTCAATCTCGAAGACAACATCTCCGGGCATGACACCAGGAATCTGGTCACCCTCTCCGCGGAACTCAACCTTGTGGCCGTTCCTGATACCCTTGTCGACATGGACGTGGAGCACCTTGCGCTCAACAACGGTCTTCTTACCACTACACTTCTTGCAACGGTCCTTATCACGGATCATCTCCCCCTCGCCATTACAGTCAGGGCAAACGGTCTGGAAGCGCTGAATCATGGGACCCATCTGGCGCATCATGGTCTTCATACCAGAGCCATTGCAGCCGGTACACGACTTGACGGCGCCGTCCTTACCACCGCGACCCTCGCAGCCTGAGCAAATGACAGACTTCTGCAACGCAAGCTTCGAGACCTTGCCGCGGTAAATGTCCTCCAGGTTGACCTTGTGAACGTGGTGGATGGTACGGGCCTTCTTTGGGCCAGTGTCCCGCATACCACCGCCGAACATGCCACCAAACGGACCGCCGCCGCCGCCGAAGAACTGCGCGAAGAGATCCTCAGCGCCCATTCCACCACCGGCACCACCACCCTCGAGGCCTTCTTCACCGAGTTGATCATAGACGGAGCGCTTGTCCGGGTCCGACAGAATCTCGTAGGCATGAGACAGTTCCTTGAATTTATCGGCGGCTTCGGGATTGTCTGCGTTCTTGTCTGTACGCAAAGTTATAATTAGTATTCCAAAGCTAAACCTCTCTTGCACATAAAGCCAACATACCAGGGTGGTACTTAAGAGCACCCTTCTTGTAAGCCGACTTCAACTGAGCCTCAGAGGCTGAATCGGGAACCTGATCGCCAGCTTGTTAGTTTCACCGCTCCGACTGAATCATGAAACATATCGCAAGGTCCTTACCCCGAGGATGTCATAAAGCTTGGTGTCGTGAACCATTGTGAAGGTCTAGTCTAAAAGCTGACGGAAAAGAGGGGAAATCGAAGAACTTTTCGGAAATGTGCGAATCAAAAGGAGGACGAAGAAGAAAACAGAAGAGGATATCAAACGCCCGGAGAAAAGAGAAAAAACAGCCTTGGTCTTTTGACCAGCGACTTCGATATTTGAGGGTGGGATTGGAGATGGGGAAAAGATGAAAGAAGGATCTTTTGTGAAGATGTTTCGATTATCACCGCGGCGGCGATAGGCAGCGGCTGCGGTGTATTGGTAATACAGGCCCACGTAAATTTGGTAACCCAATTACCAGGGTCAGGCACCAACGAACTACCAAATCAAGTCGTAATACGTGTTTATTTCACAATCAGTAGGTAATTCAGATACCGGAGATAAAGATGAGGTGAGAAATGGTCTAAAACAACTACAGGAAGGGCAATCCCGATATAAAAAGGACCGTAGAATACTACTAATAACCTTCCTCGCACTCAATCTCAAAACACATAAAAGTCCGACCTCTCTCTCTTCTCTCACCTGCGCATTCTGGCTGCTTCGATTGCTTGTTTAGAAGGAAATCCATGGCCCGAGCGCTGGTACCGTCGGTCTTCCATGCGATTCTTCGCCTTTCCAACTCTTTCGCCGCCTTTCCATGAAGGCAAATGGTATTCGTAATTACGCGCCCGTGACAGGGTTCCAGTATTCCAGGTTGGCAGTTGCCTACTGTTGATGGGATAAAAATACGGTATTGTGGTTTCTTCCATGCGCTTCCACGGAAAAGAGGCAGAGATTTGATAGAAATTGGTCTATCATTTGGCTAACACTGGAACAGGAGGGTGTATTAAGTGGCAATATTAGTCAATTTAGGTTAATTAGTTAGCGCCAATATAGAAGATAAAGTTAATGCCCGCAATGTATCCTTCAGCTGTTATGCGCAGAATTTATGCACAAATTTTCCTTGTGGCTAACTAGTATTTAATCCTCAGGCACCAAGGTGCCACATTGGATGGGCTCAACCACTCGCTTATCAGAATCCGGAGCCCATACGGAATTTGACTGCGGAACGAGCTAGTCATGACAATATGGAGTTGTCTATCTTGTAGTGTTATCTGTAATCTGGAACCTGACTGCCCTCCTCACCTTCAATCCCCTCAATTTCTATACTTACTCCCATATCATCAACACAATGGAACAACACCCCGGTTTTGTCGCTGCCGTCGAAGAGGCTCAGAAGGGTGCCGCTGAGGGTGGTGTCCCGATTGGCGCAGCATTGGTATCCAAGGATGGTAAGATCCTAGGAAGGGGACACAACATGCGCGCTCAGAATGGAAGTGCCATTCTGCACGTTAGTCCTTCCTTCTACATGCAAGGCGTAAAATAAACTCACGTCAAATTTGTAGGCCGAGATGTCCGCTCTTGAAAACTCTGGCCGTTTGCCCGCATGGGCCTACGAGGGGGCCACTATGTATACTACCCTTTCTCCCTGTGACATGTGCACTGGTGCCTGTCTACTCTACAAGGTGAATCGGGTGATCATTGGTGAGAACAAGAACTTTATGGGCGGTGAGGATTATCTTCGCGCTCGGGGAAAGGAAGTCATCGTGTTGGACAATGAAGAGTGCAAGCACTTGATGGAGAAGTTCGTCAAGGAAAAGCCTGAACTCTGGTAGGTCTTTCATGTTCTTTTGAGATTCCCAGTCGCTAGACATCGCGGGATCTAATGGTCTTCAGTGATCCTTCTTTACTCGGATTCACCATGTTGCCCCAGTAATGTACTAATCGCAAACTTTTAGGAATGAGGATATCTCAATTTAGGTTCAGGCGTCTGGTGGTTCAGGTCAATGTGTTGATTGAAGGAAGTTTCGTCATCAATCATGTACATAAAACCAATATCCGGACGTTGTAAGTACTCATTCGCATAAGAATCGATTGACTTAAGTTGTCAAGCGGTGGATTTCTTCGAAGAAGAACTTCAAATCATCCGGCTTAACGAACGGAGTGACACCTGTAATCGTTAGTCTTGCGTGGGCAATATTGAAAGAATGCGTGGCATACCATGTCCCAGATTGGCAATCCATCCCTGTTTACCCTTTTGGAACCCATCAACCATAGTCTTAACGGCTTCCGCGATGGCCGGGCGGCCTCCATAGAGTGCACCAGGGTCAGCATTTCCTTGGATAGTCACACGCCCATTCGCGATCTTGAAGGCCTCGGCCGGGTCATGCAGCCAGTCAAGACCAACAACGTTGTAGCCCGACTCGCAAAGGTCATCCAGCGCATACCATGCGCCCTTCGCAAAGACCGTCATCGGCACTGGTTCCAACCCCATCTGCTCCAACCTCTTCGGCAGGTTGGCAGAGATATAGCGCAGATACGGAAGAGCAAAGCTCTTGAAAGACGCCGGAGAAAGCTCACCAGCCCACGAATCGAAGACCTGGACCAACTGTGCTCCCGCCAAAACCTGGAGAGCCAGGTATTCCACACAAATCTCTGCGATTTTCTGCAGCAATGCCTGCGACTGCTGCGGGTACTTATAGAGCCACGTCTTAGCCTGGACGAACATCTTACTTCCTCCGCCCTCAACCATGTAGCACAGCAGAGTCCAGGGCGCGCCACAAAAACCGATCAGCGGCACACGGCCCTGCAGCTTATGCCGGGTGAGGGTAATAGCCTTGTATACATAGTCCAGCTCATCCTTGACATTAACATCTTTCTGCATGACCCTCTCGTATTGACCATCGTCCGGCGACTGGAGTGGGTCAGGAAAGTGAGGGCCCTTCTTATCCACCATTTCAACCTGCATTCCCATAGCCTGAGGAATGACCAGGATATCTGAGAAGATAATGGCGGCATCGATAAGACCGGTATATCGTTCGACGGGTTGGATGGTAATCTCCGATGCGACTTCGGGTGTCCGGCAACATTCGAAGAAGTCGCGGCTGCCTTTGGCTTCATGATACTCGGGGAGGTAACGTCCAGCTGCAAAACCGTCAATGTGTCAGACTCTCACTTTATTTCTTTTCACATCGCTATCAATGTCATTGGGAACTCACCTTGCCTCATAACCCATATCGGAGGACGTTCCACTTTCTCGCCTGCAATTACGTCAGATTTGTCTCAATTGGAGGGCCTCAACTTGTATACCTCGTGCGGTTCTGAGTAGAAGATCGTTCTTGAGAGGCTCGAATTGTTTCTGCATTTTGGCGAGATGGTGTGTCGTTGTGATGAAGGGACCGTGGAAAGGCGGGGCGATATTTTATCAGCTCGGTGTCTCGGCCCATCCGGCGCTCAGCGGGCCCGTTCTACGGGAGCGAGTACAGGTTGCCTGCAAAGTGATAAGTGTAGACTCGTATAGCTTGTAACATGTATATTTGAAGGTACTAATTATTTACACGGATCTACCTAATCATTGCAATCCCAATTGTATACATCCTTTTCAAATTAATCATCTTCGTCTTTTCTCTTCCGGAGATTAGCCATGCTGTATGTAGACTCATTCAGTTCCCTTCGTTGTTTCCCTTCAGCTGCTGCTGTGATATTCGAAGTACCTTGGGTGCTGATTGCCTCTGGCAATTCATGGATGGGCTCCCATTCCAGAGATTCCGAACCAGCCTTCACGCGGAATGCTTCCAAGAGAGTCTGGGGAGAAGAAGAGCTTTCCCTCCATTCTTGAGTCGAACCAGCCTTGCGAACACCGTCAATAGAAACAACAATTGCTTCATTGTTACTTGTCAGGTCGAGAACATTTCCAGAGAGCTGGATAGGGTTGTGGGCCTTCAGTGTCCCGGTTGGTTCCAGCACAAAGCATAAAAGTTGCGAGGATCTATGGTAGATTTTAGACACTAATCTCCAAGGATAGATAAAACATGTACTTACCCCTCAAGACTAACAATGATGATATTCGACATTCCAAGAGACACAGCCCAGATGCCGCGGACAGCGACCTCCGTAGTTTCAGAGGCATTATCCACGAGAGGGACCTTTTGAAGTATGTGACTCTCTGTCCATTTCCAGACGAACAAGTGGCTGTCACCGCCACCTGAAATGAGATATTCCGGCGCCCACTGAGGGACACAAAGTTTGCTAATAAATGAATTGTGACCCAGGCAAAAGTTCTCAATGACATGGGCTTGAGGAGGGCCACGGGATACCCGGATATGTTCGTCCCGATCTCCAGTCAGGATATATGAGCGTTTGCTACCAGGCAACGAAATATAAATCAAATCTGTCAGCAGCGAGACATGGCCAAGCAATACTTGGTGTTCGAATGTTGGTCCAGTCTTCTCTTCAGGTCTGTAGCCTTCCTTCCATTGCCGTTTTTGCTGTTCCAAAGCCTGCAGGTTCTTCTTAGAGTGCACAGTTAAGGACGTCGCTGCAGGCTGGCTCCTCGCCTGGGCGATTGTCCGGGATGGGAGAGCTGTTGGCCTTTCACTGGGAATTAATGGCAAAGAATAAACATCTCCAAATTTATCCCCGCACAGAATGGTGGTGTCATTGTTGGCCAAGACAATGGCGGATGGCCGCTTTGGCATGTTTCTATTCAGGATGTTAGTATTCAATCTACATCTTTGAAGAAATTTCTCCATACCGTGCACTCAATTGCTCAAGAGCTCCATCATCCCCTACAGAGAAAACACGGACGCATTTGTCTTCCGATGTAAGGACAACCACGTGCTTGCCGCTAGAAGAAGCAACCAGCAGAGGAATACTCGACCACGCAATCGAAGTCGAGAGTTTTTCTGAATCTTTGCCATCAGGTTTTGATTCTTCTCTTGCAGGCGCTTCAGGGTTGGAGACTCTTCGCTTCTTCTCTGGAGGCTCTTGGTTCACTTCCACGCCATCTACATCCCGAGGCCAAATGGCGAGCCGCTGTCCGGTTTCAGCAGCATAAGAGTAAAGTCGCGGACCAGAAGAAGCAATCAGCAAGCTCTGGGAGCAAGTAGATTGTCTATCCACGTATCGGACGCAATGGAATGGATGTTGAAAGTTTCCGGCCATAGTGCAGGTAAAAGACCGGATATCACCGAGTCAGAAATAGGTAAACCGATAATTCAGGAATGACAATGATTTAGCTCTCGCAGATATCATCCAGCCTGGAAGACTGAGAATAACAAATCAAATATCATAAACACGGCTCTATACAGCCGCCGTGAAGCCCTTTTCTTTTTGCGGCTCCGCTGACGGGCGGGGAGCACGTGATCGGCTCGCTAGGCGAAGCCACAAGAAGATTTCCCAAAAATGTCAAAATTCTTTTTTTTTTCTTTCCTTCTTCGAACTTCAACGTCACGATTCGACATCGTACATCACCAGCTTTCAAAACAATTTCCTTGCCCTTAAACATCCTATCTTCAGTGAAATAAGGAGACATGGGGGGCAAGTCGGCTTTCAAGACCGCTTACTTCGAGAAGCTCAAGACCAACCTTGATGAGTTCAAGACGGTCTTCATTGTCGGTATCGACAATGTCAGCTCTCAGCAGATGCACGAGATTCGTCTGAGTCTCCGTGGTGAGGGCGTTGTCCTGATGGGTAAGAACACCATGGTAAGTTTGCGCTCGATCTCTGCCGTACTGGAATAGCTATTGACTTGTGATTTCAGGTTCGCCGTGCCATCAAGGGCTTCGTTGCCGAGAACCCGGAGTACGAGCGTTTGCTTCCCTTCGTTAAGGGTGAGTTTTCCTACCTTGCGATGAAATTTTGCGATCAATTTGGTAGAATTGGACTGACTGGTTTTTTGCAGGTAACGTTGGTTTCATCTTCACCAACGGTGACCTCAAGGAGACCCGTACCAAGATCCTCGCCAACCGTGTCGCTGCCCCGGCCCGTGCTGGCGCTGTTGCTCCTGGCGATGTCTGGATTCCTGCCGGTAACACTGGTATGGAACCGGGTAAGACCTCTTTCTTCCAGGCTCTCGGTGTCCCCACCAAGATTGCTCGTGGTACCATTGAAATTACCTCGGACCTCAAGCTCGTTGAGGCTGGCACCAAGGTCGGACCCTCTGAGGCTTCGCTCCTTAACTTGCTGAACATCTCGCCCTTCACCTACGGTATGACCGTCGCTCAGGTGTACGACAACGGCCAGACTTTCAGCTCTGAGATCCTCGACATTGAGGAGGACCAGCTCCTCAAGGCTCTGTCTTCGGCCATCCAGCGCATTGCTACCGTCTCTTTGGCCACCAACTACCCCACCCTTCCCTCGGTCATGCACTCTCTCGTCAACGGCTACAAGAAGGTTCTCTCTGTTGCCGTCGAGACCGAGTACAGCTGGCCCGAGATTGATGAGCTCAAGGACCGCATTGCCAACCCTGAAGCTTACGCCTCTGCCGCTCCCGCTGCCGCCGCTCCCTCTGGTGGCGACGCCCCCGCCGAGAAGAAGGAGGAGGAGGAAGAGGAGGAGTCTGACGCTGACATGGGCTTCGGTCTCTTCGACTAAGCGCATCGCTCGTCTGATTCACGGAATACGATTGCCATGTATTAGATTTTTCTTATGACCTGTCAATGGTTGGAAATGGAAAAGTTCATGGATACAATCCTTTTGGATATTCATCTAGATATGGACGTAGACATACGTTCCATTTCTCTAATGAGATTGGTGAGTCTTTCATTCCTTCAATCCTCCTTTACCACAACTCCACCCACATGCATTGGTGAATGATGAGACCATTTTTAACTCGTAGCATACCTTCAAGGGATGCTTTGAAGAACAAAAATCGCAACAACAACACTCTAATTTTTTGCTGACACCTTTGCACTCATTCTGCCTTTTCTCATATTATACACTCATATCAAGCGTTGAATGATTGCTAACGAGATTCTAAGATTAGTTATCGATCCAAGTGACCGTGGTCTACGCACTTCGAGCTCCTATAGAACTCACGTAGTTTCGCTTATTGTAGCTCCAGAAACCTGCAATCAATACTATTAAATTCTTCGAGTCATTCAAATACCTCATCGTATCGTAACCCGATCATCTTCCCTATGTAATCCTGTCCGTCCGAAGATACAACGGATCATCCAACCCATCAATAGGAATAAACCGCGGTAGCTCCCTAATTCGCCCAATCCATCTCGTTACATTCCCAAACGGCTCAAGCGAAATATCTCCCATCGGCGCCAACGCAACATATGGAAAAACCGCAATATACGCAATCGTCGGTCGTCCCAACACTAACCATTCCACACTCCCCAAATGCTGATCTAGAATCTGCAACGACTTCTCCCCGCGAATCTTCGCCTCCCGCAGCGTCTGCTCAGTACTCGTAGTCCCCAACCCGTTAAATGTTTCACCAAGAGAAACTATCGCGCGTGCCGTGAAAACACCATACTGCACCCAACTAGCAGCGAAAGCAAGCCAGTTTGTGATGAGCGCTTCTTCTGTTATGTCCGCTGACCTCCAATTATTTCCATCAGGGTTTTGATATTTCCCCGCTAGATAGACCAGGATTGCGGCGGAGTCCGAGGATGAGGTCGCCGTCCACTAGGGTTGGAACTTCGCTTTGTGGGTTGATGGCAAGGAACTTGTCTCCGCGCTGTTCGCCGTTCTGTAGGTCGAGTTGGATTATATCGAGTGGGATGTTGAGGAATGAGGCTAGGAGGCGGGCTTTGTAGCTGTTGCCGGATGCCTCGTTGCTGTATAGCGTTGGCATAGTGGGCTTTGGTTTGGATTATGGTAACGATGTAAGATTGGAGGTGCTTGGGCGGCTTGGATAAGGCTGCCCAGTGCAATTATATATTTGGTGAGGTAGAGACCGTCTTTGCATCACCTCTAACAATGCTCATTGGTGCACGTCAATTAATACGAGCGACTTACCAATCAGCTGGAAAAAGTCCGTTATGACTCGAATGAGTAGAATAAGTGATGCTAAGCAAATCCCGGTGTAATTATCGGGCTATGGCTTGTGTCTCACGTCTCAATCCCTTTAGTAAGATCTCATGCTTTTTCCTCGTAGAATCCCTCGTCCTCTTCGTCTTTTGTTCCATCTTCTTGTGGGGGGTAAGTTTCGATGTCTTCATGGTCGTGTTACTTCCATGGGGTTTCTTCGAGGACTTCCATTAGAACTTGGGTGCCGTGGGATAGGTCGCTGATTGAACTGGTTGTGCGGATATCCCGGCTGTGGAGTTTTTTGACGACAGCGCAGAGGCTGATTTATTACTGGCACTTGGGGATGGTGTTTGTCGAATGGTGAGGGTCCGATTTCTGGGCTTTGTCAGGGTGCTGTCTTAGCAGAGCGTGTGGAAGGGACACTTACGACCAAACTCGGACTCCGTTGGATCTTGACCCATTTTGTACACTTGGTCCCTGAACATCCCGCCAAGAAACGAGTTGTCTTGCAGCTCAACGACAAACTCAACGAATCTGTCATTATGTGATGGATATGCCTTTGCAGCATCACGGAGGGCCACGAAAAGAGGGTCATAGCTGGGTCCATGTACATCTGGCTCTTCGGTTTGTTCCTTGATTATGTGGACAACGGTTTGTCTGCCAGTTTGTGAGATTGGAATCAAAGGATCCAGGAAAAAAAGAGCGTAGGGCTGAGAGGATGTTTGCGTTGGGGGGGGGATAGCTGCGTTAGTCCATTGTTTAGGAACGACTCATATTCGGGGGGTTGATGTTCTCTGAGTACGAGTGGCTGTGGTGGCATTCATTGTATAAAGCAGGCACAATGATAGAATCGATGTTAATACGGAGTACATGAATTGGAAAGAAGAGACTAACGCGCCTTAAGTGTATTAACGACCTTATCCACCCCAAAAAGCCAAAGCCAGCCTTGTCATTGCTCATTCCATAGTCGAAATTCAATATGCATTGCTCTTGGGAACAGCAAAAACGTTTTCCTGTGTTTATGTACGGGGTCTATACTCGGAATCAAGCCCATGCCATGCAAAGACCAAGCCTCTATAATAACGAGGGAATATAACAAGAGCCACATTATGAAAAGAAAGGAATAAAAGAGTCTATACAACAGTTAACAAAATCAACCACCCCCATCCTCACCACCCCTCCCACTAAACCTCCCCCCAAACCCACCCAAATCCCTCCGGAAGAACTTCCCAATATTCTTCAGATTCAGATTCTCATTCAAATTACCAGCGTAGCTATACCCTTCGTTGCTACCGTCCCCTCCAGACGGAGACAAAGCCCCCGAGGACGAGGAGGGCGCAGGACCTCCGGCGCTACCGTTCGAGGGTGTACCGAATCGATCAACACCATCTTTAGCAGCGGAGATAATAACCGAGCCGAGGATGGACGGGTCGAACCGGGATGTAGATGCGGAGCCTAGGCCCTGAGATACAGAACCAGATGAGGAAGTACCAGAGGGCTGCAGTGCTGCAAGGACGGGATTGCTTTGTTGGAGATTCGGTGCGTGGCGTTCAGATGCACGATGCACTTGGAAGAGTTCCACAAGGTGATTCTGTTCTTGACGGCTGCGGATACCCTTCATATCGAGGATCTTGCGGAAATTGGCGTTGCTTTGGTCGGCGATGTGGATTAGGTATGCTTGGACGAGGGCTTCGGGGGGTGAGGGGTGGACTTGAACGGTTTTGAGTAGAGCTTCAATTTTGGAAAAGCTGGAATTTACACGTTTGGCGAAGCTTGCTGGGGTGGGGGGCGGGAGAAGGGATGAGAGGCCGGATTTGAGAGTGTAAGAGTCAAGAAGCATCTATACAAATTAGCCTTGGGTTTCGAGTTCTTACTATAGTTGGGACACTCACCTGTTCTGCTGCCGTCTCTGAAATAGGCTTGCTTTGAAAGACGATCGTAATGAAAAGACTCGATATCAACTCCACAAGATGATCAGTAAAAGCTCTTGCATATTGCTGCTTATGCAAGAACTCTAGAATCTCCGAAGCCTTCGTCTTCGCCTTAGACAACACCTGCCCCACATAAGAGCTCTCATCGCTAACAGCCTCTAAACGATTCCAGGAAGTGTTGCGCATCTCTCGCCAGCAGGGCTCCATTTCAACCTCAACCTGCCGTACAAGGCCTCGTACGGCTGCAGAGGCAATTCCCATGAAGGAATCAGCTTGGCTTTGTAGGTCAACCTTCTCTTTCAGGTTCTTGTCCAGCCGGCCCTTGATCTTCTCCTCTAGTTGGGTACATGTCGTGTAACAATAGTCCGCGGTGTTGAGAACTAGAATGAGGTCTTCCAAAGACGGAACCTTTGAAGGCGTATGCCCTGTAGGTCGTTCGCTGATATAGTAAAGAAGAACCTGCTGCGCATATTGGTCCAAGTATTTCGCAAATACACCGCCCAAGTCCGCAAGACTGCCACCTGTGGAAAGTTTCGCGCATTGCTGCAATGCATGTCTGTAGAAGGTGAAGAGTTCGGTTGATGAGGAGATGACAATGTGAGAGTCGAATTCCTCATCTGGGGGTTTCAGGGGCTGTTGTCGGTACTTTGGTATGAGTGCAGCCAGCTGCTTGTCTTGAGCTTCAACCCATATGCTTAGGTATGGCTCGAAAGCCTCCGAAATTGCTTGGCCGAAGACAGATACCTCGCTCGAGACAAACGTATCGGTTGAAGGCCGCGAAGGACTGGCAAAGCGGCGCTCCAGAGTGTGCTCGAAGTCCAAGGTCTCTTGTAAACACGAGAGTAACAGGTTGACATCGATAGTCTGGCCATTCCGCACCGACCTGGAAAGAATACCCTTGAAATCATCTCTAGTACCTTCACAGAAAACATTGGCCAGAATTTCATCAACCTTCCAGCTTGCCGGAAAAATAGCAGCATAATCTTCATCATAGATCTTCAAAATCCGCTTAAACCACGAGTACCTCCGCGAAATGTTATCCAAAGACCCAGCCTCCTCATTATTCCTGAAAACCTGCCGATACTCCCGCAACTGAAAGTTGCAGTACCAAGTCACAAGCCGCGACCTCGCATGATCCCCAAGCGAATCAATAACCAAGCACCCCTCAGCCAATATCGCATTCTTCGGCCCGACCTCCCCTTTGGCAAACGCCAGCTCGAAATCCTCACAAACTTGTTCCAGTAACTCCCGCTGTATATCCGCCACATTTCTACTCAGCAGCGCAATCTGATCGATCGACCGGTATGACTTGAAATGCGCCATGAGCTGTATAACAGCCTGCAGTAACTGCGCACAGTCGCGGTATTGTCTTGTTCGGCTCAGCGCGCGCAGCTGATCGTACGCTGTCGTGAGCATCTGCAGCCGCTTCAGCGCCGTCATCGACAACGTGAGATTCTTCTTCGCATTGTCCAGTTGCTTGATATCTGCTGTCATCTCTGTAATCGCATGCTCGGTGCTCAATGCGCGGTCGCGAACGTCGTCAATCTTCTTGAATAGCTCGCTCAGGTCGGCTTTGGCTGCTTGGATGCGCTCCACGCTTTCGGCATTGGATGTGACCTGGTCTTCCACCAGCGAGCCGATATCATCGTCCAGTTCATCTTCGTAGGTTTGAAGGGATTCGGACACCTGGGATACGGAGGAGAGGGTGGAAGGGTGCGAGAAGATAGCGTTTAGGTGGTCGATTGGATCGTAGTCAGCTGGTTCGTCGTAATCAGCATATCAGCTATGACACCCCCGGTATATTATAAATAGTGTCTCACCCGCATCTAGAGGATCAAGGCTCGGTTCTTCGTCTGGCAGCATATGGTTGGTGGTGGTTGCGGTGGTAGAAGACATGTCATTTAGTAGCTCCGTCGGAGTACGGAGAACACGCTAGACACACTCGCTGCGATTCCTGGGTCGATAAAGACCCAATATTCGTTGCTTCACTTAAACGAATAACGTGCGAGGCAAATAGAGGGGAAACTATGCCAATAGAACGAATTGACGGCCACTGCAGAGGTTCTCGAGGGGGGAAGTTGGGCACTTGAGCTCCGACGCGATGGAAGACGGAGGCTTGGCACAGTGGAAACCGTCACTGTATGAGATAACTACAAACACACACTCTACTAAGGGAGGGCGAGTTAAATGATGATGATAACAGATTGTTTAGTATAATCGGTACAATGTAGCCATCTATATTGACATGGTCATAAGGCTGTATGAATAAGATAATAGTAGTGTTGTAATTCCAAGTTGAAAAGCCATCGTCCATTCGCCAAAACCATGCAAAAGCAAGTCACTCCGTATATACCCTAACCCAAAAAGAAATGATGTAAAAAAGCTGCTGTAGAATGCAAGCAGCATTGCCGTTAAGCGCAAAGAGGAGAATGTTCAATGTCGAAATCGAATGGAGTAGTATGTAGGAGGTTCAAGCCGTCCCAGGGAGGAAAGCGTCCGGTGGCAGTTGTCCCTGTGCCTGTATATTTGTTAGTATGATGGAACATTATTCAAGCATTTGAACAAACTAACTTTGAGATCCTCGAAATTCTTCAACGCAACTTCTACGTTCCATCCATTACCCGAGAGCGCCATCTCAGAGTACTGCAAAGTCATGTTTGTCTTGGCGCTCATTTGCATCACCAGTTGTTCTTGTTGTACTTGCGCATCGGGTTTTCCAGGCGCAGGAATACCATAGCCCGCCGGAGTCGCAGGTGGCGCCACCGGTTGGGTCGGGGGCTGGACTCCTGGCACTTGAGGCATTGGAGGCAATTGTACTGGGGGGGCTGCTTGAGGCACAGGTGAAGTCTCGACAGTCCATGCCTCGTGTCCACCGTATGCCCGCAGGCAGAGGATATCACTGTTCACCCTGATGCCTCCTGCACCTGACCCGGGGCCGACAAGAAAAGTTCTATCGAAACTGCGCAATTCCACTTTTCCTGTGCTCATTTCCTCGAACTTTCCATGCACCTTAATGAGTAAACCACCAACACCCGTTGCGCTTTGCCCAGTCGGATCAGGAAGACCCGGCACGGGATGGCATTCGATAAGCCATTCTTCCGGGTGTGCCGCGATATCGGGATGCCGAGTTGCCGGGAGCGAGTTCCATAGTTCACGGATCTTTTCCACGCCCTGGTAGGCCCGAGACATTCGAGCTGGTAGATGATTGATTTTGAGGAGGTTCCGGCTCTTCTTTATGTACGGGTCCCATCCTGCTGTCTCGGTTTGTTGGGCTCTCGGGGCTGTCGCGTTCACGTTTAATGAGAAGGTGGAGTTTTGATCGTAAACACTGTTTAGGATATCACTACGATTAGTGTCGTAGCCGGTGAAGAATGCCTTGACAAAGTTTTCGGCAATCTGCGACTGGTCCTGAAAGTAGGGAGGCTGAACGGGAATTGGCGTCTTCTTTTGTGCAGCCAGTTCCTCTGCCGTGCGGACTTCCGTATTGTTCAAGATTCGCAGCTTCGGATACCACTTGAGCATCGTGTCCTTGAAGGAGGGATCTGCGCTGAATGGATTCCCTGTGAGATCGAGGAATTCAAGATTTCTAAATTTCCAGCGCCACGCGATAAGAGCTTGTGCGTCCTTGAAATCATTCCTCGACAAGTCCAGGTTCTCTAAGTCGGGGAATGTCTGAGCGAGCGTAGTGACTACCGAGATATTGGCCAACTGATTATCCGAGAGACTAACACTCTTGACAGCCTCTCGCTTCGCAGCAGAGTTCGTGAAATTCGTTTCCCAAATTTTCATCAGCGCCGGGAAAAACTTGGACTCGGTCGACGTGGTGTTGAACATGCCCATAGCCATGAGGTCAGGGTCAGTTGCGAGTGCCGAGAGGTTAAGTAATTTCGCATCTTGGAAGTAGCGCTTGGCGAGGATAGTCGATAATTTGGCTTTTGTGTCGGCAGCTGATGAAGAGCTGCCATTTTGCGCAATGTCCGAAATCATAGGCTGATCGGTCATGGCATCATATTTCTCGACCGTGAGAGGAGCTCCAGCGAAAGAAAACCCATTTAGACGAAGAATCCTGTCCAGCAAATCCGGCCGGATCGAGACGATTAGAGTGTCCCCCTCAATCCGCGACTATGTTTAGTTGAACGTTAGCAAGGCATAAGGAGACCTTGAAAACCGCAAAAGTCACCCAAAGGAACAAACGCGAGAAAGCCCAGGGAGTGTCGAACGTTGTTTCGGAGTTAATCCATCCCTGAAAACGAGAACACATCGGAGAGGACGAAGTCGCGAATTCATGTCGGTGACCGCTAGTGGTTGTGATGTTGCACATACCTTTGATATTCTTGCGCGCGAGCCAGCTTTCGAGTCGGTTGCATTGATTTTCTTCTCCAGGAAGGTGATCAGGCTTTCGTGGCCACCGTCCCGATTCGAAGCGGCCTTGCTTTGTTTCCATCCACGGATGCTGACTTGTTCGAGGTTGCTTCCTTTGCCGCCCTGTCGGATGTTGACCTGGGGGGTGGTGGTGCTGCCGGAAATCGCCTTTTGGATCGCATCGACTGCAGGAGCCCGAGGGCCTGAGGGGCGGCCTTGATCGCCTCGTGTTCTCTTGCCACGGCCCCGAGCACCTCCACCAGCAGCATCCATCTCCATATCACCATCTCGATCTACTCGTGTAGGACCACCCCGCTTGCGAATGCCTCCGCGATCCGTCCCACCAGAGCGTCGAGGACCTTTTCCACCCTTCATTTTGCTCATGCTATTCGGGCTAAAGGTTGTAGCAACGAGGAGTAGGCGAGATTATCGAAAAAATCTTCGTTGTGGGAAGTAGGTAGAAAGTAGTTGAATAACGAAGAAAAAGAGGAAAAAATTCGCGGAGCGGAAGGTTGCGCCTTGAGTTCTTGATGGGGCTCGTCAGAGAACGAGAGACACAAGGTATAACGAAAGGCGATCAGGAACGGAGGTAAGCTGTGTAAAGCGAGGCCTGTGCTGACCTCGAGGTCGAGGATGAACAAGGAAGGAGACAATGGACGAGGCCAGCGAGGATTGCAAAAGCAAAAAGTGACGTGCATTGGTCATCACGTGAATTATTTATCACGTGAGTCATTGCTGCTTCGACTGCCTGAAACGCACGTGACTTTACAATGCAGAAAGACACCAAGGGGCGGAGTGCTTCTCGCCAATCACAGCTTGTAATATGTCCTCTGTCTGAGACGGTAATACGAATACGTAATGCAGGCAATTCGGAGCAAACCATTACATACATACATACAGCCTACGTACGCATACTCCGTACTCCGCGTACTTTGAGGCCAGCTGGTTCAATTCCTCTAAACATCAGCAGAGATAGCAACACTGCTGCTATTACTCTGTGTGTTTGCCAGTGTAATTAAGCTGTCATCCAATTGTCCCAAGCTTCTCGTCACGGACCCAATTAACCCAAAATAGGACATCTATATACAAATAGTCGTTCCTTGCGGGCCGCTGGCTGGACCTGATCGACTTGACACTATCTGCAGAGTACACCTCTTGTCCCTCGTTTAATCCCACTTATGGTCGTCGCTTAGTCTCGAGATGCCTGCCAAATCGCGCTTCACGAAGCTAGACGCCTTTGCAAAAACCGTTGAGGATGCTCGCATTCGCACCACTTCTGGTGGGATCGTCACCATAGCGTCGCTGCTTGTTATACTGTGGTTGGTCTGGGGAGAATGGGTGGACTACAGGCGCGTATCGGTGCTTCCTGAGCTGGTGGTTGATAAGTCGCGAGGTATGGTTTGTCTGGATATAATGCATGGACTGGACCCTTGATTGATACTGGTATAGGGGAGAAAATGGAGATCCATCTGAACGTGACGTTTCCGCGATTGCCATGCGAACTTCTTACGCTTGATGTGATGGATGTTTCTGGGGAACAGCAGGTCGGAGTTGCGCATGGTGTGAACAAAGTGCGCTTGAGTCCGCAGGCCGAAGGAGGTCGAGTCCTGGACGTTCAGGCATTGGACCTGTACGCCCCTCCACTAACTCATTCCCTCCATTGCTCGTCTAACAACGATTCAGACACTCGCAAGAAGAAATCGCCAAACACCTCGCCCCTGACTACTGCGGTGAATGCGGTGGCGCGCCAGCCCCCGACGGCGTCATGAAACCCGGCTGCTGCAACACCTGCGATGAAGTGCGCGAAGCGTACGCCCAGAAATCATGGGCCTTCGGCAAAGGGGAGAACATCGAACAATGCGACCGCGAAGGCTACGCCGAGCGCCTCAACGCCCAACGCCGCGAAGGCTGTCGCCTCGAAGGCGTCGTCCGCGTTAACAAAGTCATCGGCAACTTCCACATCGCCCCGGGCCGCAGCTTCACCTCCGGCAACATCCACGCCCACGACCTCGAGAACTTCTTTGAAAAGAACCTTCCGGAAAGCGAACGCCACACCATGACCCATGAAATCCACCAGCTCCGCTTCGGCCCCCAACTCCCCGACGAACTCTCAGACCGTTGGCAATGGACAGACCACCACCACACCAACCCGCTTGATAACACGCAGCAGGCCACTGATGAACCAGCCTACAACTTCATGTACTTCGTCAAGGTTGTCTCAACCTCCTACCTCCCGCTAGGCTGGGACCCCCTCCTCTCCTCCACCATCCATAACACCTACGACAAAGCGCCCCTGGGCGCGCACGGCTTCGCCTACGGCAACCAGGGCTCCATCGAAACACACCAGTACTCCGTGACCTCGCACAAGCGCGCGCTCATGGGTGGAAACGACGCAGCAGAGGGCCACAAGGAGCGCATCCACGCACAGGGCGGTATCCCCGGTGTGTTTTTCAACTACGACATTTCCCCGATGAAGGTTATCAACCGCGAGGCGAGGAAGAAGACGTTCTCTGGGTTCTTGACGGGGGTTTGTGCGATTATCGGTGGGACGTTGACTGTTGCGGCGGCTGTGGATCGGGGGTTGTATGAGGGGGCTATAAGGGTGAAGAAGATTCATTCGAGTTGAGCGTGTCGGTTGAAAAGGATGAGGAAGGAAGAAAAACAGAAAAAGCGAATTATAATTTATATACAGTTCCTGTTCGTGCCTGATACTCGACTCGAGGCGTTTGTGGTGTTTTTATGTTATATCAAGTCGTTTAGCATTCATTGCATTTGAAAGTTCTACGGATTCGGTTTTCAAAGAACGTAGATCTACGATAAGATATCTAAAGAGACTATACGTTGTTCTTACAAAAGTAATCCAGAAAGGTTCTCTTCACTCAATCAAGCGAGACTGCAATTGAAAAATTCTAACAGAGATAAAACAGACACCGATACGCCAGACCTGTTCTAACACCGAATGTCTGTTGGACGAAAGAAAACACGCTTGTTTTCTTTCGTTCTGACGCCAAGAAGGAAATCAAAGAGAAAAGGGGGGGAAAGGAAAAAAGATGTGAAGTGAAAGGATATATATAGATCCGCCAGGAAACGCTACAACAAAAGAAATAAATAATCAAGATATAGCAGAGTGAAAGAGATCAAAAGAAGTAAGGTTAGTGCATGTTGGTATACTGCCCAGGACCCTGGCTGTAGTAAATCGGTGCAGTCTGCTGCATCCTGTTTCCGTACCAAGTCTGCCGTCGCGGTTCATCAGTACGGTATGCCTGGTTCAGCGCACCAACGCTATGTCCAGCTGCGGGCAGGTTGTAGCCATTGTAAGCATCACCTCCGTAGTACGAAGCATGCTGTGGTTGGTATTGCATGTGCTGCTGACGTTGGGCAATGGCGTGCTGTACCATGTGGTTGGACATGCCCTCCTTCAGATCCTTCTTCTGGCGTTCGCGAGCATCAATCTCCGCGACGAGGCCTCTGGGGCCAGCTTGTGGTTGTTGTCGGTGAGATGAAGAGGACATGTTAAAAAAGGCTGATCCGGTCATGCGTGCGACGTGCTCCTGTTCGCGAGCGGACAAGTTGGGAGAGATATTCTGGGGCATCATGGCGCCGGTGCCGCGGGAACGAGGCTGGGATTGGTTTTGTCCCAGATGCATGTTGGAAGTGGAATGGGCCATCCAGTTGGGTGAAACTGGAGGTTTCTGGGGTCGTGGATGAACCGGGGAAGTGGGACCCTGGCCGTACGCAAGAGGGGTGGTAGGGCGTCCATTTGACATTCCGGGTTGCCAGGGGATGCTGCGACGACGTTCGTCCCGACTTGAATTTCTCGAATGGGAGGAATATGTTGGGACATTGATTCGCTGCCTCTCCGTAGAGTCGGAGCCGGTACGCTCGTGTCCAGACTGTTTCAATGTGTCTGCTGTGCTCGGGCGACCAGTCGTGGGGAGATAAGTCATGGTAGGCCCAAAGTCCACGCTCGGGATATCCGGGTTGGACTTGGATTGTTGTTGATCAACAGTGTATTTAGCATCACCGATAACCACGTTTCTCTCTGGCTCGCCACCCCCCACTGTCTTCTTCACACCCATCCTAGGACGTCGGACGGATGAGGCCTTGCTGTAAACAGATCCGTGGGTACTCGCGTAGTCTGGAGAGACCGTGGATGCGTCATCATACACAGTGTCGTAGACACTTTCTTCATCATGATGGCTATCCTTTGCCGGGGATGGTGTGGGGTCGTGAAGTAACCCGACCTGATTCAGTGCATCCTCGTCGACAGTGTGCCGTAAATCATCATAACTGGGCTCACCCGTGGTGCTAACCACCGGACTGGTGACATCAAACTGCGCTCTCTGCGATTGACCAACGGGTTTCCGTTTGATTGCTTTGGTGGTATCCAAGCTCAAACGGTTCTTGATTGACGATGGCGCAGATGGTGATCCAGACGACGGTGTACTGCCTGCCGAACGGATAGTGATTGGTGATGGTACCGTAACGAGTTTCGGAGCCGCGATAACCTCGCTGGAGGCGTGCCAGTTCACATCAGATACACCCAAACCGCGAGGCTCAGAGGCATAGGGGTTACTGGCGGACACATTCTGTTGACGCATGTCCTCAGTGCTCTTGGTTGTGGGGCTTCCGGCTGATAGACCGGCACCACTAGCAGCAGCCATTTGCGCAAAAGTGGCCTTGGACATGCGATTGTTAGCCTTTCTCGCATCAACTGATGGGCGTGGTCGAATTGAGGGTGTCTGGTTCGGTCCATGAGTAAATGCAGGAGGGCTTGACACAGGTGCCGGCGGGGATGGAGATACGAGATCCTCCCGAACCGCTGCAGCTTGGGGGTCAACTTGCTGCCCGTGGTCTGAGATACTCCGGTCGTTGTTGCTGGACTCGGGCCTTTCACTGCCATCCTCCGCAAGATGGTAAACCGATGATGCTGGAGACATGTCTGTGCGAAATCGCGAAGGCCGTTCGAGGGGACCATGCAGTCCGACAGTGTCTGACTGGGCCCGGGAATGGTTGCTTGGCGACTCGGGCTCTTCTCGTGGCCTCTCGGGGATGATGTTATCCACGGATTGATTCAAGGCTGGCTGGAAATGTGAAGGGGGAGTAAACATGCGGGCTGCACCAACGGGCATAGTACTCTGTCGATTGGGCAAGCTAGCCCTAAAGCGCGGCTTTTCGCTTGAGATACTGCTGCTTCTGCTGCCGCCACCACCAGCAGCCATGCGACGGGCGGTCGCCTCCTTGAGCTGCTGCCTCCATTCCGTTTCACTCCAGTTCAGGCAACCGGGAGTCTGCATCAAATTTGCGATGTCCAGGCTGTCCAGATAACCATGTCGACGATTTCTGGGGAAAGCAAACATAATACTTTTTATGTGGTTTGTGACGGCAATAATACGGTTGGGACGCCCGTAGAGATTGAAAGTGTCGAACGTGGGAATCAGGAAGCGAAGCATCGTTTCAAAGCCAGACACCGCGGGATGTGTTTCGGGCATGACAAAGACAAAACCTTCCGTGCTCGATTCGGATGATGCATGAATTGTGATATGCCCTTCAATTTTGACCAATGTAGACTGATCAATCAATGGGATAGACTCGGGATAGATAGCGTAGGCAGCGTAGGCATTAGTGACGGTAGCAATCGGCTTTTGCTTCTTGGTCTTTTTTGACTCATAGAATTTGATGTTTCCCTTAACTGTAGAGGGCGACCGATCATAGGCGGATCGTCTCTTCATCGTCTTGCGTGCCTTTTGTATTTCTTTCTCGTCCGGCGGTGACACGACGAACCAGCAACGCCGCCATGGTGTACCAGCACCAAACCGCACACGAGCCCAGTCTTCGTGCTTGAACCGCGTCTGTTGCAAGATAGAACTGGCATTTGCGAGACCTTTTCCTTTCCCTGCGAAAATGGAACCGGTATACGCTTCGTAGAGGGACGTGTGCTCGTACATAGCCAATCGGATTGCGGAGGTCCATTGGACTAACGAATTGAACGAGTTGAAGTGCAGGAGATATCGGTTTTGGCCTGCAGAGCAGAGACTCAACACATTTTTCAATGGCTGCGATTGTTGGTTTTTAACGGGCAGCGTCTCGATCTACTACTTATTAGACTTCAGCCAAGTAGACAACACATAAGAGGACCTACCGTCTTGATCGAGGCATCAGCCAAATTGATGAAAGTCGGAGGCACCTCTTGCCCATCTCGCGCTGCGTCCAGCGCAGCGGCGTTCCATAGCGACAGAACAGTTCCGATCAGTTGCGCATAGCACTCCACCCACTGTCTATCGGGACAAGGCCGGCCATGGGTATCCAAATCATTCAGCTTAAGAAAATATCCCTCTTGGTATATTTTGTTGGCATGACTGTTCAAAAGAGCAAAAATTGGTTGAATTTCAGCAGGTGTATCCCCCGAGACATCTAACTGCGGAGGTTTGTGCGAGAAAACGGCTGAAGACGGGCGAGAGCCACGGCGCTCTCTATATGGAGCTCCTGTCGGCGAACCCTCGACCACCGGCGATGGCGCATCAGAGGAAGTCGTGCCCACAGTTGACAGCGATGACGACTCTAGCGTAAATGAAGCAGAGGAATCGCGCTTGCGATTGTTGGCTTGGTTGCTGTTGCGGGACGGACCCAAAGAGGACATGAACGAGATTACTGTAGCAGAGAAAGTCAGTCACATGCCGGCAAATTTTGCTTTGGATCTGATTAGTACTACTTACCCCGCGAACGAGCCATGCTGAGTGGCTTGATATCTCAATGATCTATCGTAATTCCCAATGATAAGACGTATTGCGCAATACCTGAGGTATTCCAGTGGTGATAAATTCACACGAGAGAATTCAGTTTAAGGCCAGAATATTATAGAAATCTTTTAACGAGATAAAATCAAAGAAGGAGGCGTTGTAGGAAGCAGCGAAAGTGGGAGGCGAAGTGTTGGGTATATTAATAGATCAGCCGGTGCTTTTTCTGCAGGAACCGGCAACAGTCTCAGATCCGGCTAAGACTGTTCGCTTTGAAAGCAAATCTATGAGTATGCGCAGGACTTTTGTAATGATGGCGAAACGACAGAGAATTAAGTCTGCGCTTTGTGTCAGAAATGGAGTAGAAAATGCGGAGGAAGGACGGACGGAGTCCCAAGCAGTTGAATGGAGGACAAGAGTTAATAACAGAAAGAGTAGTAGTGAAGAATGTGAAAGCGCCTCCAATAGAGAAGACAACTAGATTATCCCAACAAACACAAATTAAGGCGGAAAGAGGGAGAGAGAAAGAGGGAGATAGAGAAAGATGAGAAGATGAAAAAAGGAAGATGGAATTGGAGATGAAGCAAAAGTGAACGTGGGTCTACTCCGTAGAACGTGACACGGCCGACTCAGCAGTGCCTGTTTCCAGGGACCGTCTATGCCTGGTATTCAAGGGTTCCCAAGGTTGCCTGGTAAGATGGGAGAAAGAAAGAGTAAAGATGACAGAAGAGTTGTTATGGCCTCCCGCTGACCAGCAACCGCCGGAATGTATCTATACAAAGTACTCATACGGTATTATGGGGAAGCTGGCGTCATCCTACAGTGATTTTTTTAGTGTCGTTTAGAGATCGGCACTGCGCAGTTTCACTTGCTTTTATTTGAGTAACGATATTATCCAGGAGTAATACTGTGAATATTCTGTATACGTGGTAGTATAGAAGTCAATAAGAAATATATCTAAAGTGTCATCTGTACCCCTGTATATTATTGTCTAAAGAATGTAGCCTTATCAGGATGTATGCAATACCGTAAGTTACCGTCCCATTCCACGGCTACCAAATATAGTAATGCATCTGGGGCAAAAAAAAGAAAAGTTCTGACACTCGCAGACAACGGGATTGTATGAGGTGTATCAGAGCAATCCTACCCAAAGGTAAGGCTGTCAACTACAAATACCTATACATATGTACAGAATATGCTATTTACATGCAGCGGAGGATTCAGCACTCCCAAAACTCCGACGCGCACTTGGCCGATCGCTTCTCCATTCAACGCCACGACGGCAACTCTATTGGCTTTGCACTAAAAAAGCATACGAAGCTTGCCTCTTGAAAAGTGGCTGATTTGCCTTCACTGGTCATGTGATTTGTCATGTGATTTTACTTGACCTGCTTCATTGCTTACTCACTGCTAGTGGTTCTATTGTATATATTATGTTGTCCCACTAGTTTGGATCTGATAGTGCTGGGCAGCCGTTCATAGAGTATCACTGGGACATATCGCCGCACTCACGATGCTAAACATGACTGGGAGATAACGAGAGGATGCAAAGTCAAGCCAAATCGACTACAAGACGAATAAGGCTCTACTCATGGAATCATAGCATAGAATGACTGTTGCGCAAGGCAGAAGCAGTCATGACCAGTTACCCCCAGCGTCTTCCGCCAATGTCTCGAATGTCTCGGAATAGTTCGATATTTGTTCTTTTTGCTTACCCTAGAATTACTACTTTGGTGTATTCACTACTCACTCGAGCACTCCATTCACTACACCAGGATAAGCATTTACCTTACCCCTCTCCCTAATGACCTTCTCATGGAGACATATATCTACCCCTCTTCCACTTCCTGTTCTCTTTTTGCTTTCATCTGAACCAGCCTGATTGGTGTCGCACTACAAGCTTTTGGATGCCCGTCTTTCAGCGCCGGGCTGCCAGCAGCAAGCTCTCGACAATTCTGGTAGTCTTCATTTACTTGGTCTTTGGAATATACTTGCCTTTCTCTGTGTTCACGGTAAGTGCAACAAAATAGCCACTCCACGCCAGAACCCTAACACATTACTCTTTTAGGAACTCAACGGAACCATCACCATGGAAGAAGTCCTGCCTGAGGAAATCTTCCCTCTGTCAGGATTTCCTACCCCTGAGGAGCGCCTGATTGATCCATTCGACGACACGACCTCCGTCTTCTCTGACCCGTTCGACCTAGACGAGCGCGACCGCGAAGAACGTCTCGCCGCGTACGATACCAAACGCCTTCGCGAGCTCGTGACCAACTTCGCTAGGGGCTTCGATGCCGCTACGTTCCCAGATTATGTGAAGGCGTGGATTCCTCGTTTTGAACATGATTTGTTTCCCGGTTCGTATTCGCATCTCATGGTTATTCTGCTTGACGACTGGGACCAGATGGAGTACTTCCAGCTTTCCATGTTCAAGTGGCTGTGCGAGAGGCACCCGTTTCCTAGATACTATCGCATTGGTGGTGTCAAGAGTATTGATGATAGGATGTTCGTGACTGAGCTTGGGGTTCTGAAAAAGTTGCTGTCGCCGTTGTGGGGAGATGACCCTAAACCAATCTACTGGATTGGCAGTCGACTCAACAACCCAGACGACTCATGCGACCAAGTAAAGACCTCGATGCGTATTATCAAACACTTCAAGGAGGAGGTTTCGGCTGAGATCCAGGGTGCCAATGATGACAGTAAGCTAACCCTATCCTCACTCGAACCTAGAATCGAGAAGCCCTGACAAATAAGGAACCATATTCTCTCCCAAGACCGCTCTCGAAGACCACAAAGCCGAAGTCAGCATCCGCGAATTCCGCATTGACGCCTGCAAAGCCTCTCTCGGCTGGGGTGAGTTCCTCAAAACAGATCTCCACTTCACCTCCTTCCACCAGTACTACAAAGCGCACTTAATCCGGACCTCCTCTCACAGAGCTCGAGCCCTCGGCTTCCTCCCTCCGCTCCACGAAAATTTCCCCGACTACCTCCCCGTCCATCCAGATAGCCAGCCCACAGCGTGGTGCAACTGGACTCGTCCCGAGCTACGAGGCAGCATACTGGACCTGATCCTGAAGATAGCAGTCTGGCTGGGCCTCGCTCGCGGTGCAGCAGCCGTGCATTTGTTCTGCGATATCGTCCGCGCCTTCACCCTCAAGAAACCAACCGACCTCACCGACTGGGACCGCATCGCTGTCCTGTACCATTTCACGACGATCAGGATTCCAAATGAACGCATTCGCTCCGGTCTCACCACACCATTTTCGCATGCGGACAAGGCCCTCATGAGCAGGAACACGGACTACCTCTCTGCCATCGCCGACCTGAGCTACGACTATAGCCACGACTGTGTCTCCGGCGCTGCCTCAATGGAGTGGTCTGATTCGGCTACGCTGCTTTCGCAGAAACTGCCACTTATCCACCGTCGTCTAAGAATGAGTCAAGGACAAGTAAAGACATATCACGATCGGCAGGTTTTGGAGTATTTGGCGCAGGCTTCTGTTGAGATGACGTTGAGTTCGAAGATTATGCTTGAGAAGAGGTTGGAGTTGGATTATACGGTGAGCTTCTTATTGAAGGGGGGGGGGGGGTTTAAAGCGGACTGGCTAATGTTGTGATAGGACTACTCAGGCTCGATCTTCAAGAAAGCCGCAGCCGTCGAGAAGAATAATAACCTCTCTTTCCTGCCTCTTACTCGACCTATTCCGATCCCTAAACGTCGCATTGTCGGATGTGTTTGACTAGCCTTTCGCTTGGTATATCAAATCTCGATATCTCTCTCCGCTCTAGTCGCGATGCGTTTTGGACTCTCATCCATTCATAAGAGAAAAATATTCAGGTTCGAAGGTAAAAGTCGGTGGCTTATTGTCTTGTTATTGAAAAAGGACATGAAAGGAAGAACAGAAAAGCAGGTTCTTGGACATTTGTATGTGTTTAGATATTCCCTTTTTACTTTTATGATTTTGTGGCTAACATTCATTCACACCAGAGCACAGTCGATCGTTGAGCATACAATAGTTCATGACCTAAACCCAATAAGGTATTTCCCCTCCTACACTGCGTGCTGACCACTCTGGCAAGAGACCTGGTTGACGAAAGCCCAAATGTCGGAACAGAACCAGCATTGGACATGTCAAGTCTAACCATCTAATCTAATCTGAACTGTCTATACGTCAAACCTGGCACACTAACTCGAACGGCGCAAGGATATACTAACATATCAATACTAAACAACTCATATCATAATAGCAGTGTAGATAGGTAATTTAGCCAAGTTCAAACAAATCTAAATCAAGCATCATGATTATATACAAACACCGAACACTAAACTGAAAACATAGCTCATGCATGGCTCAATTCAACAAGTTGTACGCCAAAACAGGATCAATAAGTGCCATATCATTATCAGGGGGTATCTCTTCTTTTGCATCTTCTGTTGCGTGCATCGCTTCGGCAGGGTACGACTCATAAGGATCGGCGTCGAACTCGTATCCGTAGATTCCGAAAACCTCGGCGCTGAGATGTTGCTGCTGCTCTTGTTGCTGTCCGTCTTCATTTGCAGATAATAATGCCCGCCGCAGGAAGAGGTCTCGAATTTCGTCTTCAGAGCAACCGTGTTTACCGCCCATGTGTACCCAGAGATCATAATCGCGATGGAATCTGTGCGCACACGAGTCGATGAAGCAGGCAATGTGCCGTCCTGTTTCTTCTGCGTATCCTGCACCTGTGAGCGCGGCCAGGGTTGATGGAGTGTTGGTCGTGGTGTCGTTGTTGTTGTTGTTGTTGTTGTTGTTGTTGTTGTTGTTGTTGTTGTTGTTGTTGTTGTTGTTGTTGTTGTTGTTGTTGTTTTGCCCTTGACCCAACCGCTGCCGGCGTAATGCTTTGGCGTTCAGGAAGCCCAGATGCGCGGTACGGATGTGTTCTTCTAGTGCAAGTTTTGTACCGTATCGTTTTCCGCAGCCGTAGCCGTCCCAGCTGGCGACTTTCTTGGAAGTAGAGAGGTCGGTTTCGCCGCAGGCGAAGCGTTTCTCGCCCTCGTGCACGGTCCGGATGTGCACAGTTAGGTTTCCTTTCTTTGTGAAGCTGCGGTCGCATCCGGGTATGGTACATGGGAAGACTTTTCGTTCCTCGACGCTTACGTCGCCATGGGCGACTTCCAGATGGCGGCGCAGTTCTCGCGATGTAGAGCAGGTGACGAGACAGTTTGGACATTGAGGTGGGTGAGCGGTGCGAATGTGTGCTTGTAGGAGTGCGTATGTAGGAAATGTAACAGCAGACTCGCTTTCGTCATTATCGATGTCCAAACGCTGAGAGCATTCCGTACAAGTGAACCTTTTCTCTGTATGAAGTCTGCTCTCGTGCGCACGAAGATGTCCAGCCGTCTCAAACGCCATTGGACATTTCTGTCCCGTCGCTGCATCAACATGTGGACAAGGAAAAGGCTTCTGCTTCAAATGTGCCGTCATGATATGTTTTTGGAGCGTCGTGTGCTTCCGAAACGTCTCACTGCAAGGCGGATACTCCGTGCAGCGGTACTTGTCTCTTCCATCATGTGCTGCCAGATGCCTCCGGAGCCGTGATCCTGTCACAAAACTCTTCCCACATCCTGGACGACCGCATACGTAGTCTCGAACACCGGTGTGAGCGCTTTTAACATGATGGTTGAGATGCGAGGCTCGGAGGAAGGTCTTGTCGCAGCCATCTCGGGTGCAGGTAAAGAGTCGCTCATTGTTATGTGACCGCAAATGCTCGTGTAGACGTGCCGGTCGATTGAACGCCTTTGTACAATCTTCGTAGGGGCAGAGGTGAGTTTTGAGTTCTGATGGATATCTGCTCGACGTCACGGAGATTGGTGTCGCTGGGGTTTCGAGCGGGATGTCGCTGGCAAAGCTCCCATCATCATTTTCAGACAAATACTCTGGATCGGAATGTGTTTCTTCATATATTGGATCTGTCGTTATTTTCATACTTATTAGTGTTTTTCTATCGAAGAAAGATAGGACCAGGCTTACCGTTGTGGTCCAGCACAGTCTCTTTCTGCATTCTCTTCGGATGCGGCGAGCTGCCCGCAGAAGCCTTTCGTTTCTGAACCATGGCTCAATTGAGCCCACCTATCCTTCATATCATGAAGGACGAGAAAACTGAAAACTATCAATCGTTAATCGAAGCCCAAATCGTAAATTTCGCTGATATCAAAGATTTTGCCAGGGCGGTGAGATGATCTATCCCGATCAGGACTAGCTTGATCCAGGAACTTTTTCCGCCCGCCTTTTTGTGGTCGCGACAGCGAATTCTTCACCCATTGACCGTCGCAACATCGTTTGTTGAACTGGAGTTGTTCGCGGACGAAGAATCTCGAAAGGAATCCATTGAGCTATTGCGCAGCTTGCAGTCGAGCTTTTTTACCTATTAATTCGACACGATGTCTGACTACGGTGGTGACCATGAGGAGGAGACGTAAGGACCACCTTTCTTTTTCACTTGCAGTCAGAAGCAACGGCTACTGCCGTTCGAGATAATTCATATTTTACAATGGGGACACTTTTGTTCTGACTTTCATGCGTCTAGCTACGACTACGAGCCCGCAGAGGAAGTCGACGACCTTGAGCCCGACGATTTCGTGAACCCCGAGGACATTGAGGGCCAGGAAGAAGGCGACGAGTCATACGCGCCCAACGTCGACGGCGACCAAGTTGTTGTCTCGGGCGATCCCAATGCCGGTTATTCAGGCAAAGTCATGGAACAAGCTCGGGAGAAGAAAGTCCCTAACGAGCAACGAGCGACTACCCCGTACATGACTAAGTACGAGAGAGCGCGTGTTTTGGGTACAAGGGCTTTGCAGATTAGGTTCGTTAGAATTCTGGGTTGGATAGGACTATTCCTTGCTAACAAGGCTCTAGTATGAATGCTCCTGTGCTCGTGGATCTTGAAGGCGAAACGGACCCGTTGCAAATTGCTATCAAGGAACTCAACCAGAAGAAGATTCCTCTGATTGTGCGGAGATATCTGCCAGATGGATGGTAAGCTTTTTTTTACCCGAATTAGGAGATTTTGTCTGACCATTGAAGGTACGAGGACTGGACATGTGAAGAGCTGCTTTAATCTGCAATATATGGGTGGTTTATTCGGGATTTGACATGTTTGGTGTGTATGTTCATATCTTTCCTTTTATTGGAGCATAGCGTTTGGAGTTTGGGAGTCGGGCAGACCATTAGAAAAAAAAGAAGAATTGAAAAAGAATAGAAAATGAAAAGTTAATACAGACAGTTTCTAATCCAGGTGAAGAAGAAAGGAGAGGATTGAGGTCAGCTTGTGTCCGTTGATGATCCTACAGGATACCTTGCTATGCGCCGTGCAAAGTGACGACGTCCGCGTCCATACTCAGTTACAAGGGCCTGGAGCGTTCTGTGACATACGGACCACAATCCAAAGCCATTTTTGCTATGAGAAAATCCCTGGGATACGGATATCCGGCTCGGCGGTCAATCAGGACAAGATAGCTTGCACGCTGTTGACCAAGAGGAAGCGGTGAACCGTCAGCCTCGAATATTCTTTATTGCCATGCCCTGCAGAGTGATACCCGAGTTTCGGTCTGGTATTTTGGTGTGGTTTGTATATAGTTCTCATGATCATAATTACAATATAGCGTGCCAGAACTACGCGTGCACCTTATGGACTGCTCTGAATTTAGGGTTCTACTTTGGCTTGGCTCGGGCCTAAGAAACAAACCCACTGTGTTTCAAGCATAGGCACGGAACCCCGAGAACAGTGACGCTGCTTAGGACCGCTGGGTTGTGCTAAGGCTTGTTGGATGCCTCGGTCTCATAACAAGTGGCTGAGAACGTGAGGAACACGCAGGGTATAGCGTAGACATGTATTCTGTATAGGCTATCCCATATGATCTTCTCATGAGCATCAGTTCGAGTCAGTCAGCTGCCTATGCCGATGGTCTCCTCCGGTTTAGACCTCCAAGAAGCTTGCCATCTTACCAGCACACCGACATCCCCTAGACTGCCAAAGTCGATAATATATTGTGGCTTCAGGAATTGATCAATGTTGAAGGTAATCCAACTTGGATTGGCTAAGGAATGACTCTGTAGGTGAGCAACTTCCGAAAACAGACTAGCCAGGCACGTGCGGCCCGCCGGCAGTTAGCGCGCTGCAAAGTCCCGACACCTCTTCTCTACTCTGTACTCCGTACTATGGTCAGAGTACGGAGTATATATAGTACGGAGTACAAATGGAGTACGCATGCGGTTTACATTTTCGATCAGATCACTCGGCTCAATGTCTGAGACAGGGATGCTAGCAGCTAAGAGATGCCGGGGAAGTCCATCGGCACTCCGTACGATAACCAGTCCCTTTATCATGCAAGCATGGCTACGGAAAGCAGAGACGTTCCGTTCCATAGATCCATGGATGCGTTAGTGTTTTTATTTCCAGCGAATCATCATTTCTCTCGGGGAGAAAACCGAATCGGAATTAGCAGAACAAAGTCCGAATGGATCTAAAAGAATCATCTCCGCCTGGCTAATCGGTTATCGGCACGCCTCCATCTGATTACGAGATAACCGAGAATTTTGACTCCCACTGTTCTACTTGTATAGAGTAGGATAGTATGCGGGGTGCACTGGGGATGACAGGCCATTCCGGGGCATCACTATGTAGCCATATCAAGATAGTACAGTCTCTACACAGTACAGAGCAAGCCAAATTACTTTCTAGAAGTACTACAAGTGCTGGAGATGATCAGTGGACCTGACACTCGTTTCAGCATAGTTTTAACTCCCGAAGAGGTGAAAAAGTCGGAAGCCATGGTTAGCTGCGCTGCTTAGCCTTTTAGGGCCCCCGCTCGTCCTGCTTGGACCTTGGATTTGTCAGAGCTGCTTGAAGTTTTTTTTTTTTCCCCTTATAATTCATCTTTCCTCTCTTTGTCTGCTGTTGTTTGTTATTTATTGTCTGGGGTCAACTTCTGAACGGTTGCTGGCTCCGAACGACTGCCTGTTCTAACAAAGTATTCAGTCGCCAAGAGAAACGAGGCAGAACTGACCAGCTTGATAGTGCCAAGATGGGTGCGAATATCGACGTCGAAGAATCGGCCGCTGTGACCTCTCCTGGCAACATCGAGAAAAACGAGACAAGCCAGCAGCCTTACGAAAAAGAAGAGCATGTCTACGACACAGGTCTTGAGCCATGGATGCAAGTGCTTGGTTCATGGTTTCTGTTCTTCAATTCATGGTATGTGACTCATTGGGCTAGCATCTGTTGAACCATTCTAACAAACTGATGTATAGGGGAGTGATTAACACATGGGGCGCTTTCCAAACATACTACGAGCAGAACCTACTCTCGAACATGTCGTCGTCGGATATCGCCTGGATTGGATCGTTGCAGTCTTTCCTTCTCATGCTGTTCGGAGTTGTTACAGGTCCACTTTTTGATGCTGGATACTTCCGGTACCTCATCACCTTTGGCAACATCATGATGCCGTTCGCTTTGATGATGGTCAGTATCTCTTCGAAGTACTGGCACCTGATCCTTGCGCAAGGTATTGTCATCGGACTTTCCAGTGGATGTTTGTTCGTCCCATCTGTCGCCATTCTGCCGCAATACTTCAAGAAGAGAAGAGGTCTGGCCAACGGAATCGCGGCGTCGGGAAGCAGTATTGGAGGTGTGGTGTATCCCATCATGTTCAACCAACTCCAACAAAAGGTTGGATTCCCATGGGCGACGCGCGCAGTCGGCTTCCTCTGCCTGGGGACAATCTGCATCTCCCAACTCACAATGAAACTGCGATTCTCTCCCAAGGAAAAGCGCAAGCTTTTCATCATCTCCGCTTTCAAGGAACCCCAATTCGTCATGTTCTGCATCGCCATGTTCCTGGGTTTCATGGGCTTCTACAACTTCCTCTTCTACGTCCAGTCCTACGCCATCGACACGGGCATCGTCGGCTCGAAGCTGGGCTTTTACCTTCTCGCCATGCTCAACGCCGGTTCCACATTCGGCCGTATCTTTCCTAACTTCATCGCTGATCTTACGGGTCCTTTGAACGTGCTTACTCCCGCCGCTACAGCAACCGCTATCCTGGCCTTTGCCTGGATTGGTGTCCACAATGTCCCCGGTATCATCGTCCTGGCTGTCTTATACGGTCTGTGCTCCGGTGGATTCGTCTCTCTGCCAGCTGTGGTTATGGCCACTATGACCAAGGATGTTCGAGAACTGGGAACCCGTCTGGGAATGGTCTTTGCGGTGACCTCGATTGGATTGCTAATTGGTACTCCTATCGGTGGTGCTATTTTGAGCGACTCGGGGTCGTACCTGGGTGTTCAGCTGTTCACTGCTTGTTGTCTTATCACTGCTTCTGGGTTTTTTGTGACATTGCGACTTATGCGCACGGGAATCACATTCAAGGTTCGGGCATAATCACACCACAGAAGACCACTTCGACGCCTATTACCACCACCCAATAATGCCTAATCTCTATTTTTATTGTCGTTTCAGCATCCGGAGCATACCGAAAAGTTATTGCTTTTCTTGCATGTGCTTGTTCTGTCGTTTTGCTCATGATACCAGGTTTCAGTATGGACTACGAAGTTATGCATCAGCATGCAAGTTATTATTTGATGGTTTTGTCAGGTTTGCATATGTCTAATTTTGAGGATAGCGATATGAGATAGAATCCTGTACATACTTTACATATGAACATCATAATTGAATTTGCTCAAGTCATAGAGACTGACTCCGAACTGTACATTGCAAGTAGATATTATCATAACACCAATTCCCAATGCTCGCTAAATCAAAGCCAAGCTTTTTTCTGAATGATTATCCTCATCTCAGATTCAACATCTAGAGCACATCCTCCGGCCCAACTGGGAAATCCTCCCCATTTTCTCGAACATGCTCGAGCTTCTTATCACGGCTGCACGGTTTCCGCATATCATACGCATCCTCACCCGTCTCAGACATCCCGCTTGGATCGTCACTGTAGTAATTAACCACGCGACGGAAGACAGAATATCTATGAAAGCCCAACTGTTAGCAATTTTCCCGCCAGAATCGCCAAACAACCAAGAGAAAAAACACTCACCCCATCCCCTTATACATATCCACCGCGACCTTATTCCCCGCCCTAACATACAAATCCACAAACCAAGCGTTATTAATATCTGACCCCCGCTCCAGTCGTTCCGTGAGTCGTCGCGCGAAACCGAGTCTACGCCATGCAGGCGCGACAGTAAGAACGGTGATATGCCCGTGCCAGGGGGTGTAGTGCTCCGAGTGGCGCATTGAGGGGTGTTGTTCTTCTAGTTTACCCATGACTGTCAGTTGCGTTAGTATGCCCCCAATTTTAGCGTGTTTGTTGAGATTGTAGGGAGGGGCGTACTGTATCCGGCGATGCCTTCCCCGCGGTCTTGGACGACGCTGAAGAGCGACGGCCACCGCATGAGGTAGTTGAGGTAGAAACCGAGATCATAGTTTTCTGTGAGGGGGTCGAGGTTTGTGAGGTTGAGGGAGAAAAGATCTGTTGGGGTCATGCGGCGGATGGAGGTCATGTTGATTTTCACTGTTGCGCGAGTTGCGATTCGAGTATCGGCTGGAGATATGATTCGTGCGACGTAAAGAAACAGTGGATAATCACATGCAGGGGTATAAATAATTCAGAAAAACAAAGCACCAAGGAGGAATGTAAACGATGGGTTTCTGGCGCGACGAAAGCGGTGCCAAAACTGCCCGAATCGACGATGGAAGCCATCATCATCGGCGGTGGGGTCGCTTTGGGGTTTTATAGGTCACGGGACCACCGTTTTCATGCACTCCATCAGCCTCGCTTTCAGGGGACAGGCAAATAAAGACAAACGCTATTATTCACCTAAAAGGGTGTCCCCCGGCTTTCAATTATTCTGCCTGACTATCATTTCGAGGACTCGATTTGTCGCTTTTGAACCCGACTTTACCGCAGTATCTCCTGTTCACCTGCTGTGCCCCTATTATCGGCCATTGCGGAGTGACGTTTCACCACCAGAAACTATATAAACAACTCCTTGCGCTGGACATTCATCTCGATTGTTCTGACGTCGTCGAATTAATCCTTATTATATCTGAAGAATTCTTCATTCAGACCCGTCAAGGTCAACCCTGCAGCATGCCACCATCTCCCCTGAGCATCCCTCACCGCCATCCCGATACCAACGGTGACTTCGAGCCCCTCTCCCCGGGCACCTATGGGAACGAATTCCCTCACAGTTCCAGCCCTCCACGCACAGCAACCCCTCCCACACCAGGCACGCCCCGCCAACAAGGCATGATGAACGTGAACGCCCCCCACCGCGGCTCCGTCGATGTCGACCTTACCGGCACCTCCGCAGATGAAGGCGGTGGTGCGGGCCTGGGCAACCTCGCAGATGAACTGGCAGACGCATGGGAAGAGGAGGAAGAGGGGTATGGATACGGGTATGGATATGCGTCGGGGCAGGAGACTGATAACGGTCCCGTGGATCCACAGCAGCAGGATGTTAGTGATGGGGAGGAAGATTATGAGATGGGGGGTGGTGGTGCGAGGACACCGTCGTCGGGGTATTCGGTTGAGCATAATACGTTGCATCCGCCGAGGCCAAAGGGGAGGAATGCGGCTCAGAGGCATAGGCGGCATGAGTCGCAGTATGATGGGTCGGATTATGGGAATGATTCGGATCTAGAGGAGGCGGCAGATATTTCGCCTAGCTTGGAGGGACAGATGGCTGAGATTGAGAGTCTGGCGAGACGGGGGATGGAGAATAATGGTAGTGAGAATGACCATGTTATCAAGCGGGCTGTCGAAGCTTTGCGGGATTTGGGTGGTCAGAGTGGGATTGAGAATAATGCGATGCGGTATGATCCCCCTTTCGTTCTCGCTTGAAGCTCTATCGAGATGGGTAGGATACTAACTTCTACAGACTCATCACAGCACACACCTCCATCACATCGCATCTAACCCACCAAACCCGCACCCTCCAAACCCTCACCCACCCCCTCCTCTTCTCGCCCTTCCCCCTCCTCTCCGAAGACGCAATCGACGCCCTCATCCCCCTAATCGACGCCGAACTCCTCCCAAATCTCCCCTATCCCTTCCCCGGCCAAGCACGCCACAACCACTCCTCAACCACAACCTCAACACCAGCAACATCACGACCAGGGACCCCACATTCCCACACCCACTCAAATTCAACTTCACACTCACACTCCCGCACTCACTCACAACCACAACCACACGTGAACCCCCTATCTTCCCTCCAAACCCTCATCTCCCAGACCTCCGACCTAACGCACTCCCTCCAAGGCCTCAGCGACACGCTCTACGAATCCCGCCAGTTAACATCTACCGCCTCGCGCCGACTGCGCTCAGCCCGGGAACTCGTTTCCGAACTACGACGCGAAGAAGAAGGGCGCGAGGAAGGTTCGCGGTGGCTTGAGCGCGGTGATTGGGATCGGAAGTTGAAAGAAAGGGAGGCGGGGAGGGAGTGCGGGGACGTTGTTAGTGGGTTTGAGGCTGTTTGTGGGGAGTGGAGGGAGAGGTTGTTTGGCGCTGCGGCCGGGAAGGTTGCTGCTGCTTGATGAGTGGTTTTAGGCTTTGTTTGAATGTTGCTTGTTGATTTGTTGGAGTTGGAGTTGCAGATGATACCTTTGGTAAGATCGACATTTACTAGTACTTAGATGATGCATACCCAGAGTACGGTATATAGATCTTTCTTTTCATGTGTATAGGTTTATTTTCCATGGACAGCGGGACATACAGACATTTCGTTACATAGGTAACCAACCTATGGCACCGAAGTGTCATGTAATGATTCCAATTCTCAGATACTAGATTTTCGAGCTTAGGAAAAGCATACAGAAGCAAGCCAAATTAATCTATCAACTACAAGCCGAGAAACAGCGCCAATATAGCTGACAACCGGACAATAAGATCCAAACGAAGGTAATGAAAGACATTATTATGTTCATCCACTCCAGACATGACAACTTCATTTACTGACACATGCAACTAAGACATCACATCAAGGGACATGAAAATCGAAGGGACTAAGACCCTTGTCAACTTCTTCCCTTTTCATTCTGCAACTCATAACACAAAGGGAGGAATAAGTAAAAAAAAAAGGAAATAAGTAACGTAAACAATGGACAAAGAACTATGCCAACAAGGTGAAATTAAAAAAAGAGACATGCCATACAGGAAAGAAACTTTTTTTTTCCTTCTACCTGTTCTCAAAGCAAACCAACGTTAACTCTATTGCTGCTGCCTCCACCGGGGCGTCCACTTCTGAGTCGCAGGCTTGGGTTCGTCGGATGGTTGGGGGCGGGCGGGCGCTTCCGCACGACGGGGCACGAAACGCTCACGCTCCGGCTGGGCACCGTTCGAGGGAGCGGGAGCGGCCGGGGTTGCGTTACCACGCAGGTGCGGAGGAACATATCCGCCAGTTTTCCGAAGAGGCGGGACGTCCTCCTTGGGTTGTTCAGCAGCAGGAGCAGCATCAGCGGGGGCCGGGGCTGCAGGGCCGCCAGCGGCTTCCTTGGCGGCTTGACGCTCTCTCCAGCTAGGTCCACCGGTGCGAGGAGCAAGGTTAAGACGCGGGCGTTCGCTACGTTCGGGCTCGGTACGAGAAGGAGCAGGAGCAGCAGGCTCTGTTCTGCGAATGGCACGACGGGCTTCTGCTTCCTCCTCACGCTGCCTCTGGCGGGCGGCGGTCTCATCAAGTCTCCTATGAAGGTTATTAGCCATGTTTTCTATTTGGAATCTAGGGTGAAGGGAAACTAACTTTCTCTCCTCCTCGCGCTTAGCCTTTTCTTCGGCGAGACGGCTTCTGCGCTCTTCCTCCTTGGCGGTTCTCTCTTCCTCCTCGCGTGCGATGCGCTCTTCCTCTTCCTTCTGCTGGCGCTCGGCAGCCTCACGCTCCAGACGCTCACGGCGACGGCGCTCCCGCACCTCCTTGACACGTTGGTTCTTCTTAGCCTCAAATTCTCTCTCAGCGCCCTTGCGGCGCTTCTCGAACTCTTCGTGGCGCTTCTCGGAGACTTCCTTGCGGAAGCTGTTGAAGTAAGGCACCACACGGCTGAGACGGTGCTTGAGAGCGACGGCCTCCTTGTGCTTGAGCTCAGCCTCATGGAGAGTTTCGGCCTTGACGGCCTCATACAGCTCCAAGTCGCGCTTCTTCTGAGCCTCGTAGTCCTCGGGAACGTGCTTGAGTTCCTCGCGACGGAAAGCACGCTCCAAGTGGTCAATACGCTTGCCAATGGTGCGCACCTTGTCGTTCAGCTCGTTCTTCTCCTTCTCAAGCTGGGCCAACTTCATGGCCCGCAGGCGGTTAGCATCGAGGTCCTGCAAGTCGATTTCGCTGAGGTCAATGCCCTTGACACCAGTCTTAAGTTCATCGATCTGCTTTTTGAGTTCCTGCTGACGGATGCGCTCCTGCTCATCCCGGAGACGCTTCATCTCACGCTCGCGTTGCTCATCCAGCAGCCGTTGCTTCTCAGCCTCCTGGATTTGCTGGTTGCGAATACGCTTGCGAGCCTCCTCCTCACGCTGCTTCCGCTGGACGGCGTCGGTAGCGGCCTCCTTCTTCTTCTCGATAACAGCACGGCGAGCCAAGGTCTCCTCGTGTTCCTTAGCCAGACCAGCCTCAGCACGGGCCTGGGCAGTCTGCTTGGCCTGAATACGGGCCTCGTTGTAAGCAGGGTCAACGTACATGCAAGTAACATGGAGGGTCTTGGCGAGGCGGGTAAGCTGCATACGGGCGATCTCCGCAGGAGTGTTCTGCAGACGCTGGACAGCGCCAACCTCGTTCTCAGCAGAGCCGGCAGCGCTGCCGTGGTGCAGAGCCTTGGAAGACGAGAAGACATCGGTCTCGAAAGTGAGAACGCCCGAGGTGTGGTTCACACGGATGGCGAGGTCTCCCTTCTTGCAACCGTTCATGATGAACTTCTCAATCATGGAAGGAGTGACCTGGAAGGGGTCAGGGAATTGAGCGAGCTCATAAACGAACTTGAGTTCAACCGACTCATAGACCTGGGAGAGCTGCTGGAAGAGACGGGTAAGGATGACCTGCTGCAAGGGCAGGACGTACTTCTCCATCTCGGGATCGGCACCGATCTTCGTGAGGATCGGGGTGATCTTCTTGCAAATGGAGAGCGGGTGGAAATCGACCTCGAGAATGTTGTACAAGTCACGGATTTCAGGACGGGCGCGGCTGAGCAAGCCCTTGTTAAGGGCATCCCGGAAGAGAACAGAACGAGAGGGGGGAGTGGCCATGCCCAGCAAGTTAGTGAGACGGGTGTTCTTGTTCTTGCGGGCCTCGTCAACATCGACCAACGCACCACGAGAGCGAGAAGTGCTGATAACGGGAATAGCCAAAGCAGACAAGAGGACGAACGAGGCAGCCTTGGTCATTTCGGTCTCAGAGACGGAGGGGTTGTCCTTCTTGCTACCTTGGCCACTGGCCAAGGTCACGGAAGACTGACGCAGAAGGTTGTAGTACCGGTTCCAGGCAGCGGCGTGGAAGAGGTAGTTCTCGCTAACGAGGAAAATACGGGTGAGCTTCTCGTAGTAGTTGGCCATCATCAGGTTCTTGGCGGGGCGCTTGCTCAGGCTCAAGAGAGTGTGGATATCCTCGATACTGCGGAAAGCCTCCTGCCAGAGCTCCAGCTCGACGGCGACGTTGAGCTGCTGGAAGCGAGTGTCGAGATGGCGCTGCAGGGTGTCGGCGTCACTCAGGTTGATGGCATGCATCTGAGCAGAGTATTTGGCGGCATTCTGAACGTGGTTCCGGAGGAGTTCACAGAGACGACGGAACTCAGTCTTGCGGGTGTACTTGAGACAGAACTGGAAGGCCTGCAGGGCGGTGGTCTGGTACATAACCTCGAGACGGGCATTGTTTTTCAGGATCTCGAGAACGGTACGGTAGGTTTCCCACAGGAACTTGAGCCACGGGGTCACGACGGCACGGTCAGTACGGTCACGGGACTGCTCACCAGAAACGGTGGCGAGCAGAATAGTCTCGGGAGTTTCGATGGCTTCGAGATCTTCAACGTTCGACGAGGGAGCGGCGGACTCGAGGGAAGACTGAATCTCGTCGGCCTTGGCCTGGGCCTCGGTGACCTTCTTTTCGGCGAGTTCGATGAACTTTTTCAGGACGGTCTATATAATCCAAATCAGCCCCATTCACGTATTTATCTTATGGATTAGATCGTACCTCGATAGTTCCCACGTTGGTGTTCTGAGCGATGTTCTTGTACTGATAGAGACCATCCTTGGCGGCCTTCCCTTTACGGAGCTCGACGCAGAGTTCAACGAACAGCAGCATCACCGGCTCGAGCGAGGCGATGGGACTGCTGCGCGTCCTCTTGGAGGTGACATGTTCGTGAAGGACGTTCAGGGCAGCAGGGGACTGGCCTACGGCGATGAGTTCTTGAGCCCGCTATAACAACAAATCCGTCAGCCACCACTCTATCTCTCCTACATCTCTTTATATCCTCCTATCTCAGAAAACCATACCTTGAGGATATTCTCGGGCTTAATATGCGGCGGCGGCGGCATGATGGGCGGTACCCCTTGGGGTCAAAAGAATCTGGCGTTAGGCGGCGGGCAATCGGTAGAATCCACAAAGGCGAAAAAACTTCAACGGCCCTCTTCTGGCGGCTTGCTGTCAACAACAGGTGGGCGGCAGCAAAAAATCGAGGGCGACAAGCGAGGAAATAGAACCTTGCTATGTCTTCTGTATTAAATATTTCAAATAAAGATGACGCTGCCACGCGACGGTCGGACCAAAGAGGAAGAATTGGTGCCGGGCGGCGGTCGTTGTGCGAGAATCACCTGAGCGGGCGATAAGCGATGGTCACGTGAAATAACCACGATATTGCTCTTTCGACTGACAACTTCTACAGGATTTAGCAATGATTTGGATATAGAACAATAATTACCTTTCTGTCTATCTATTTTATTCATATTCTCGTTTCTATCATAATTGCGTTGGTGGGGCACGTGGATCACAATCCCGGCTAGGTGTTGTTAAACAAACCAGTTTCCATGTTCGATGCTATATATCGACAATCTCAATATCTATTTACACAGGTATCTTACAGTTATTGTGTCTGCATCATGCTGCACCAATTATGATGCCACTTGGCAGCTCCAATCCAACTGGCAGTCCACATAAGAAGCTGCCCATGTACGCCTGACCTTGCTTCACTGCAAGCTTCTCCTCGATGTCTTTGTACATGTCGTACCTGGAAACAGGTCAGTAATTCAACATGAACAGAAATAAAAGTCTGAGGATGAGATACTCACGCGTTCATCTCCTCGATCGTCAGCACGTTCTTCTGGTCCTCGACGCGGTATGTGGGGATCTCTTTGTTGCACGAGAAGCCTGAAGTATGTTAGCATGGCTGTTCTTATCAAGTCCAGCAAATGGAACTTACCAATTCGCTCGTTGATGTTATATGCAGCCCTAGCTGCGGCAGACTGCACCCGAGTGGCACGCGGCAACCGGACCTCCTCATAAACAGCAAGTGCCTGTCGAATATCCCCCGAAAAGTACCGTCTGCTGAACAAAATCCCCAGAGCAGCAGCATCCTCAATAGCCATACAAGCTCCCTGACTCTGATGCGGCATCATCGGATGCCCAGCATCCCCAAGAAGACATACATTCTCCCGTTGAATATACGGATATGGCTCATGCACCCAAAGCCGCCACGGCTGAATCTCCTTCCCAATACCCAAATGGCTAAACACCTGTCGATCAAGCTTGGGATACGGTGCCAGAAGTTCATCCGTGCTGCGACTCTCAGCGCCCCAGTTTTGGGTGGTATAGTCGCCTTGTTCGCGCGGGAAGAAGCAGTAGTAGGAGAGGAGCTTGCCGCTGTTGCAAGGGGAGAGGACGATCTTGTCCCATTTGCCTTCCTGGCCGCCCCAGTACTCGAGCGCGCTGTCTTGAGAGTAGTCTACGAGGCCGGCTTTGACGGCTTCTTCGGTGGTGACGTTGGCGTGCAGGCAGCTCTGGTCGGAGGGTTTCTTTTCTGGGCGAATTCCTAGGATGCCGCGGACGGCGGAGCCGATACCGTCTGCGCCGACGATGAGGTCGTGGTATGCGATGACTCCGTTCTCGAATATGATTTCGCCAGTGTGCAGGTTGATGTCGCGGCACTGCAACCGATGTTAATCCCATACGGAGATCATTCCTTAATGATTGACTTACCCGGTGGTTAACCTTCAACACTGCCGGAATCCCCTCGCCCTCTTTACCAAGTGCAGAATCCTTCAACATAGCGTGCATATACTGCCGATGGAACATATTATACACATACCCCCACCGCTCCTCATAGTCATCCAAATCATACACGCTGACCGGCTCACCAGTCTTCCAGTCACGGTTGATTAGCTTCTTCAACACAACGGGATCACCCTTGGCGACATCGACGCCCCATTCATGCAGCCACCGAGTACCATTGGCAGCACAAGAGACAGATGCGCCTACTTCACCGGCGTAGTCGGACTTCTCGTAGAGGGTGACGGCGTGGCCTGCGCGGCGTAGGGCTATAGCGACGGACATACCGCCGATGCCACCGCCAACCACGCCGACGTTGAGACACTTCCAGTTGGACATTTTGATGTTTTGCAAAGGACGCTCAAGAAAGAAAAGAATATGATGAGATGGAAAGGGGATGGCTCTACTCAGAGACAATTCGGGGCTTATATACCCATTCCATGTCTCATATTACTCCGAAGTACTAAATCACCGGACTGTCATCATCGTGCAGCCTTCCATGCGGTGCGCGGCCCGCGCACGACCCTGATAAATCTGTATGTGGCATACCGAAACTCTCCGTGTTCTGTACGGAGTAATCTGCACTCTGTATACGTTATAGACTGAGATAATCCATCCTGATCCACCGACGATAAGCGGTGCCCGGGCCGCACCCGCAACGCATATCGGGTCGGGTTTGCATCAATTTATACGGAAACTAGCTGCATCAATTATATCATAATAGGTGGTATCCGAGGTTACAATTAACTCTTGATTATGAATGTGTTTGCTATGGGGATGGAATATTTCCGCTGTGGTGGTAGACAGTTTCCTAATGACGATGCGTAGCGTAGCATTTATAAAGTATAAAAGGGAGACAATGCTGTTGTTCTCGTATTGTATAACTGCTATCCTTTGTACGCAGTAACTTGATCTAACTTTAATCGACTATTCCTGCAGAATGCTCGGGAAAATCGCCCTCGAAGAAGCCTTTGCCTTGCCTCGTTTTGAGGAAAAGACTCGTTGGTGGGCTAGTCTTTTCTCTACAGATGCAGAACAACATGTACGAGAAATCACGGATATCGACATGCTACGTATCGAATACGCCAATAAGCATGGTGTTGGCTACCAAATTCTCTCGTATACGGCCCCTGGTGTCCAGGATATCTGGGACCCGGACGAGGCGCACGCCTTGGCGGTTGAGATCAACGATTACATAGCTGAGCGCGTTAGCAAGGCACCGGATAGGCTGGGGGCGTTTGCGTATGACCATCTCCTTTTGCAATTCCTGCAGCTTGGGTATATAGTACTTATGTTGACGATGATAGGACGCTGTCCATGCACGATCCCACCCGAGCCGCTGCTGAACTCCGTCGCTGTGTGGAGACATACGGCTTCAAAGGCGCCCTCGTAAACGACACCCAGCGCGCCGGTCCCGACGGCGACGACCTGATCTTCTACGACAACCCATCCTGGGACGTCTTCTGGCAGACCTGCACCGACCTCGACGTCCCCTTCTACCTGCACCCGCGCAACCCCACAGGAACCATCTACGAAAAGCTGTGGGCAGACAGGAAGTGGCTCATCGGTCCGCCGCTCAGCTTCGCGCAGGGCGTCAGCCTACATGTCCTGGGGATGATGACGAACGGGGTCTTCGACCGGCACCCGCGTCTGCAGGTGATCCTGGGCCATCTGGGTGAGCATATCCCGTTTGACATGTGGCGGATTAACCACTGGTTTGAGGATCGGAAGAAGATGCTGGGACTGGGGGAGACGTGTAAGAGAACTATCCGGGAGTATTTTGCAGAGAATCTGTGGATTACGACTTCGGGGCATTTTTCGACGACAACGTTGAACTTTTGTATGGCGGAAGTTGGGGCGGATCGGGTTTTGTTCTCGATTGATTATCCGTTTGAGAGGTTCGAGGAGGGGTGTGGGTGGTTTGATGGGGCGGAGATGAATGAGATTGATCGGGTGAAGATTGGGAGGGAGAATGGGAAGAAGCTGTTCAAGCTGGGAGAGTATAAGGATTCGAGTGCTTAGAGCCTTAGCTGCTCTTTTCAGCTCCTTCTGTGCTGGTATCCATCTCATCGGATGGGTCGGGATAGTGATCCGTTGCTTCTGTGTTGTCCTGCGTTGTCCTGCAAGTGATGTATGTCCTTTATGATTCGTCGTCGTCACCATCAATGGAATTATTGTCGCATTCTGCAAGTAATATATCACCGACACTCTGTGAGCTATCGTCGCACTTTGGCTTCCGGATGGATATATCGGATGCGCGTCACGTGAATCCGGGCCAGCATTCAAGACGAAATGATGGCAGGAATGTTTCTGACGCAAACCATATCTGATCGAGTGCTATTAGAGAGTTCAATAGCAGAATACAAATACAAGTGCAGTCATCGCAGAACAAGACACAGAGTGATCCTCGGGAGTCATATAGAAGAAACTCGTTCAGGGGCTCTGCTGCGTAATTTCCCACTGGATCTCACAGACCAACTTTTTTCTCCTCCTTCTTTCTCCTCTTTCTTCCTCTCTCTTTCCTTTTCTCCTAATTTGTGCTTTTCTGCTCCCTCGTCACTCTCTTTCTTTCATCTCTACTTATTAACTTGTTATTATTTACTGTCCTTTATTTCATTCCATTCGCTTCTTCTGCTGCTGCCGCCAGTCGCGCCCGTCCTTTTCCCTTCCTGAGAGAGCTCCCCACACACAACGGCTCTCCGTCCAGCCGACCGTTTCAAACGCGCGCGAATCTCCAATTCGATCCTCCAATCACCCCTTACTGTGCACCACGGCCACCCTCGATTTCTCATCACCTATCCTTATACTACGACTATTATTCGCAAACGATAATATCACATTCTACCCAATATGCCCGCTTACGAATTGCGATCCGGGGGAGACGTCAAGAACAAGAAGCAGAGCGTCGCGGACCTCAAGTACCGCCGGCTTACAGAGCTCAACGCTCGTCTGAAGGAGGACCTCGACCGTCCGCGAGTCAAGGTTTCCGAGGCTTCTATGTCGTAAGTCCTGCGGACATAGTGCGACGTCATTACTGGATAGCCCATAGCTTACTTGTCGTCGTTAGGTTGATCAACTACTGCAACAACACGCGCGACTTTATGGTTCCCTCCGTATGGGGTCAGGTACGATTCTCTTACTACTCTCAGCGAGATTCCATCTAATAGTGCCTAGGTCGACAAGCGCGAAGACCCCTATGCTCCCCAGCAGCAGGGAGGCTGCTGCACGGTCATGTAATGCTTCTCATGACGTCCCAATGCTCGTTCTGGCTCGGATGGACTGGATCCGACCTGCCAGTCCATCGTCGCTGATTTTCATTTTCCCCTCCTCGTTATCTCGCCACGACTTACTTCCGCCTAATCTCCTTCTACTTTTCTTTTTGTTTCATACCCCTATTTATTAAGGAAACCGCGCGACGGCGCATTCCGGGTTATTAATGTTGAGGCCAAGTGCGCGCTGGGTTACATGGGCCGGGCCAACATCTACCTGTGAATATGACTGTTAATCTTTACTTTGGTCTATCGCGCCGCACTGGAGGATGCGCTGATTTACTGTGTCTTTATTCTATTTCCTTGGTTTTTATTTTCTGGTATTGGTCATTTTTGATTTTGATATCTCGTCTCTGGTGTCTGTCCTTTGTCCTTGTCCTGCTGTGATGTTGACCTTTTCTACTTCGATGGGATCAGGATGAAAAGAAAATTGTCTCCCGCAATCCTCGGGACGGTGCGATTCTGGATTAAAATTCTTGTAACATAGATTAACATAACCTTTAATAATGTTATGCGAGTCTAGTATGTGCTGCGATGCAACCCTGACATCATCTGGTCCAAATTTAATCGACGTATTGTACGGAATAGATTGCTCTACGCAAATAGTCGAATAACCGTGCATATTGTGCAGTGTGAGGCAGTCTGCTAGCCTTGCTTCTGAAACAATTTTGCTCCGTTATTACTATTTGTATGCATTATCCCGAACTTCCTTACGGCATGTGTCTATACCAAACTGTTCTCAACATGTCATTTTCCTGTTACACCATTCGTGCCCTACTCTTAGCCCGGTATCGCGTCCCCGTCATCAATATCGCTCACGTCATCCAGCCCCCGAGCATCCATTCGCCTGATAGTTTCAACCAATGCATCGCGTAGCTCATTTGCGTCCAGGAGCTGCCCGGCAAGGAGAGTAGCTGCGTAGTCGGAGTTGACATCGCATATTTCGATGTCATTGTCTTCAGAGGTACTCCCCTCGTAAAGATTGCGCGGTAAGTCTAGGCAGGAGATGTTTCGAGATAGGGTTGATTTGCGTAGATGCGGGCCTGGCGATGCCCAGAAAGCCTTTTCTGTTCCAATTCGGCGAACGTGTTGTGCTTTTCATAGTCCAGGGTGTGCAAATAGAACCTGTCCTTGTTGTACAGCCGAATTAAATGATTCCTGTTTGCCTATTGCGGCCATAACGCAGCGCTTGGACAATGATGTTCGTTTGTGTGTATGCTCTCAAGAGGAAGTTGTCATTCATGTCCAGATACCGGCCGTCACTTGAGTCAAGTCTCAGACTCACAACCGCATTCATGTATGCCAAGATACTCCTTCACTGCTTCGCTGAAAGAAGGGTAAATCACTCAAACCCTTTTTCCTTCTTCCCGCTACACTCGCTCCAACCCAACATGGATCAACCCCCAATCCCCACACCGAACCCTAATCTGTTGAACTCAGATTATACGGCTCAAATAGCCGTACGCAAACAAATACAAGCCAACCATGCGTCGCAGCTGTCCACTTTGTCCGTTGCTTCGAGCATTTCCGAGTCCCTCGAGGACAAAATTACAGCTTGTGAATTGGAAAAAGACTTTTTACCACACGGAAGGATAATTTGCTTGCCTGTCTTCGAGGGCTATTACAGCCTCTGAGTACCCAGCATGAAATGCACACCATACTGAAGCAGTATAAAGTTATCTCAGAGGAGCTATACGTACTGAACAGGCAGCGCAGGGAAATGGAATTAGACATCTTCGATGTCTAAGTCTAACTTGAATGAGCCGTGGACTTCAATTACTGCCATTGACGATATTTTACATTTGCTATGCTAAAGCTGTTCTTCCCGGAATGTGATTTCGAACGACTGTTGAATGTTTGAGGTCGTTGCCGGTGTCGGATTCTCGATAAGGCGGAGCGGAGAATACTACTCTGACATCATCCATAATCCCGCCTCATCTCAAATAATTTCGAGCTCTCAGTTGATTCAATACTCATGGAAAATATTGTATAAACAAAATGGCAGAACCAATGCCCCCAATCGAACAACGCACCCCTACAGAACAGCACCAAAAACTCGGCAGTGACAACATCACCGCCGAACGCGTCTATCTGCCCCGGATAACCATCAAATATTGCACCCAGTGTAAATGGATGTTGCGCTCTGCCTACGTACGTCCCTTCATGCATAACGGATGCGCTTAAAGTACAGGGGCTAATGAAATAAAGTTCGCCCAAGAACTCCTGTCAACTTTCAACACCGATCTCGGCGAAGTCGCACTAATCCCCTCGACCGGCGGGGTTTTCACGGTCACCATGTACCATGCCTCCGATGAGACGCTTACGACTAGTGAGACGGTGCTTTGGGATCGGAAGACGAATGGAGGGTTTCCAGGTACTTCCCTTTCGCCCAGTTTACCCAGGCTAGGTTGTGAAGGTGCTAACTGCAGCAGAGGTAAAACAACTCAAAGCCCTGGTACGGAATATCGTCGACCCCTCGCGCTCGCTAGGACATACGGATCGGGCGCTAAGGGCGGCGAATGTGCCTACGCAGACGCAGGCGGAGGCTGGTGCTGATGGGAAGAGGGGGTCTGTGAGTGGTCTGAGTCAGGATATGGAGAGTGCAACTGCGAATGTGCATAGGAAGGAGAAAGAGAGGTGTGAGGAGTGCCAGTAGATATGCAGTGATTCAAAATGGATGTATGTATATGAGGGTGCAACACCAACTGTTGATAATGTTTGCTTTTTACGCATGGATAACTCAGAAAGCACATGGTTTGGAAAGTAAACATCCCATGTACTCTCTCCAACTAAATCTACCCTTTCTATCCATTCGAGCATCGAACTGCGGAGGATACCATTCAGACACATCCCAAAACGAACGTTCTTTACTCTCCCTCCCTCATCCCGGCCCTCCCACCCTCCAAAACGAACGTGTAGGCGAGGGACGACTTCCCCTCTACAATTTGAAGAGTTTCTACCCTGTCAAGCCAGGTGAAATCTCAGGTGATTAGTACCAAGCGATTGTCAGACTTAGCTGGGGGACAATTTCGACTGTATGGTTGGCGGATGATGTGAACTGGGTTGTCCAATTGCTACGTAACTCTCAAAGTCAGCAACAATGATTCCGACTCACCCAACCACGAACGAGACTTGGAGGACTACATCACCAAACAAGATCCCACAAACGAAGGCCGTGAGGCGGTCCGGATGTATTTTGAGTCCTTTGGGGTTATTCATCTGGGGGACAAGGAGAAGAGCCATCGGTGCCTGGTGTACGAGCCTATGAGAGAGCCTTTCTGGCTTTATCAAGGACGCTTCGTGGATGAGAAGAAACCGTTGCCTTTGATTAAGGCGTATCTGATAGGAATACTCTCGGGATTGGATTACTTATATTCGATTTGTAAAGTTGCGCATGGTGGTAAGTCTCTCTTTTAGGTTAGGTTGATGGGAATTGGCTTTCTAGATATATATCCCAACAACATCCTAGTCAATTTCCAGAACGAAGGCGTCATTAAAAGCTTCGTTGACGCACTTCTCAGACACAATGGAATATAAAATCGACTCCACAGGCCGTCCAGTCTATAGTCATCACAATGACTTTGGATGTTGGGTATTCTCGTTAGCCCTTACCCTTTTACTCTAGAAAGAAGACTCGAACTAAGAAGTATTCGCGCAGGCATGGAACTTCATCGAACGCACGGAGCTTTTCAAACATTACACTCCCAACGACACGTATTTTGCACGGCACCATCTCGCGGAGATGATCGCTCTACTTGGCCCACCATTTGAAGTACTCATCGAAACATTTTGATAGAATGTTCGCGAAAGAGTTCCCAATAACAGTGAGACGTCAGGAAGGGCCGCTTGTGCGTAATGCCTTGCAGATGTTTGATGGGCCATTTTTTCGAAAATGGTAAGCCATCTCCTCCCGACGCTTGTTTATGAGGGAGAGCTGAATCGGACAGGCAAATTTCTATACAACGACCTAATCCCACCCCCAAACTCGAAGATACACTTCCATCTCTAGACAAGGACGAAAAGTAATATTCTTAGATTTCATAAAGCGCATGCTCGCCTTGATTCCAACCGAAAGAAAGACCGCAAGGGAATTGATGGAGCACCCATTCCTCAAGTTCTAGGTGTAATATGTCCATTCCATGTACAATAATCTCCACTTTGCACATAAAAAGACATAGGCAATACAGTACCTACTGCAAAGGATGCTTCAAAACAACCTTCCCAAACCCACTCCCAAAACCCGCCAACGACTTCAATTCCTTCAACGCCCCCTCCGCGCTCCCCTCAAAGACCTTCACCACGGGCATCTCAAACTCCACACCATAATTCTCAACGGCCCAAAGAAACGCTTCTCGCGCACGCTGGTTATCCTTCGGACGCGCAGGAATGGTAATTGTACCAGGGGCGCCGGGTAGCTTGATAGTCACATCCTGACCAGGCGCTGCAAATGGCATTTTGAACCGGGGATCGTCCTGGAACACGGAGGAGATGAGTATTGTGTCGTTCGACGGGGAGGTACAGTCTGCCATGAGTTTTGCGGAGCCGTTGCTTCCGATTGCGTCGAAGGCATGTTTGATTTCTAGTTGAGACTCGCGTAGCGCCATCTTGATCTCCTCGACGACAGTCGGAGACTTGTAATCAAAGCACTGCGTAGCACCAAGCTCCCGTAATAGTGGATGTCGCTCACTCGACGCAGTCACGTAAATCGGATCCACGCCGCTCGCCCTCGCGAATTGCACAGCAGCCAGTCCAACGCCACTCGATGCGCCCCAGATAAGAAGCGGACTAGTCACTCTCCCTTCCCTCTTTCCCTCATTCTCGTCCCGAGACGGAAGCGGAAACCCGAAAAAATTATACAACGTATCCGCAGCCGTCATAACCACAACACTCAAACTCGCAGCATGATGCTCTGGCAAATTACTCGGTACTTTAAACGCCAAATCCTCCGGACAAATAAGATACCGCTGATGAGCACCATATTCGCTTTTTCTACCGATACCCGTAGGTGTAAATCCGGCGACGACATCCCCAGGTTGGAAGGGGCTATTGTCAGACGCTGTCTGTACAACCTTTCCGCAGAAATCATACCCCAGAATAGTTGGGTAGATAGCCAGGATCGTAGCGTGCTTGATATCCGCGGGATTGGCGCCGGAGAAGTGTGTTTCGATTAGAATTTCTCCAGTATCCGGGGATGGTGGTTGTTGGGTGTGCAGGACACTGAAGGTCAAATTTGAGTCGACGTATAGGGCTGGGTTGGTCATGGTGGATGTTTGGGGATGGTGGATGTTTGGGAATGGTGGATGTTTGGAGATGGGGAGGTGTAGAATTACAGGAAAATGGCCATGGGAATCTTGTTTATACCCCCTTATGGGCCTGTGCGAAACTGTTGTAGTACAATGACAAGGTACCCTTGTTGGAGCAGGTGTGGATGGCCACTGGTATGTAACCTCCGATCTATATCGGCGGAAACATACTTACGTGAGATTATCGACCATTTTATCATTGAGAAGGGAAAGTAGTTCCATTAGTAATGTTTATGTACGAGGTTCTCTAGAGATGGCCCAGAATCGTTGTTGAGAAAATGGGACTCATACGACCAGATTACCAGTTTCAATGCCGGTTGTATCTATCGTTTTGGGCCCAAATTACCCATAATTCCGTAAGATGCCAAATCAATTTACCAAAACAAGCCATTTTGCCTGCAATGTATTGCCTATTTGCGTGGGTATAGACGCTTAACCATCTTGTTTTGAAGGGTTGATGGTCTGTTATGGTTGGTGCATATTTTATTCTCCATCCATCTGATGATCCCAGCAAAAAGCCTCGTAACCGTCCAGTATCCTACAACTGCATGGGAAGTACAATGGCAGAGTGTTCTGATCCACCCACATGGGTCATTGCACATTCCTCGAAGATGCTCTCTTCGTATTAACATACGTTGTTATGAAATAGAGGGGTCGCTTTGTTGGTCGATTTTCACCGAGGGTCAATCACCTTTCTACATAATGATATTAGGAATCGCGCCAAATCAATAGATTTCGAAGTAACTTCCTTGTTGCTTTACAGCAAATAATAGTGTCGTACTAGTAATAGTATGAGGTCGGCCACATTGCAGAGGAAGATTGTTCCACATGACAGTTATTTGCAGATAGACTAATATGTACAAGTACTACGTAGCATCCTTAAGTGCGACAAGAGAACATTCCCACAAGTTGCTAGTGCCGAAAGGGATAAAAGATCGTGTTCATTACTATGGGGCTTGTGCTCATTCACATACATGCATGCATTTATTTCGTCGTGCCTGGCCACATCCATTCTGAAATACTCAATTATTTCAGAACTTGACCGATCAAGCCCTCTAATCACGAAGAAAAATGCAATAACGTAATCGAACACCGAGAGGAACAAGGTTGATTTCTTGGCTGCCTACCAGCAGACACGTCCGCAAGCATTCTCATTATTAAATATATGCAGTGGATTTGCTGCTGCAGGCCTAGTCCCATATAAGCCTGACAATATGCTTGATGAGCTCCATATTCAGATAAAGAGTCTTCTAGTTGGACAGCAGAGACCCCTAAGACTACCAGATAACTTCAGAAGCAATTTGAGCTCACCAAGCACCTCTGAAGGCAGCATACGCATACCCCGCCAAGCCCAATTAACAAGACAGTCAATAAAGTAGTTAAGCGTGCGCAAATTGCAATGCAGAATGCATTACTTTTAGAGCATGAAGTGAAAAGCAGCTACGTACTGCTAATGAGCACCGAAGGCGCAAGCGGGACGCTTATAGAGCCTTTTTAGCTGCTAGTGGTTTTCTAACTGGAGCAGAGAGTCAGCAGCGTAGCCAGGAAGCTGCTGATTTACTTGGGCGGGGGGGCGGATGAAGGTTGTGAGAGACAACGAAAGCGAGCGATTGCTATTTAGTAGATCATACTAGTGTTATTTGCTCTACTAGATGGACTACCATTATATATAAAAATCGCTTTATTTCAAATGCTTGGTGGCTAGAAACCTAGTGGTTTTCTTCTGCACTCCGAATCATGTGTTCCGCTCGGTGTCCGATTATGTTACCCCTGATAGTACGGTTTGCCGGCTATGCATAAAATAGCGATACTATCCACAACCAGGGAATTGACCCTAAACCAAACCATTAACGCGCTGGTATGGATTGTCGACCCAAGGGACCTGCATCCTGCAGGTCAAGCTGGGCAAGTATTTCCTGTCGAGTAAATATGTGGTAGTGGGCTCAGACTCGAAAGAGTACCGAGGCCATGGCCATCTCGATAAAATGTCTGGGTATCGGATAAGATTCGATTGTATAGTTTCACGTTTCAAATAAACGCGATAAGATGAAGCCGATGAGGATAACCTTGCTTGTTTCGCGTGGACGCTTGAGTGTAAGCTATAAGCAAAGGTTGTGCAGGTTGCCTGGAATAAGTAGATAGATAGACGTGTATGAGAGTTGAAGAGAAGAGAAGAAAGCAAGCATTAGAGCGACCTACTTATATTCATTCACCTAATAAGCAGAGTAGGGTTTTCTTCTCTCCAGAAACGGACTAGCCTATTTCGGAAAGGTATTCCGCGATTCTACACCGATCAAGGGTCAGTCCAAAGCACAATGTACGGCACTGAGTAGCAGGATAAGGGGAGGGGAAGAACTATATTGAACATCTGCCTACCGGCAGTCAAACTATCAAAATGCCACACCTAAAATGCACCCTAAATAACACAAAACAAGAACGTAAGGCAGGAAAAAAAGAAAAAAGAAAAAAGAAAAAAGAAAAAAGAAAAAAGGGACCGATTATAGTATGGCTAAAATAAAAATGTCAAATGTCAATGTCAATGTCAGCGAAGCAAGACAATCCATGTATAAAACGCCCAAGCACGCCCTTCATGTCTAGTTTGTGTGTCCCCCCTAGGTTATTCCAACCGGTCTCCGTAAGACAAGGCAATATAAGATAAGATGAAGAGAGATGGAGAAGGAAAGACAAGATGAACAAAGAAAAGAGAGTAAGCGAGTAGACGATAATGGAAGGTTGTGTGGCTTGAGTTTAGTTCAGTCCAGTTCAAGTCAGGCAAGACTCGACTCAACTAACCAAACAACACACCGGTCATAAAAATCATGCAATCCATCGTGAATCCAATGTCGTCAAGCCGATGTAAATAAACCATTCATGAGCCCATGACCCAAATTCTTTTCTTTTCTTTTTTTTTTAATTCGAAGGAAATCTCTTTTTGCGCCCCCTCACAACCACAAAACACCTCGAAAGAATTAAACCGGAATAATAATAAAAAAAATAAAAGAAAATATAAAAACTGCCAAATGCTTATGTCTCACCACTCAATTCTTGCTGATGAGAATGATGATTGCGACGCCTCCAAAATGCCAAACGGAGTCGACTCCGTTTCTTCGGTAACCGGCGGGCTGGTTGCTCCCCACCATTTTGATGATCATGAGGATGAGGGGAATTAGGGGAATGCGGGGATGATGGTGAAAGAGGAGATGATGGTGAACGAGGAGGTGAGAGATGCTGCGACAGTTGTGGTGGTGGCGTACGCGAGCGGCGATGATCATCGATGCTCCTCGTAGTAGTTGTCGACCGCGGCGGTGGACTAGTACTAGGCCGGCTTCCAATAAGACTAGCCATAAAATTGCTTTTGTGCCCACTGTCAGGCGCAGAGAGCTGGTTGCTCGGGTCCGTGCTGGCTTTGCTGTCCGGCTCGGCCGATGGATCCGAGGTCGATGGCCGGGTACTGCTACCCGGCTCTCGCTCGCTTCGACTGAGACTGCCCGCACTCTTCTTATCGTCGTCATCATCGTCCATACTATCCACCGTGAGAAAGCTGGTCGCGTTTGTCGCAGGTGAGATCGGAGTCATGTTGTTGCTGTATGTGCTAACACTGTGTGTGCGTGTACAACTGTTCCGCTGCGATGTTGACGGACCTGAAGTCCGTCCTGTTGAGTTAGTGTTTGCATGAGGCCGGCGACGATTAAGGAAGGAAAAGGGGCCATGTCGAGAACTACCGGGTCGTTGGTGGTCCCCTGACGGCACATCAACGCCGTCACCATCGTTACCGCCTGAGCGCGACGGATCCTGCGCTTCCCCATCGTGTTTCGACGCATTGGCAAAGATCATCGCGGCAAGAACAGACGGGTCGGTCGTTGTGCTGTTGCGATCAACCGCACCGGGCAACGGCTCCATGTAATCGGCAGTATTTTGAACTCCCGAGCCGCGCCGTGATGCATTCGCAAGACTTGATATGAATTCCGGATTCTCGGGGGATCTCTGAATGGTCTCGTCCGGGGGTGGCATCGGGCTGCCGGTGATGTCCATGGATGGACCCGGGGTATCAGGAGACACCACCGGGCTGATAGTGTTCTCATTATACCCTTTTGGTGAAGCAGTACTGACTGACGAAATTGGCGATGGGCCAAAGTAGTCCTCTGCCTCTTCCGACGGTTTACCATTCACGTCTCCTGCTGCTGCGGCCGCAACAGCAGCCTCCGTTTCATCCGCCTCCGCTCCGAGAATTTCTCCAGCAAGCTGCGGCGTAGTCACATCGTCCTTTGCTTGCACGGAACGCGATGTCTTGAAGCTGACAGCCGGGCTCTGGGAACGAGGAGAACGCTGTGAAATGCCATCATCCAGTAGTCGCCCATCATGAAGCGATTGTTTCCGCTTCTCCAAGTCCGCAAAATAGTGCCACCGACTCTGATTGCTGCGAATCTGCTCGACTGTGAATTTCAATTGCGGAAGGATATCCGAAACACCCTCAAAGAGCGGAACGGCAAAAATGGACATGAACCCAATCTGACCGGTCGCCAATTTGTACGTGTTACCCAGTTCGGGTGGGCCTCCGAATAGCGCAGTCTCCATGCCTACTTCTCTCTCCATTTCACCTTGGTTGGCGAATTCCTCTTGTAGAATCTTGGTCCATTGTTCGGCCACATCCCACGGCCGCGCGACATTGCTGATATCGGCACACTTAATCAGCAGCCCGCAGAGAAGTGTTTTATACATGTCGATGTCCTGAGGCTTCCAACCGATGATGCTACGGTTGTTCTCGTGGAATTTCTCCTGCAACGATCCTAACCGCTCCATGAACTTTTGATGCACGCCCATATCCGTAGCCAGAATCGAGCTAATCAGCAACTTCCGGAGCTGTTTATCTTTGAACGCGGCGGGCCAGTGGCGACGGAGGATCTGTGAAAACGCAGCACAATGAAACGCCTCCAGAACGGAGTTGTCGTTATACAACTGAGCCAGAGGGGCGTTCAATTTGACGAGAAAAAAGTTGTTAACGCCCGGATGTCCGACGTCGTGGCCAATTGCGGAGATAAGCAGAGTGAGGGTATCAAAGGGAGAGAGAAGGGAAGCAATGGAGGATTTCGAGGCGCCGCTTTGTACGACCGGAGCATGTGGTGGTAGTGCGCCAATATGGAGAAGGAAGCAGAAAACTGATTGTACAACGTCAATGGCATGTCGGAAAT